CAGAACCTTGGGCTCTGACTCAAGGGTGACATTGCCAATAGCTTCATCAACACCCATGCACTCCACTGGACTCTATGCATGCACTCAAGCCCACTCAATTGGCACATTCCTAACAGACTCAGTAGATTGAGCAGTGGGAGATATAGATATGGATGGTGTGGAAGTATTCAACCAGACATAGCCATATCTAAAATATAGACTAATGTTCTGGTTCTTGCATTTATGCTTTTGAGGTCTTAAAAATCTAGGCTCTGCTGCTGCTGCTACTATCTTTGCCATTATCTCTTCCAAATCTAAGTCTCCTTTTTGATTAGAGGAGATTGGCACATTCAACAGTGTCTCTAGCTTGATGTCCTGATCCACATTTGCTACAGATACTATACCTATGGTGATTAGTATATGGATCTTGGCAGAAACCCAGGTTTCAGTTTTTACATGGAACTATTGACCTTTTTGCAGCAGAGAGTAAAGCAGATGAAAGTCATTTTGTGCCTGAAGAAGTCAAAGAAGAGTGAAAGACCTGAGTAAGAATGGGGATTTGTAGTTCACTCTGGACATCCATATGAAAAGAGGACTTAGCATATCACAGCTGAACCTCTTCATCAATATAAATGGCAACTGTAGAGTTATGAGGCACAGCCTAAAAAACTTTGGCCACATATTTCCAGTAAACTTTGAGTTCAGCCTCATAGTGCAGATAAAGAACCTGAACACCTCTAGCCCAGGCATTGTACACTCTGCACTAGTCAGATTCTGACCTGAGAGACTTTTTGGCAGATGAAATGTCCTTCCTGATAATAGCATATCCTATTATAAGCTCTGTTGCCTTCTCATTGTGATTATATCCTCAGTCCATCAAAGCAAAAAGTTTCAAAAAGTCAACATACTAGTTCTGAATGATGAGTCACCAGAATGGCCAAGGAATAGGTTCAGACAGAGACTGGGCTTGAAGAACTATGATGAGATTGTCAAGTGACTTTTCAGTCACATAAATTTGTCTGAGTTGGAATGACTCAGCAAGATGAGGATCTGAGATGCCAGTGGTGATGATGGATGCAAGGTGAGGTGCTTGGGCAAGGACCATCAGAGAAATAGAAGCTGTTCTTGGTGAGACAGTGTTGCTGAGCCTTAAAATGCCAGTGAGAACTGTAGCAATAGAGCTCTGAGGATCATTTGTACTAAATGCCTGATAAATGAATTAGAGCTTTGAATAGAGTGTTGCCCAAGCAGCTTCTTCAACTGCTCAAGATCTGGCTTCTTGATACTGTTCAGCAGCAGCTTTGGATTTCTTGACTTGTTTTTATTGAAACTCCTCAACCTCAGCCTGAGACAAGTCTGATGGTGTGGTCTGTCTGTGGTCTGTCAAACCAATGTCCTCATTGTCACCATCTTGTGTGTTAGAGGGGGCAACAGTCAAGCTCTATGGGCCAGCTTGCTTAATCCACTCCTGCAGAAGTCTGATATAATCTCTGGCAGCCTCAGATGAAATGTCAAACTGGTGAAGTCTGTCCACAAAGTCAAGAACATTGATAGTGCCTTTAATACATTTCTCAACAAGGTCTTCACAAGGTTTAGTCAAGGAAGTGACACATTCAACATCAATTGATGGATTGGAGGTCATAAGTGAGATCAATATATTTGAGGGACAAATGTCTGGACAAAAAACTCAATGACTTGTACAATAATAGTCTAGTAATACTAAATGAGGATTGATTAAATCCAGTGAAGCTAAGACTACTCAAGTGAGCCAATTGTGAGATAGAGGAAGAGGTGGAGCCTCACCAGGCAATAGGAGTTACTGACAAGTGAAGAAGGAGGTGAAGCCTCAAAGCCTGGGATTGGTGGTCAGGAAAGATTGATAGTGAGAGAGCAGAGCTTATCTCACCTAGGAATGCAGGATGAAAGTGGGAATGAAAAAGAGATACCTGATGCTGATGTCTCTTATGAATCAACATCAGCTGAGACTCAGCACTGAGATAGAGATGGCACTGGCAATCCCTCTTTATGAACAAGCAAAGCTCTGTATCTCTGCATTTACAGAGATTGTGACAATCTCAAGAGTCACACAGAGACCTGCAAAAATGCTTCCTATCTTTGGAATCTGCCTTTACAACAGAAATCAATAACACTTTACATGCTCAAGCACTCATGAAGCGAGTACAGTCAAAGCCATTCTAAGCTATAAACCTTGATAATACATAGATTTTGAGATTCCAGTGGAATCCACCAACTCCATTTGCAGGCAGATGAGTACTATAAACACATACTCCACTTATACTCCATAACTCATAACTCAGTTGATCAGCATACTAACAGAAATGACCCATGACATCATAAATAGCAGCCAGATAATAGTTATGCTGTTACTGCTATCAAAAAAATGTTACCATCACACTTATAGAATCCAACTCATATGATGGTATCACCAATGATTGCCAAAGCTGAAGAACTGGTGGACATGAATAGAGAAGATTCTGATGCCAATAATGACTTGTCACTGATATTATGGATTTCCAAACTAATGTGTAGAGGATTTCATGTCACTGCATGCACACACCATTGTTGAGATTTGGACTGTATCCAGAGTACATGCTTATAAGACCTTTAGTCTTTGGATTACAAACTCCTGAGGAGTTTTCCCATTGACTTCTCATATTTATACTAGACTACTTCTTTTCTAGTAATTTCTATCTAATTCCTTTAATTTTCCTCAGATTCTTTCCTTACTCAACATGCTGAAATACTAGATTGCTTGAATTCTCTCACAGATTCCAACAACCATCTCATATAAGAATCTTGGCCTACAGTTACATTATTTATACCATTTATTGTTTTTAGTTGTCTTACTTTTACTACTATTATTACTTGTTTTATATACTTTATGCCACTCTTGGAATGACTAGTATATAAGTAGCTATAATACATAGATTTGGACTATCTCTCTCTTCCTTGTAATCCCACTCCCTGTTCTACAGCCAATGGTGACTGACTACCTACAGATAGAAGCCTGCAGAAACTGCTGGAAGTCTCTAGTTGTTTGTAGTATTTTCTTCTCTCTTCTACTCTTTTCTATATCATACTTAATATACTTATTATAATTCACAACCTTCTGAAGCCTTCAGCAACTTCTAGTAATGGCCTTTCATCTTACTATCTTGAACACCCTAACACTTTGTATGATCTCAAGCACCAGAAATCTAAGCTTCACTAGATCCATCAAGCTTCTTGACTTTAATCGAATTAAATATTTAATTCATAAACTGGTTTCTGATATTATGGGGCCCATGGCATAGCTGGTTATCGCATCTGTCTAACACACAGAAGGTCCTCAGTTAGAACCTGGGTCAACTCACTAGTTTTTTTTGTTGGAGGGAATACTAGATTATACAGCTTGTGGAGGCTATAATTTGGGGGCCCAGCATGGGATCTGGGTCATTGACGGCAGTGGACCTGGGTCTATCACTTTTATTCTAATCTTCGTTCTTGAGAGTCGAGTGACGAGTCATTGTATGGATAGTTTTACTTGCAGGTATGTAAAGCCATGATACATAATCACTGAGTGCTCCAATTTCATATACTAGATTTCTATAGGTCTATGATACAGTGTGAGAGATTTGAGTATAATGGTGCCTGGTTGGATTCCAGGCTTTACAATGGTTCCAGTTGGCTCTTAGGCATATTTATCAAACTTTTTGCAGGGAGAATCTGCATAGGCGATCTGATCTTCAACCAAGATATGACAGATCTCTCCCAATAATGTTTATGTCCAATTTTTTCTTGAGATTGATCGGTGATCCCTATACTTATTCGATCATAAACCACACATGAGATCACTACCAAATGGCTGGGTCATTGCCTTTAGAATCTATACATTGGCAGTTGTCAATCTCAAGTAAGAGTCAATGAATGAGGCAGAAGACATACAGGATTCAGGACTACCATGCCTTATTCCTCTGATGGCTAAGAACCTCTCCTTCGTTATGTAGCAGGTTGGCCAGGACGCTAATTGAAAGGTAAAGAGGAAGATAGCATCGTTGCTCATCAAAAGAGTAAAGTTGAAGAAACGGCACTCATAGAATAGGACTGAAGTTGGAGATTCGTTGCCATGTTCAGATCTGGATGCTGGAGTTGACTGCAATGACACTGGATTGTATATAACACCACGAACCTCTGATATCATGAAAACGGTCTCTTTCCAGATGCTCGGTAGCTGAGCAAGAGTAGACAGTTGTCTCAACAATGGTCAAGAGCTAGACGTCGTTCACATCAGAACCTATCTTCTAGTATTCTCTTTCTTCCAGGTAATCATTTCGTATTCACAATATTTTCTCAGGAACACAATATGGGACTGCAAGCTTATACTAGTATCATACGGAATGCACTAAGTCTCCTCAATGAATTGGCCTAGAATCATATTCTGGATAAATAATTTGGACACTGTCACTGCAGACAGAGCTTGTTAATCGCTGGTATCATCTGCTGCCCGGAGATGATCATAGTAGGAGGATGCCACGATTTCGACGGCCAGAGGCGATGTGAAATTGATATTCCCGGTATGTTTGAGATGGTGTTGATGAGGATGCGCCATGGCAACGCGTGAATAAAATTTAAATGTCTAACAAATACATTACTACCCTGTGGTACCAAAGCAGACTGTGAGGTCCGATCCCATCACGTAGATCCCTGCCCCTGTCCACCTGTGGATTTCCATTAGATGCCTTCCACACAAGCCCTACATATTCTGTTTCCTGAGGAAGTGGATTTCCGACACACTGAGAATATATAGCCATTTTGATCATTTGCGTCACACTGGTAGACTCTGAGAGAAACGACTCCATCACCATTTATGGGCCTTCGAACGGGAGCCACCCATCGACTGTGATCATCAGAGCTTGCTCAGTCTCATCGCACTAAACTTAAGATTCGATACTTTACACAATCAGATCAAGGCTACAAGATGATATCGTACATAAAGTAAAAACTGGAACGAAAAGAAAAGGCTACAAATTCAGTTCAAAAAGTCTATATCTCTTCGCGCCCAGATGGAACGCCAAATACCCTTTCAGGAACTCTTCGTATTTACTACGCACTTCCTCGTGCGGTGACAAGATACCCAAAACTCTCTCATGTGATTGGAGACACCTTTTCACCACGGAAAGAAGAGCCTGGCTCTTTGGTTCGCCGTTGGCTTCCGCCAAAATCGATATGAGGTTGTGCTCCTCATCCTCACATTCCTCTTTGTAGAACGAAGTGATGTCGTTTGTGAAATTGATGACTTCGCGTAGGAAAGGGAGAGCTTGGACATACAGGTTATACGGCAGCTCGGCGGGGAACATGAACACGGCGTAGGCTTCGGCGATCCCGCTTAGCTCGCGAAGAAATATGGCGTATTTGTCGACTTTGTGTGTCTGTCTCGGTCGATGAGTAAGTGTGCCATTTGTCAGAGAGATAAGGGTACTCACCGGTTCAGATTTACTTCGTATCTCGAGGATCAAAGAAGTGATGAATCTGAGTGCCGCTTGGACGATAAAGTCAGCAGCGACTTCGCCAAAGAGATAAGAGGTTCCTGCTAGGATCTTCAAAGTCGTCTAGCATTTTGGTCGGCTGTTTCTCCGAGGAAGCAAAGTGCTGTGCAGAAGAAATTAATGGAGTTTGGTGATGGAGACAATATTTACCTTTGTAAAAGCAGGAACACCGATCAGGGCGTCGGGGTCATCAGGATACACGTCGTCGAAGTATGTCGCGAATGCGGTGAAGAAGACAATATATACTTTGATGTTGTCATCGACGAGGTGGTGGTACGCAGAAGCGGTGATGTTGAGCCCAACCGTTAGGTAGGGCCTGAGCACGTCGACGGCATATCCTCGACGGACGGCCTCTTTGTAACAAAGATCCTCGAGTGCAGCATCCTCGACGGACGGCAAGTTGGTGGTGTCAAAGTGGTGCAGAAAAGATCGTATTATATCTTCAGTGGTCTGCTTCGGTAGGGGGTTTGGAAACCCAAGTAATCGTCCTGAGGAGAACACGAAAAGGAATGTATTAGTGCGGAGAAGACTGTGGTATGAAGACAGCATACCGACTGGTGTCAACAGAACAGAAGCCCAAGATTGGATTCCTCGACGTTGGACAGTGAGATTCTCGCGCAAAACAGTCATTGTAACTATGTCGGATATGACTTGCTTAGCTTCGACGTAGGGTTCCAATACGATAGGAAGCTCTTCTGAAGCGTCATAATTTAATATATACCCCCAAAGGTTTCCTTAAAGGACATCATTCAGTCGAAACAAGAGTTTCCACGCATGTTTCGTCGTCAATTAATGTGAGCGGAATCGCCAACTCACCGGAGGTCAATATTTGCATGAACAGGGAGAATGATGATTAGAATTTCCGGCATTCTTAAAATAACCCGATTTCCATTGATAGCTGTTCGCCAACAGCGTGAGATTCGACGTGACGTTGTTGTCCAGAGTGAATGCATCCGCATCCTGGTTCCACGTTTATTTCAAAGTCACCTTCCACCACTTTGCCATTAGAATTTGGATGCTTTTAGCATAGTAGAGAGGTACCCGACGCCTGAATCTGGGAGCAATACTAAGTTCGGTTAGCTTATGGTATATGACGAGGAGTTGGTCCAAAGGAAGTAATTAGCTATAACAGAATTGGTTTGGTCTGCGTTCATCGCTATTTCGACTTTGCTGTTCCAAACTGAACTACCGATTCGACCCGCCATACCGGGCCGCCATACGGCTGGTGAAAGGGTCGGGATGCATGAGGAAAAACATCTTTTAAGGTCTTCCCCCTGTGGCTAACCTGAAAAAACCCAATTAGATCGAAAAACGGGCTACCAATGAGACGCGTACCTTATGTTTGACGACCAAGCCTCCAGTAGGCAACATGCTCCATTTTTCAGCGAGCTTCTCGCCATTGAACGCCGGAGACTTATGGAGAAGAACCCATTTTCAGAAGAGCAGAGTGAGGATCATCCGACACGTTGATGTTCACGCCGATGATGCAGTCCATCGCCCCTCACTTCAGAGGCTAGCATTTTTTAATAGCCTAGAATGGGAAGGGATTTCACGACCGAGAAAGGCTTCGCTAAATGAAGAATCACTTCCAATACGGAGCTATCGGAAACATCATCTAAAGGGTAAATTCTGGTATCCCTTCGTCAGTAGAAATCCTGATGAGTCATGTCCGTGGAGACAGTTCGAGTCTGGACCAGCGATTTTTGGCATCATCCCCACTCACTTCGCAGCAGGAGTGGAGTTCAATGAGAGACCATAACTGCAGTATGAACGGACACATGAAGCCAACGCTAGGATACACATGCAAAGATCCAAAGTGACTGATCTGGCTCCACAGCTATGCTAGGCCTCATCAAAAACGTAGTGAATGACCTGCCTACTTTCCTAGTACATCGCGCAGCATATCATCCGGTAACCTGCGGACGGGGCAGAACCTGACCTTGGCGTCAGCTGTATTGGACTCGAGCAGCTTTTTTTCGGAGTTCAGTAACTGCCGTGTAGCGAAAATTTTCCAATTGCACGCGTTAGCCAAGTCGGTACCTTTGGTGACGGTCGTAATCAAAGACAGTTTTTTCGAATTCCAAGTGTCTTATTCAAGGGGCAGAGGTCTTGCTTGAATTTGACTTGAATTTCAAGGCGCTTACGTGAATAAGGTCACGTGTCAATGCGTTGGTCCGGCCAGTGCGGAGTCATCGATCTCAATCTTCCAGTATTTCTGCAATGAAAGAGGCCCTTCAAATCGAATTTATGGGCGATGCTCCTTTCCAGTCGGGAACAAAGGATTTTCTCATGGGTGTGTTCGTCTACGAGCCAACTTTTCGGAGTCCGACTTCTACATGTTTTTGCAAAAAAACCACAATGGCACGCCGTTCAGCACCAAGTCTTCCCAAGGTCTAAAGTTAACTGTATAGCTCGCGATATGTCCGGCTGTTGTCAATACATTTTGTACGGCTTACAAAGTATAAGATGCGCAGGCTTCGGTGTTATAGAGGAAGTTCCGTTCATATCGAGTCGGAGAGCATGTTAGTAAATTCTTAGCTTTCGTTTCTTTGAACTTTTTTTCGGACCCGTCCATCTCAACTTAGGATCAATACTATCCTCAGCTTACTCCTGCGGAGGTACGTCGGAGATTTCATGGCTCAACAGGTTATTTACAGTGTCCTAATATAAAAGACAGCGCACGGAACCAATCCCTGATATTGCCCCTAGGAAAGTGATGAGAAAACACTTGTGCCTTAAACTGTTCGATAAGCCGACGGATATGCTATCGGTTTATGATGAAAGCATTCTCTGTTCAGGATCAAAGACGTGACGAACGAAGGCGGAAGTTGAAGGCGCTCTGTGAGTATATGTCATCATAAATATCGAAAATGTGTTGATTGAATAGTATCGGGACTATTGCTTTCATAACGTTACAGTTACTAAATGGAAGCCGGAAACATTTGACAATCCCGGAAAGCAAGGCTTTCCTCATTTCGCGCGACCTGATCCACTAACATGAATGACATTTATCGGATCAAGGACGTACAGTGTCATCTATCTGGCTATTTGATGATTCCTTGATCTTTGGTAAACAAACGAGTCGGCGAACAAACGATTCCGGCATTGAGTATCGAAAAGTGTTGTCCCTGGTCTTCGACACAATGACGAGGTTGACGGATATATACTAAGCAGTGAAACCGGTGTATCTTACGCTTAGCGAGATTGGGCATCCCCAGTCTCCCGCCTCAGCAGGTCTATTTGACAAAGACTACAGTGACTCTCTCGAGTATTACGACGAAACACCTTTTGCAACGTCGAATAATGCAATACCAGACGTCTGCTTGTTCTCATCTTCCTGGTGAGCCTTTCAACTTGTAACATGACAGGTCTTTTCTTACTCGCTAGTTGTTTTCGTTCCTTAGGTCTTGTACCCAACCCTGTGCGCTGATCAAGTTTGAAGCTACAGGGAAGCATATACTAAATTCTTCACAGAAACCAAACCCACCTTCAGAAGACATCTGTGATATTATACGATCTTTCCTGCACAAATTTGACACCACGGATTTGCCACCTGTCGAGGATGTTGTACTCGAGGATCTTTGTATCAAAGAGGCCGAATGTCGAGGGTATGACCTTGGTGTCCTCCGGCCTTCCCTAACGGTTGGGCTCAACATTGCTGCTTCAGCATACCGCCACCTCACCGATAACAACGTCAAAATATACATCGCCTTCTACACCATGATTTTAACATACTTGGACGACACTTATCCTGATGACCCTGACGTCCTCATTGGAGTCCCTAATTTTACCAAGGTAACTAACGCTGAGCATAGTTATGAGTTTTGCTAATTACTCCAGCGTAGTACTTCATGTCTACGGAAAAGCAGCCATCCAAGACGTTGAACGATCTTGCAATTCTTCTCACCGAAACCCCTCAGTTCTTTGGCCCAATCGCCGCTGACTTCATCATTCATTCAACCCTTCGGTTCATTACTGGGTTAATTTTAGAGACGCGGAGCAAATACGAACCGGTGAGTTTTATTTTTCTGTTGTAGTCCAGTCTGCTCATCGAAGATGGCAGAGGCACAAAAATGACAAATATGCCATGTTTCTTCGCGAGATCAGCGGAGACTCTGATGCCTACGCCATGTTCATTTTCCCCGCAGACCTGCCGTATCATGTATACATCCAGACTCTTCCTCTCCTCCGAGATGTCGTCAGCTTCATGAATGACATCCCCTCGTTCTATAAGGAGGAGTGTGAGGGTGAAAATCACAACCTCATATCGCTGTTGGCTGAAGCTCGCGGCGATCCAAAGAGTAAGGCTCTTCGCTATGTGGTTGAGAAGTGCATGGAGGCACACGAGACGACGTTGCTTATCTTGTCACCACACAAAAAAGCGCACGAGATATACAAGGAATTTGTGAAAGGTTACTTAGCGTTTCATCTTGGCGCAATGAGGTATAGACTCGGGGAGCTGAATCTGTAACCTGTCGTTCCTAAAATCTTGTGTTAACTGTGACTGCGAGTAAATCAATAAATGTTGAGGGATTCAGTCGATGCTTGGTTTGATTATCTCGGGAAAGTTCTCCAATGGCGCGATCACAGATCACCTAGTAATATTTCTCCTTTCATTTTTTGTTGCTGAACCTCAACCATTCACCACCGTTCCGAGTAAATACTGAGAACGTTGTCTATCGACAATAAACCAGTGAAAACAAGTTCTGGGCCGAAGTCGTATATGCTTTTCATATTATCATGCCAACCCCTTTACGGTGCTTATATTTATCTTATCGATCAGAGCAGCGACCCCTGAAACGTCAACACAGGTGATGCCTGTGACATCTCAAAGACCGCAGTACTATATGCTATTGAATTTACGGCCCAGTTCAACTCATTTTTCTACGGAGAATCGGATGGGTTCAATTTTACGGAAGACAGAAGATAGGGCAGTAGCTTTCCATGATAACGACAAAGTTATTTCTCAAGACTGTAAACGATCTGTGAGTACTTGGTCTTTAGCTTCAATGTTCATGGTATGCTTTCAATATATCTTACCGTCCACGACTCAAAAATAACTCACTGCTTAGTTGACTCAGGGACTGCCACTACTGTATTTGAATTATTCATCACCCATTGTATACCATTCTAATGAGAATTTACGGTAAACTTTTCCCCCCAGCCCGGCCCAGTACTCACGGTTTCAAGTCAGGGATCACCCCCTGCTTGTTAACTGAAAAGCACGCTTTCCAGGCCCTCTATGTCCATTCAGAACATCTATCGCCCCCTCATAACTAACATACAAACGCTGGGTTCATGTTTGAATGCGCGTCTGGTTTAACGGCATTTCTATGACGTCGAGCTTCCGACAAATGCTTCTCCTTAAGGACGATACTGCCATCGCAGAGTGGCTTGATATTTACTCAGGATTTCCGTTGGCCAGCTTTCCGGTTTGAGTTTCATCCCATACAGCTGTTTAGTTGAGGGTCTGGAAGTTGTGAGGCCGCCTAGGACAAGATAAGTGCATAGATGACACTTCATGTCCGAATCGGATCAAGACGACTCACTAGACTCCCGCAGTGTGGGAAAAAACATAGCTTTCTGTTATGTCCGACTAACGTTCAGTTCATTCTGTCACAGGGCCTCGCGCCCATAGCCATCAAGCTTTAGTCTTCCCCACTAAAAGTTTAAGGTACGGTGGTCTCATAATAGAGACCATTCGACAACCTGGCCTAGACTCGCGAGCGTTTACAGTGGCATAATGAAATGAAACAGAAGGTCATCGTGGTCTTGAACAACACCGAATAGTAATAGCACAGCCTTCAGGAACGGGCGATCTTTGCTTACTGGGTCCATGCCGTGTAAACCGGAGGGATGTAGCAGTGCCACATCTTGTATACTTGCGTCTGGTGTGCCCAAATTGTACTGTGTCGTTAATTATGATGATGGTAATCCATGGTATTGGCTTATTGAAATCCTTGGTATAGCGAGCACTTGAGCACAAGTAGAATGAATGAAGATTATATTCAATGTACCAGAATACAGTGGTATTTAAATAAAAATGCGTAGTCCATAACATAGCTAAGTATCATAGAAACATAAGTATGGAGGGAATAATTACTATGGAAGCAAATGGAGCTGTACTCAAGAGTACGAGTGAGTACGACACCTGTTGAACCTAGTTACCATATCCAGATGCCAATCCATCAATCCGTCAAGTTGGCTCCGCGTCGACTTTCAGCTTGTATTCCAACATGGCCTCAGCCGCCTCATAGTCAATCCCCACAGTTCTTGTATACTTTCTGTAATTTCTAATACTTTCCACATACAAGTACAATCATTAATGGAAGGGATAAGTTAAATCATAGAGCCAAGAAGAGAGAGTTGAACAAAGGAGTGCTATCCGAGTGTAAGTCGATGTCGGATTCAGATGAAAGAATGGAATGTTGCGATTAAACCGACGAAAGTAGCAACGCCAGACACCAGTAGATGATCAATTGTGATTCTGCGCGCGCCGTTCTGTGCTGCCCCGGTACAGAGAGTACCTTTGCTATCCAGATATCGCGCGGGTAAGATGACCTACCCACGTTTTGTGAGGTGATTTTGTGGTAGAACATCCGAAGAACTTACTTGAGGCAGGCCGTACCTCCACTCTACGGTCACGGCATGGACGTTGTATGGCTCTTATGGCTTTCCAATCAAAGTAGCAAACGAGTACCGCCAAAGTATATCTTTGCGAGATGATCTGGGCTTGGTCATGTTTGTTTTCCTAAGCGAGCTTTGGTGTATAGTGTGCTTCTGTTGGTTGTATAATTTCGTTAAGCACGGGAATGAAAAGAAGATCTTATACGCGTCCAATACTAATGTTTCACTTATAGCTGGAGCTCATGAGGAAATGAACACAATGATTCTTAGTCACTTACCAGTGGAGTGGAGCTCCGTATCTTGTCGCATGTGAAGGAGGACGTAAAATGTACCAGGAATTCGCCGAAGGATATTAGGTATTTCGTTTGGGGACGCACGTTGAGAATCGAAGACGGCAGCTGAAAATGTCATACGTATAGAGTCTATATGTGAGCAGTGATACTTGGGTTGTACAAAAGGTTACGGCGATTTTTGTTCTACGTTGATATACTGTTGGAAGAATGGTTTGATATGGATGAATATAAGCAAGTAAAGGGAAAAGAACAGTAATTAGAAGTGTGGAGATGAATATATGACCGAGGTAGGAGCTAGAAGAGGAAAGTCCACCAGACAGCGATTCAATAGACAGTGAAAGAATCTAAGTGGACACGTCGGAGTTGGTACCGCTGCCTATCTTGGAAGAAGTGTTCCGCTTGCGTGCACGGTGGCCTGTAGGATTGGTGACATTGACTACCCAAAAACCTCCTCTCGTGACAGGGTCATTCGGGAGAGGCTTAAGAAGGAGGAAAAGATCAGATGCACTCAAGGCATTTTTGAGGGTATCCTGAAAAGCTGCATAAATGTATATACCAGAAGATCATTATTCGTCGACTTACCAGGAGGGCGTTGTCAGTGCGGAAGTACTCAAAACGGGCCGTGAGCGCACTTCGGATTTGTGCCTGTGTGGCCTTTCCGTCAAGACTGCTGTATATAGCGACAGCTGCAAGGTCCTTTGTTTCATATGATGGTCTAGTATGTCTGACGGACTCATCTACGAGAGAACTAAGGTGGATTAGTGCACCGGGCGGAATTTGTAGTTTTTCTCGGATGAACGGAGCTGGGTCAGGAAGGTTGTATAACTGAGGGTAGGATGGAGGAGGCAATATAGGGAGACCATAGGGCGCCATAATTCTTCGTGGTGGCAACGGAGGGGCCAAGGACGGCGTAGCATTGGCCGTGCCGCCTGGGTAGGCTGCGGGGGGGGTACGCACCATACCCTTGACTCTGGCTCTTTGAAATCATGTTAGCTAAAAAGATCAACGCCTTGATCAGGACGAGAGTCGCTCACAGCGGGAAGAGGCACATTTTGTGCATTGGCATACGATTTATTCCTGTAATATGGATGGTGGGCAACGACGGTATTGCCGGCATTTTGATGAACAGGGTCATTGTATTTGTTCTGAGGAGCGGGATGATCGGGATACATGATCCTGCAATGTAACCGTGAATCAGTCGCCTCGACGGAGGTTACTGACACGTACAGTAACGTCTGTGCAAGCGCGAAAGGAGGCGAAAAGAAGCAGAGAAGAGAGTAGAAGACGAGGAGATGCTGGAGCAGTGTTGTAAGGCCACTGTTGGGTACATTTCAGCCCCACGTTGAGGCTTTTATAGCAGTGTACCCCAGGAATTGTAGGCGTGCCATACATAGCTATGTTCACGAATTGGTTTCTATCCGATATCCGACGATTGGCTCCGGACACGGACTGAACAAAAACATACCCTATGAAGAAGTTGATGAGAAGGACACGAGGCAAAAAATTCCATATATGGGAGTCAATATTAGCGTCGGTTGGGGTGTGTGTATGCAGCCGAGGAGCCGGGGACAAGATAGGCATATTCTGACTTTCCTAAGAAGGGATTTTCATTTGAGATCAACTCGATAGCTGGTCCGGTAAGGCCAGAGTGTTGTACAACTCACACAGTACCCTCGGAGGTAAGAAATGTATGCTTAAAGCAGATACAGCCTCTATTTTATCCATATGACATAGCAGGAGATACTCGAGCCAAAGCCCACCTCAGGGTTGGGCTGATCTTGGGTAGTTTGCTGGGCTTTAAGCCTGACCCAGACATCACCAGCAAAGGTGCGACACGTCAAAAGACGTCAATCTCTGCATAACAGGGGCAACGGTCATAAAGTATCCAAGAATCGCATCGTGTATCTTTTCATCCAACGAGAATCCTGAGCTTGAGGAGCGAGGATTCCTCGTCCTGACTGTGAGCCGGCCGCTTTGAATGCAATTCCTGGGGAAAATGCCTTCAAATTGAAATGAAGAAGAAATTTACTATGATCCATCTTAAGTAGCTTTCTGAGTCTATTGTTTCGTCAAATGTTACGGAAGAAGAAGAAAAGGGCAAGAGATACACCAGCCGGCGACGCTCAAGTTCCTTCCCTTGCCAGAGCGTCACACCGACTCGGACGACAGACACTGACTAGTAATGCGATAAACGACGAATTGAAAAATTTTCTAGTGTGACTGTGTTTTCTGTCACGCAATTGAAGAGCGATACGTCTCGAATCATTTCTTGCGTTGGTCGTTATGTCAAGCGAATACCACGTCTCTGGCTTGAGAACCCAGTTGAAAGGTGGCACCAAACACGTGCAAATAACGCGTCTGTGGCGCGAAAACAGCACGTCGCTGGGTAACCTCCTCGAAGCACGTGAAGCAGTCTTATCGTTATGACTGATTCGAGCTCAAATGTTTATTGGAAGCATTAGAGGAATTCGTCAGGTTAGAACAGGATATTCTTTTTCTAAGAAAGTGACGCGCGTTTGTAGCACCTAATAGATTATGCTGTTAGCTATAACGTAGACCTCACACAGCGTAGCGATAAGCAGAAACGCGGTGTTGTATTCACTGTACCTAATAGATTATGCTGTTAGCTATAACGTAGACTACAGAATACCAATCAGTGACATAAACGAAGTAATATAAGTAGATACTCACCCTCACACAGCGTAGCGATAAGCAGAAACGCGGTGAGGGTGCTCGACAGACCGTATTCAATATATATAGTCCATCCCGACATAAAGGGGTATCGAGCTTTGCCGGCGGGATACGACGGAGCTCCTGCTTGCTAATCCAACACTTTTTCGACGATCTCGGTGCCGACTACACGAAGCTCGTAAAACCCACGTGAAACGGCGGCGGCTTTGTTTCAATAAAAGAATTCTACATCGACTCAGCAAACGATCAAGGATTCACCAGTACAACACTCCGCCATCTATGCGCAAAATATCTCCATTCGCATAATCCGACACGGCCAGATACACACCAATCATGCCCATCTCAGTCTCACTGAAGGAGACATCAGAGCCCACCTAGCCAAAGAAAACACAACGTATACTCACGTCCCTTTCCTCCTCGCGGGCACCCACGCCAGGAGCCCAGGTAATGCCTTCGTCTTGACCGACTCCAAAAAACACTGGTGGGTTTTATTGGGATGCAAATGGCCCCGAGGCAGTCGCCTTCACTCGAATCGGGATATCTCTCACAGCGAAACGGTTTCCAACAGATAGAGTGACGTATTCCTTAGCAGATTTCGTTGCGCGATATGTAAATTTTTATGGAATCAGGGTGAAGTTCAAAGGGGAAAGGAAGCAACACGTACAGACTAGATTCATGGAGGAATGTATGGTCACTCCTACGCTGCTGATGTTGATTACACTTGACGTTCCCTGGGGATTGGCATGCGCCCTTTGACAAGGAGAGATTGGAAGGCCTGAACGACGAAGAATGGTGAGGTGGCATTTGTTTCGAAGATATCAGACCGATTTTGTGCCGTTTTGGGCTCGAGGGGATCCGTTGCTGCCATTTTATTCGTGGTAAACTCAGGGTCGCGGAGGGAGCGGGAGAGTCCTTTGCGAAATGAAAAGCTTAGTATATGCTGATAGAGAAAGAATGGAGCAGACGAACTCGTTGACAAGGATATCGAGCATTCCATCGACTCCTCCGATGTGTTTGGCACCTGCGTTGATACTTTGTTCGTCTGTCACGTCCATGTGGAGGCTGCCTACGCGTCATAGGAAAGGAATACAAAGGGTGAATGCTGTTACTTACCAGACCATGGACCCTTAATACCCATAACAGAAGCAGCGGCTTTCTCTAGTACGTCCAACCTTGGGTCAGTGATGTATACTTTCGCTCCAACCGTAGCAAAAGGTTTGGCCATGGTTAATCCTCTGCTGAGGCGCCAGTAGGGAGTCTCAATCAAGGACACATAGACCGTTGCATTCCCGTCCCACCTCCAGTGATAAGACCGACTCGTCCTAGAGCAACATTGTTATAGCTATGTTATGATCTGCCATGTTCTTGAAACGATGAAATACCTTTCGATATGGTAGCGTTGTCCTGAAAACGTATGAATCAGCCTTATTCAGCAAGGCTGTATGCCGGTTAAGGGGGTAAATATCGATTCCTGACACCTGGTCAGACATCTAGAAACAGGGCTATCGTCAGCCAGAACGAAGAATCGCATCGCATTAATCCTGTTCCACTTACAAAGAAATATCGGAGGCGTTGAGAGGCAGTTCAGTGCATACGGCACACCAGCTCAACTTGCGTTTCTTTCATGTGGACCATAATTGTCTCTACGACCGCCAATAGTATCATTGCCAACCCGCCAGTCAGGCAATCATGGCTAAGACTATTCATATATTACGTTTGTAGTTAAGCATTGAACGCGACTCACCAAAAGTCATTGTGTCAGATTCATCTTCGAGTTCGCGACACGTTACTTTGAGTGCTCTCGCCAGAACAGCTCCAAAGCCTCAGGCAGGGGCATACGGCACCCTCAAAAGACACGCATCGGCCGAAATGTATGGGAATTAGTTTCACGATAAGATTATAGTGTAGTATAACGTGGACATAGGATTCTTGTATAAACAATGTGCGTGGTGCGAAGCCAAAGAAATCTGCGAAATGAGTATGATGAGAATGTGCTATACACTGATGAGATACACATACCGATACTTGAGGTGTACACCTGAGAAAAGAGCCCGAGACAAAGTAGAACCCAGAAAAGGAGGATGGCCGGTAGCTGAACAGGAAATAGTTGAGGCGACCTAGTGAAGATGGAGGCTGGCGATCTGCGAACGATATCCTTCTTCAAGCTGGAAAAATATCTTATACACGTCTGATGCACCATGAACATGGGTCACGTAGAAGAGGCATAGACAGGGCGCACCAGAGTCTTCACCCAATTTTTCGCACACCAGGGCCTTTCCTCTCTCAAGGTTAGCCAACGCTTGTTGGAGAAGCTACATGTCCTGAAGGCAGATATCCTCTTGGTTGCTTTGGCGCTATTGCTTGACGGTGGGCTCTCCAATCTTACGGATGGGCACCTGCTTGTTTGATACGTTCTTCGGATTCGACGCTTGCCATAGCGTCGAGGCTCAGTAGAAAGAAAAGAGGGTAATATTGAAGCTCGAATTGACCCGATATCTTCTATCCAAACCGTGATAAGTATCCGCTGGCAGAGATGCAGCCAAGTGAAACCTACGGCACCCCATTGCTCTATCGTGTCTAGTGATTGTACTCCGATTTTGAAGGTGCCGGCGTCTTTGCTCATGTAGTGGAGCCAAGCGTCGCCCGTCTCATAGAGGTAAGAGTTAAGAAAGTCTACCACAGCTCGAACATCCGCCGTACTGTGTGTAGAAACGAACAAGAGATGATGAGACCAATAAAGGCACGCATATTTCAAAATCCCTTCCTCACTATAGGTGATCGAGGCAGCAGCCCAAGACAATGCGTCGTTCATGAGATTGAGAAGACGGAAAAATATGGAACGGTGATTATGAGAGGGTCGAACTCGAAGACGCGAAACAAAAAATTTTGTGTGTATGCACTTTCGGCTGTTCATGCACTATTCCCCTTCGCATTTGTTTGAACAGCCTGTGTTCGACGGGATAAAGCCTCTGAAAGAAGAGTGGAAGAGATGGACAAAGTCATGACCGTTTGAAGGAATGACCAGGACAGAATGAAAGCGAGAAAGCATTCCTTCAACATGGTTTCGGGCCGTTCCTAATAAAAGACAGATATTAGGCTGTATCATAGGCTGCTGTAAGAGAATGATGGTGCCTAAAACCGTCCGAAGATTGTTGACCTTTGAATCAGGAAGATCTTTGATAGCAGCGGATATGGTCCTTCGATATAGATGGTCTAAGCCATATTCCCCCTCATTATGACTCTCAGAGACACTGGCGATCTGAGTCAATTGTTCCGCCCTGTCTCCTGGAGACTCGATGAATCTGCATACGTTTGTTGCAAATATGAATAATCCAGCAGATTTCTCGACAAGTTGATCTACAAGATGTTCTGGAGGCCAACTGTTTCTCGTCGCCGACTCTCCAGAGATGGGGGGACTCGGAACCGAGGTGAGCAGTTTGGCGTGAAGGTACATCTGTATGTCAGCGTCGACTACATGTCCGTCTATGCGATGCAGGATGATATCTTTCCATCGAGCACTTGGAACCGACTGGAAAGCCTCACGTTCAGGGATTTCGGGGCGGCTTGTTGTCAATATTTTCAAGCCTCGAAAGTCATGCCGGTCATGAGGGAGGGATAGAAAACCCAGAATCAGCTCACGGCTAGCGATCGCATCCGTACGTTCATCCAATGCATCAACAATAAGTAAGAGAGGGTCGGAGCGACGGTTTATGGTCAACAGTGGTTTGATTACCAGCCTTTCCAATTGCTGAGACGGCGTTTCCTTATCAATGCCGTCCCAGTGCCGCACAACAGAAACAAGCTCTTGACGAAATGCAATATCGAGTTCAGAGAGGTGGAAAGCAATAGTAGGAACGACAAGTCCAGCGTCCTTTTGTTGCGAATCATTCCTAGAGCAAAAGAAACTTCCTCCAAGGATGCCCTTGTCTGCGGCCCAATGCGCGACGCTCCTTGCTATGGTACTTTTTCCCGCACCCAGACATTGTTCAGCCAACAAACGCAGCGCGTATCGACATCGTCCCGGATCCAGGTCACAATATCCTCCAAATCCGCAGTTCGGGTACCTTCTAAGCAGTCGCCTGGGGCTCCAACCTGGGAACGGGGAATAATATTGATGATTAACGAAGGTACTGGTGTTTTGTTAGGACATGTCGGCATCAAGGCGCAGCGGACGCATCGTCTGTATGAATGTTCTGACCGGGGTTGGTGAGCTATATCAGGTTTCTCAGAGTGTTAGGCTCACCGAGGTATTGACTTCGACACGAAGTACAGATCCAGTCTGCCATCTGTCAGTGACTTACACGTGCAAGATCGGGGTTTCTACACACCAAACATCTGTCCAACAAAGACCTCAGCTGCCGGAAGATACCAACTATAGCCTGCTTGTCTTCCGACGAATAGAGAAGCCCATCGACAAGAGTGCTGTTTTGAAGGTTCGGCAGATGCTTTGTATTGATGCAAGGCCGCTAGTTGGTAATGAGCTTCCGGAAGAATAAAAGACGTTGAGCAGACGACGAACTTCTGAAATCCTTCAAAATGTTCTCTCGACGCCGGGGGGGATCGCAACTTTCCTGCCTGGAAGGTAAAAGGCGATAGAAGATAGTCAAGCTTTTCAATCATGTTGAGAATTTCTTGAAGATCTTGGTTGCTTTGACCAGTTTCCTAGCATTAGATGTCAGTGCCATCGACAACGAGATCATCAAGGGTAATCGACCTGCCTGAATCATGTCGACGATCGCAACAAGGACCCCCACGGCGTCCTTTAGGCCCGGAACTGGAATACCTTCCAGTCTTCTCGAAAATCTTCAAGGATGCACAAATGCTTGCAGTAGTGTGCGGCGCGGCTGTGGAATCATATCTCCATGCCGCCGCCTATCGATAAAGACAAGAAATGACTGAATTCTCTCTGTTTCGATGGACGTTGTCAATCGCATTAATACGCCCACTGGCAATTAAGATACAGGAACAGAGTGAACAGGTACTGCGACATCAGCAGAGGCCGTTGCACTTTTGGAACGTGGGAATAATATTTGAGGGATCAGATGTTTCAAAAGTGGGCGTCGTTCTCTCTCAGGCATCGATGGCATCGCGCTAGCCCATCACACAGAGAGAGCTGTAAGGCTCAGTGGGGAAGACCAGCGGACGCTTTAGAGAGGGCGATGATGAGCTGGTTTGGGTACAAGTGTCAGACTCGTACCTGAAATCATTCCCCGTCACGAAGTTTGATGAATAGAATAGGGTCATCGAGTAGCGCCCGGCCCGAGCTACCTGAAGATTGCATCTTTCAAACAAAATAGTAACACTGAGTAAATGTGATGATATGACGAGTCCAAGAATGTGACCAAATATGATTGGGGAATGCCTGAAACCAGTGAGCTTGATTGTTCAAGGAACGAGCATTTGATAACACTAAGCCTCATTTGTTCGGAGAATGACGAGGCACAACGAGATAGTCGGCAGGCGCTTCTTGACAAGAAACCGAAATGACTGAAGGGGGTAGACGGAACGCTATGTAGCATAAACATTCCTCATATAGAAGTCCAATCCCTGTACCCAGTTTGTAGCGAGGAACAGGCTGTAAAGGAATACGTTGTGTAAGGCAGGGTGACGAAAGAAGGTTTCATTTGAAAACTCACAATGACATGACAGCGGCTGCTTCATCCGGCATCCTTCCGCGAAGAAAGAAAGACTAAGGAATTTCCATGCGAACAGGATTGTTGATCGTAGCCCAGCGCCAGATACCTAACGCGCCTTTCTGTCAGCATTATCTGGGTTGGCACCTAGGAGCAAATCGCCTTCATCTATTCGCTCTGAGCAAGCCTTCTGCCATGACGGAGCTGTTATACCCGTTGCCTGCCTTCTTATTATTCAAAAGCATATTTACGAGGCGAGGAAAACACAGACCTTTGCACCCCTCGCAAGTCACCGTGGAAGGACAGCACTAAGTTTTGCGTCGTCTGACTTGCGATTGCATTTGGTGCCCAACTTCTCTATCACTGCGTTATGATCAGTTCAGCAACGCGAGTAACACCCAACGACTGTTCCGACCACGCTGTTGCGATGCAAATGGAACTGGCACTGGAATACAGTTGGTTTTCGTTGCCGTGAGAGCAGTAAGTCCCTCCCTGGAGGTGCTGGCAGCCTACATCCCCACCTCAGTCGATTTCATGGACAAGGAAAGGGTGTTGCATAATAATACCGAACATATAAGCACCGAGCCGAATTAAACATTCTCAGAGGTAAACGTGCTTTTTTGGATAGGACCGGAGCCTATCATTTCTGTGTCAAAATAGTATGTACGAGGCCAGCAAGAGAGACGAACCTCGGTACCACAGATTCCCAGTGAAAAAAGTAGCATTATCCATGCTGTACCATCTGTATTTCATGTGTTGCGCACAGAGTCCTTCGCCCGTTTCTAACACCTATGCAATACTGATAGGGAACAACTTGAAGAGGTTGCCATTCGGCCTGAGGCCTCCTGGAACAATAACGAAAAGATCTGAGGAGGCAACGCTGCATCTGAATGTCAAGAATAAATGTAACGCAAGGAGAGTTGAGGTGGTCGTCATGAAAGGGCGTTATTTGTTCGTTTAGCCCAGTCGCTTTCCTTGACTCTGCCACTGACCATCATCTGCCAGCGGCGCTAACTTATCTCGCGGCAGTAGCTCTGTTGGGAAATCTGATCTGATAACTGGCTTCTGAAAAGTACTGATCCAGTCGAGACAGGCGGATGTTGCACCCAAATGAAATGCTAAGCGTCCAATTCCTTGAAAGCGTTGCGCACTTCGACGTACAGCTGTAAGATATACAGGACTGTCTCATACACTCGAATGCATTGAGAGACTCCTTGGCTCACTGCAAGCATGAGCTATTGGCGATATCAGATTACCAGTTTCCCCGTTACGTTCCTTCTTGTAAAATGAGAGAATGTCATTAGAAAAGCTAATGAAATCTCGCATACAAGGAAGAGCTCGGATGTATAGGTCGTACGGTAGTTCGCGGAGGGAAGGTGAATATGCTTCTGCTATTCCTGGATATCAAGATCGTCGAGATAGTGGTACGCAGGAACGGTGGTATGGGGTCCGACCATCAAGGAAGGTCCAAGTACATCCATAGAGTCTCCTCGACGCTCTGCCTCCATGAGACAAAGCGTTTCGACGTCGGGTCGGATACTGGAGGTAGGTTGGAGGTGTGGGAGCGATTTATGAAAGATCGTAGAGTGTGACGAATTTCTTGAGAGGCGACCTTCGGTTTCTGTTCTCATGAGTTGAAACCTAGAAGCATTCCACTGAATGACTGAAACACAGATATGAGCACACACGAAAATATTGATTAATGGAACGAACGGGTCTGTATGGAAGAAACCATACGAGCGGGACTTGAAAGAGTGGACGTCCGCGCAGGAAGAACTCCGAGATGCAACACAGGGCAGCACCGTTAGCCCAAGCACACATATCACTAGTTCTCCTCCGATGTCATTCCATTTACTTCATAACATTGATTCTATTACCTATACATTGGTGTACAGAATATGTAGTTAAATAGGTAGCAAAATTTTGATGACCCTAATGTGTTTGCGAGCGTTCCCTGCTGATATCCGAGTGAACAGCTGGAGAATTACTGTTTATCTCAACAGGCAGGTGTTATTTAAGCCGCTGTTTAGGTCACCGACGCAAGGTCCTATCACAGACGGAATTGCTGGTCCCTACGACGCTTATATCATGTGCACTTGTAGACATTCTCATCATCTTCGAATGATGGTTCGACGATCACCGATCAGTACTCAGTGCTAGTAACATCTCTGCCCAAGCTTCCGCTGTATTCGTGCCTTGATTCTGCCAACTAAAGGTTGGCTCGGTTCATACACTTCAGCTCTGGCATGCTTTAACCTCCTGGAGCTTAAGGCTTGTCGAAATCAAATGCTAGTTATGCTTCTAAATTGAGTACTTGAGATTCAAAGGATACCGTATGTAGCTCTACATTAAATTAATTATAGTTAATAAATTACAGGGGAAACCAATTATAGTCCCAGCTCGCTAAGTCTATACCTCGTCATGCCCAAATGAAGAGCCAGATACCCGTCTGTGAAATCCGTAAAGGCCTCGTACGCTTCTTTGTGAGGCGACAAGATGCGCAAGGCCCTCTCGTAAGATTCAAGGCACTGCGTCACCACGTAGCGAAGAACCTGATTCTTAGGCGCACCACGAGCTTGAGCTAGAAGCGATATGAAATTGTTGGTATCACCGCTGCACTCCTCCTTGTAGAATGAGAGGATGTCGTTCGCGAAGTCGATGAAATCACGCATGGAAGGGAGAGCTTGGATATATAGGTGGAATGGGAGGTTCCCGGGGAAAATGAACATTGCGAAGGCTTCTGCCAGCCCGCATTGTTCGCGAAGGAATATGGCATATTCTTCAACTCGTTGCGTCTGTGAAAATATCAATCAGTGACATGAATGATTTCATCAGTTTAAGGTACCGACCGACTCGTTCTTGCTCTGGACTTCTAAGATTAGCCCAGTAATGAACTTTAGGGCGGAGTGGACGATGAAGTCGGCAGTGACTCTGCCAAAGTATTGAGAGCTTTCAGTCAAAAGGTCTGCCAAGTCGTTCAAAATCTTGCTCGACTGCTTTTCTGACGATGTGAAGCGCTGCATGGTATGATCAGTGTTTGAAACGAAACCAATATGATGATCGCGATGTTACCCTTGTGAAATCAGGAACTCCACCCAAAACGTCGGAATCGTTGGGATAAACGTCGTCGAGGTATATCAGAAACATGCAGAAGAATGCGATGAACACTTTGACGTTGGTATCGTCAATATAGTGGTACGCAGAAACGGTGATGTTCAGTCCAAGTGTTAAATAAGGCCTGAGGACCTCAATGGAGTATCCACGACGCTCGGCCTCTACGAGGCAGCGAGCTTCGAGTGTTGACTCCCATATAGATGGCAAGTCGGTGGTGTCAAAATGTTGCAGGAAAGCACGTATAGTGTCTCCAATGTCTTGGGCAGAGCTCTTCGGTTTCTGTTAAAAATATCAGAAGACGACATCTATCTAAGGATGGATCTACTTACGCGAATCTTTAGACGGCCTGGGCATACATAAATTCCGGCTCCATTAAAGAGAAGAAATAAGCTTACCGGCCAGACTAGAAACGCTGTGGATCGAGGATGGGCGGGTTGCAGTTGATAATGTCATCTCTGGATTGTGAGGATAGAAGTACCTGTGAGATGGGTCCTGAGGATTTAGAAGTGGGGGGTTGAAGTATTCTAGGCAGCCTTATATACCAGTGCGTCGTCGCAATAAATTGAGAGCCGAAGACATGAAATGGATGGTCCATTACGATATGTCAGCGGGGATTTCCGCTCCTGACAATCCTAGCGCCTTCCCGAGATGAGTAATTGCATGGAAAGCGAAACCGATTATACCATGGGCGCGGGAACAACGCGGAATCATGGTTGGATAGAATGCCGGTTTGATAGGTAGGAACGTGCTCTAGTGAAAGCCAATCTCCTTGAATACCGGCCGTACCGGACAGCCTCAGCCGGATAGCCTAAACGTTTTGCCGAAGTGCTGATACCTTCATTATGAGGGCGAAAAGTAGAGACACGCATATGCACGGAGTTCTAGTGCGTTTGAACCATACCTCTACCGGAATAAGGCGAAGTCGGTAGCGTAAGGATACCCATTAGGGACGCTGCTGTATTTCGTATATCAGCACCCTGAAGGATCGGAGCCACGGCGGTAATTTCAAACATCATCTTGTATATTGTGTCATGTACGATACATCTCGCCGTGTTACATATGATTTTCCCTTGCAATATTTCTGCCCGAGACGAAATCTCACCTCGGGTCCAAAGTAGAACGCAATCAAAACAATGTGAATGGTAGCTGTGTATATATTTATGAGTATTGAGGCGCCGAAGCAATGCTCTAGGCATTCATATCAAAATGAACACCAAAGAGAAACCATGGACTACTGGCTCGACTGAGAGTCTGCAGCTATTCCAAGGAAAATTACTGGAACGGTGGTATGTTCTTTACTATTGATAGTAAAAATATAGCCGTCGGGCCGAATGATAGCCGCCGGCGTCTGGGTGCATCAGATTCCCCTGCAATGTTGGCACTGCCCAAGAGGTAGCGCATCGACCGACCGTAGACATGATCCACTGGAAGATCGTTATACAATAAGCCTGTTATAGAGCTAGCGCTTTGAGTTCCATCGACAAGCGCCAGGAGAATTCATCAGTTACCAAATCTGCGAAACGGCTGATTTCTTTGATGAATGCAAACCATGTCCAGCCCAAATGAGGTAAAACCAAAGTCTCGTAGTGTGCCTGCATACTGAATAGGGTGATTCTGATGAAGCGATATCATGATAGAGACCAAAGAAATAGCCAGATGACCTTACCATTCTGGTTTCTGATGTGGAAGAGTCTGAAGGCAGCTACTATTTTCTCCATCACCTCAGTTCCCAGCACTAGCACTTGAGAGAACAATTTAATACTTAATGATAGAGCGTATGAATCCGCATGTCGTCGTTTTCGACAGATGGGTGTCTAGGTTTGCCGTTACGAGGGCGCGCCGACGATCATGGACCAACGTTGGATAGCATTGAACGACGTCTGTAGAGCCGGTGAGCTTGGGTCGCAGATAATTTACAGGCAAATTTAGTCTCTCGCATCGACGAATCGCTGAAATCTGAATCTGGCTAGGCAGAATATGTTCACGGAACTGGTACAGAACCGACGGGTGGAATCTCCTTCCTGGTCGGAAAAAACCGGCGAAGAGCCCATCGTCTACTCTATAAAGCCGTACCTTCGTCGATTGCGTCCGATGGAACGATGCCGTGTGCATGCCGTCTCGACGTGGCGATTTTTTTTTCCCAGCCTTTTCGGAGTTTTCCGCCGACCCGGAGTCTGACTGCCGACATTTTAGTTACTACTTCCATTCATTTACCAAGACAGTGCTTCTTTACATTTCTCCTGTAAAAAGAAAATCTGACCCCCAAACCACCATGATAACATTTCCGACGCAGTCAAACAAATCCTTTGCCGCACTGCCGAAAAGTCCTCCAAATGGCCTTCTGATCTCGTTGCCTTTAGACTGAGATCGGTTTGTGACTGCCGCAGAGCAACCCTATCTTGGATGATCTTGACCAGAAAATATGCGCGACGCATGTATTTTCTGGTATCTGAAAGAGAACGGGCTGCATGTGACGCCAAGGACTGCACGTCCCTGCGCAAGATGCTATGCTCATAATTTTTCTAGATGTAGCAGCAATGCGACTATTAAAGAGCATTACCGTGTGCTACTGTGGTTCGTAGAATCATGCTCGCTGCAGAGGTTGAGTCCGTGCAACCGGAACATCCTCCATGAATACTGTCCTGCACACGCCGGCAATGAAGGGGATCGAGGGATATTGCCCTTCACACGGTGCATCTCTGCTCTCTCATCGAACTTTCCTTTGCCGGGATTATGTATCCCACCTCATTCTACCGTTTCTAATCGCTCCGGTTATCCTATCGCTTCCTTCTCATTGACATATCATCCTTGATCTAAATTCATGACCATCAAATTACTAGCTATCGTATTCATTCATGTCTCAAATCCGACATGTATACATCCGGACTTGTCACTCGGATTTTCCGATGGGTGGGTGAATGCGCTTCGCGTTCTAGATTCTCAAGGACATACCATTCTGACGGAAGGGATGTGATGTCTTGCCTACGTTGCCGGGTCTAGGAGGAGCCAGCGAGTTAACCAGTCAAAAGAAGGTGGTCACTGCGCTTACTAGAAAGAGTTTATCGTGAATCTATCGTATTTGAAGGATGAGCTCACGGCAGAGAAGGAGCACGCTATACTTGGTGAACCAATTGCCAAAGGTCCGACAAATAAGGTGCGAAGCCAATGTTACAGTTTCTGGCTTCTCCTGACGCGTCGTCGAGAGAGAATCCTCACTGAAGAATGTGCTCGAATTACGATATTATGACCCTATGTCTTCCGAACCTCACATCAATACATGCAGGATGTTCATAGACTTCAACAGCATGGACAACGTGACGTGAATACGGAATGAACACAGACGGCTATCCTGATATCCCGGACTAGACACAGACATTGAGCATTGTGGATAGCATATTATACTCCATGACTCCATCCAGCAACGATCTTAGGCAAAATACACCCGGTTTACCTTCAAAGAAGAGTCACCGCTCCAATGCTCCTGCAATGATTCGTACAAGTATCGATTGGCTCTACTTTCTACAAGTCCATAAATAACACGAGCGGGAGAATGCGATGAGGCTCCGAACCGGGTGGAGCGTCAGGCTTGACAAGACGTGGCCAGATTTAACTGTAGTAACGTTTGGGCGTCGCAACAGCATTAGAGCAATGGATCTGTTCCCGAGACGAGTGCCTATTAGTGTGCTGTCCGGGTCGCCGCGTTATAACTTACAACGCGATCTTCGTCCATATCACCCAATTTTCAGGCAAGGGAGCTTCTAAATAACGCGGCATCGACTTTACGTAGATGCCTAGGATCGATGGTTAATGTCATCCTCTCAAGGGTAGGACAAGTAAGATCTAACCTATTGTTTCTTCTATAGTGTGCTAATGTGTATCTTGTCAACGGAAAAGAAGTCATTGTATGCACACCCACTTGTTACTTCAAGCTCGGAGTTTCAGATGGACTGTGGGACGGTATTACTGTACACCTCAGATCATCTCGGTCCATACAGATTGAAACTAAACAGGCTGCAAGGATTCTTGGAATGACCACAAGCTTATTCATCACCTTTACCATCATTGTATCTCTTGAACATAACACCGTGGATGACGCGAGCTTTTCTATGGTAAGATGTCCGAGAATAGGCGCTGAATCTTGTTTACTTCTGAGTCAATCTTCATCAACAGTCATCGAGTAAATGCGATGAGATATGGCTATTACATGGTCAATTGATATTCCTTAAAAACAAAGATGAACTTCAACATGAGCAAATATGTGCGAAAATCCAAACAGCGACCCAGGTACGGCCCCCCCCCTCCCTAAGAGATCACTACAAGACTGTGACTAACAACGCCGACGGTTCCGTTCGCAATGGACCGGAAATGGTGTCAATTTTTTCTGCGCTGACTTTTGGGTCAAAACACAGATGGCAACATGGGTCATAATTGAGTCGACCCAGGTTTGAACTGAGGACCTTCTGTGTGTTAGACAGATGCGATAACCAGCTACGCCATCGACCCATAACAACTTGGAATCCCTAATCTTTATTGTATAGCGTACTGTATCTCGGCTCTGCATGCACACAAATTTTGAATAATTTTCTTGGTAACGCCAAACTTTATTGATAGATGTCACATTCCTCCTTGTAAAATGACAGAATGTCATTACCAAAGTCAATAAAATTGCACAAGCGAGGGAGGGCCCAGATGTACATGGCGTGTACTCAGCAAAACATGTGTCAATGGTGGTGTTATATAAGTTAAATTGATTTTCATTCATGAGCTAGATACATTGGGTACACCATTGAAACCTTCTCCAAGGCCAAAGAAGCATGGTCATATCAGCGCATTGGCCTCTGACTGTGCTGCTTTATTCCTATCCCCTATTAATGCAGTACATGTAAGTCAAAGAAGCCAAACACACAGAGGAACTCAACCCTCTTCAACAACTGGCTCCGACTCCACTGAGGAAGGTGACTGATTAGACACAATAAAATAGCCCATTTAAATCAGAATGGTCATATTCTTTTACTACATGGCCGGAATATGCATTGCCCTGAACTACTATTAATATAAAGCTACCAGAAATGAAGAATATACCTTGCCTTGACATGATGAGCAGATGAGATAAGGTCCAAAGGACCCAGCTGAAAGCGTTTTCTCAGAGATGCTGAACAGGGCATGTCAGTTTGCCATATCAGAAACAGCTGGATAAGAATTCATGATGTTGGTGACTGGAAAAATATGAATATTGAGTTATGATCAGTGTTTACCAGTCCCAGAGGTGTCTAAGATCTGGTGAAACGATACTCGCTGCGTCTACCCCAACTTAATAACAAAACGCAGCCCGAGCGAGGGACATCTAAAAAGTAAAGCATTTGGTGATTACTGGACAGCAGATGGTAAAAGCACTCTCCGTGAGTACATACTCTGACATATAATAGCTTTGAGACGGGTGAGATCCGGTAGTAGCCTGTAACAAATCACAAATTCCGAAGCATGGCAGACAGTGCAAATTGGAGGCGAGATTGCTGTTTGATACCGGGTAATGCCAGCAGCTTGCATCTAAGGAAGGGCCAGAAGTGAGAGCACCGCCGATAATACGAATATGCGATGTTGCATGCTTGACAATATGCAGGCTTCTGCTGATTCACTATTTAACAGTCAGCTCAACAGCAGTTGGTCGATACAAATGCGGAACAGCCAATGAAAGATGGTCGATCAAGACGGATTGTACTAAATATTGATGTGTCACTACTCTAAGCGAGATCCGAGAGACACGAGTAATGTCATTGACTCGTGTGTAAAGGTGAGGCTCTGTTTTTCTAATTCAATCATTTTGGAGATTCTTTGAATGTAAATGATTGTTCCTCAGTGTCCTTTGTAGGATAAAACAATGAAGCATATGTAAGGGCGAGCCGAAGGACTAAGGCTAGTAATCACAAGTCAGGTATTTCGCTGCCGAGTCGAGTCTATAGGAAGCAGACCTTAAAAGATATACAGTATTACTGTTCAGTGAGCCAGAACACTCCATCACATTCTGAGAATTTCAGAGTTGCTAATAATCCGATGAATAATCCAATTTTCCATCGTCGGTGCCTAAGGTGTTGATGAAGCGAAACGTTAATAGTGGCAGTGGGACAGGTGGTATCAACTGGAAGGACATCATTCGTACTGACTCATCTGTCGACGCAGGGGCATCCATAACATGTTAGGCAGTTGTGCAGCCAATGGGCGAGAGAGGTTGGGAAATCATCACCTGCGGTTGATCGCGGTGATATTCAAGTGCGATCGGGAAGTTCCCTTTTGGAAACTACGTGGCGCCAAAACAGGTCCTTTCGGTTCTTGTTTACACTCTATCGCTGACAGCAAAGGAGTAAATATGCCGTTTCAAGTATCTTTGATGGCAGAAGGTAGTTGTGATCGGGAAGTCAGTCCTCCGAACCCTATCTAGAGAAACTCAGGTTTTTGAAGTAAATGGCTTTAATTACGGTACTACTGTACGAAACTAAAGCTTGTCAGCCCTATTAAATAGCTCGCCAATTTTGGACCAAAGATATTGGCAGGTGGTTCATACATCCGTATTTTATCAAGATCTCATAAATGCTCTATATTCTACCCTGCTCCCGCATGGAAACGACCTTCGCTCCTGTAGAATCCTACTACTCTTTGAAATTGTCATTTGGACTGACCATCCCCATGGCAATCGAGCCTGACAACAACGAAGTGGAATGATTGCGTTTCTCGCAGCACTGATCCACACGGGAAACATCCTGCAAGATAAGATGCAGTCTAAATACCGCGGAATTGCCACTCGAGTGTTATCACTTCTTCGACAATGCTTTCACTCGTCGATAATTAATGTCTGTATGTCAAGAAAATACAGGTCAGGCAGGGTACACACTATTGATATTGTGATTTGCTCCTTCTTCCAAACTAGCCCATTGATATAAGAACTGCCAACCAACAGTAGTGTAATTAGGTGAATGCGGAGAGAATAATTTTCCTCCTAACGAGTGTCATGGTTGGTCTGTTAATCGTACCCCATAAAGTCCAGCTCTTCGATCTTTCTCTGCACAAAAAATAGGACATCTGTCTCGGATCCCAGGTACCCATTTGTCTATTCCGCATCGCTCATTGGGAACTCTTTTGTTATACTGTTGGTTTCCACTAGTGGAGGGATCCGCGGCCGTTCCATTTGTAACCATTTATCCCGGGCCTTAATCAAGGCCTTGTATACTAAAAGCAATCATCGCCTTATAATCTAGCAAAATCCCCTGGTATCGCCATAAAAAATTGACTGTGCGCCCTAATTTTATCACCCTTATTGAATTGACATTGCATCAGATACAATTTTTCGTGACTTCGCCGTCATATTAAAAAATATATATGCTCATTAATGGATGTCCCAGCCCCTCCTAGACCTGCAGAATCTACCAAGACAATCGTATATACCAGCGGTCAGCCGCTTCACGAATTAATTAGCATGGCGCCACAAAACCGAAGACGGAGGGCAATAATCCTGCACTATATATGTAGGCTTTCATCCCTGCAGCAGCAAATATACCGTCCTTGTCGATTGGACAACAAGTTGCGCATCAATGAAGGGCAATTTAGCGTCGGACATTCGGACATTGGATCGAGCCTGGACTCACCGACTTGGAGATATTCTGGAGCTGACCCTGTGATGGATCATTCGGATGATCTTAGTCTATAGATGCGCGCCACCAAAATGAATTGCAGAACAATATTTAAACCAATAACAGGATATGTAGAATACGATCACCCCGTGTCATCGGTGCAAGTAGGTATCTCGACTGGGCTTTCTCCGATATCTGACAGAGAGCTGACCGCATGTTTCCAGAACAGTGTGCTACGTGCATAATACCTGAAATGTGATCAAGGGCTGCATATGAAATTGACTGTCTAACCATCTCCCGACATTTTCGGAATTCTTCACTTTGTTAAATGACAATTATGATCCCAGCAGATTATCTTGGCGCAAGGATATCTTGTGTTGATTTTATCTTCGAACAAGAAGAATTCCCTCTCATCGCCTAAATGCTCTGCGAGACTACGCGTTTGCTCAAGCATGCCGTTGTCACCTGACTGTGTCAAGGACGGTGCCGATTCCCTATCTCTTCTCATCATTACACGGCACGGAATTCTCAGGCACACCTGACGCAAGGAAAAAGGTAACTGCATTAATGCGAAACTTAATCCTCACTAAGTACTCTCTGGCCAACCCATTTTCTATCTTCTACCATTTTAGCGCAATGGAAAAGGCCATCCATAACTTCCTCGCTTTCATTATGGCTCTATTTAAGCTGAAAAGTATCTTGCCATTCCCTCTTGTCGTGCTTGGATGCACTCTACCATATCATTGATATCGTTTCCAACAAATCTTACTTATTGAGAAATGGTGCTCGGGTCTCTGCCAAATGGAGCTGGCTAGGAATGAAAGAGATCTAGTAGATCATCACAGATGTTGTTGAAAATGAACTAATTTGCCGTCCCGTCGGTACTCCAACAAAAGGCTGCAAATATGGCCCGGCTCGCATATCCGAAGACAGGGTCTTACAGATATCTCAGTGAAGCTCGATTATTGAGGAGCTGCAATATCAAATCCTTTAGTATCGGCCGTATGTGCTGGAGACGGAAAAAGTGATCACATCTCTACAATAATAGAATTGCAGTACATGCCGAGTCATATTTTGAGCAGATGTGACTCATTGCGGCCGGCGGTTACTTCCTGAGTGTCGTCTTGCTAATATAATAAATATCGAAGTCTAACCTCGGTTACAAGTACATTCAGGGCCGGCCACGTGTAGTCGCGAACTGCCACCGATTGGTACCGATTGTTGACTTGGTACTGACGACGATGACCTTCAGGTTCTCTGCCTCAATTCCGTCCGAACGTACTGTCCCTCCGAAAGATATACTCCTAATGTTCTTTTTACCGTGACGCAGCGCCGATTTTATCCAGCTTAGAAATCGTATCCTACATGTTGACGATTTGAACAGCGCTGAGTATTTGCTCTGCATTCTTACTCCCTGCGTCCAGGGCCGGCCTCCAAAATATAAGCGTACGTCTGTTGAGTCATATCATCAGGCGCGGAACTCAAAACACTGGTTTTATATTAGGCACTACGTACGGGCGCGTCTGACGCTTACCCATAAGGAGCTCGTTTCATTCGTTGATATTTGCTGGGGCTGTGTGGGTGAGTACTAAGCAGCCGAGGTCCGTAAAATATAATGAAAAAAGACGGGCTACAGCGGCCATTCTCATCCGTGCTGCGTTGTAGAGACGGGAAAATACCCGATCTGCACCCGTTGGTGCTGCGAATAATTTGCAACTGACGGCTTCGCTTAGCCACAGGATCTACGAGCGGAAAACGGATGCAGTATAGCCTCTATGGGTCTCTATTTTCTCTTAGCTGCAAGTCGCTCCTTGTCTAGTTTTCAATGAGGATGAAGGAACTTCGGGCCGACTTAACCTCTCAAAATATGATGCAACGCTGCCTCGTGGTGCTTGTTATTCTAACCTGTCTTGTACCTGAAACCAAACCCGGCAGACTTTAAGTTTCAAGCAATGCTATGTTTCTATGTTTTTGTTGTCCATTGTCTTATATCGGTCTCACGCTCTACCTTTCTTTCTGCGGAACACTCGGGCGCGGAATTTCAAAGACGAAATGGAGATACCCGCTTACAGATGGCTGTGAGATCTTCTTTGCGACGCTGATATCGGATATTAGACGAAAATGGGACGTAGGGTATATAAAGCACCTTGCAGTACTCAACTTCCTCACTGAATCTTCAGCGGCCTCTTCTAAGCGAACACCTGCAATGACTTTATCTACTTCGACGCGTCCTAGACGTGGCATCCGACGTCGAGACATGCCCTCCTGGACGTCAGCACTCTCTGGTCTTGCTGGTAAGTTTCCTCATGCTCTTAGTCGATTCTGTGACTCATCCACTATTTTTGTAAAGGTCATCTACTAGCCTTTGTGCGCTGCTTCAGTCGATATTTCATTTTACAGACCTTAACATTTCGTACAGAAACAGAGGCATGCATCGAAGGAAGCCGGTCACACTATATTGTCTTTCCTGCATCACTTTGACACGAGCAATCTGCCTTCCATTTGGGACCCAACGCTACAATCTCTCTGTATAGTAGAGGCCGAGCGCCGCGGCTATTCGGTCGAGGTGCTCAAGCCTTACCTTGTCTTGGGGCTGAACATTACCACCGCCGCATACCATTACATCGACGATACCAACGTCAAGATGTTCATTTCATTCTTCTGCATGTTCTTGATATACCTCGACGACGTCTATCCAGACGATTCGGACGCGTTGGGTGGAGTTCCCGATTTCACCAGGGTTTGTACATCTCTCTAATCGCAATTTCGTTGACATGTTGATCCAGCTATGTAGCGTTTCACATCATCAGAGAAGCAGTCGAGCAAAATCCTAAACGACTTGGCTGATCTTCTCACCGAAAGTTCTCAGCACTTCGGCAAAGTCACTGCAGACTTCATCGTCCACTCCGCCTTAAAGTTCATTACCGGGCTCATCTTAGAGGTCCAAAGCAAGTTCGAGCCGGTGAGTAACCCACCCCACCTGCGTCGCTCGATACAGTGGCTAATTTGAATTCACAGACGCATCGAGTTGAGGAATACGCCATATTCCTCCGGGAGCAGTGTGGGCTCGCGGAAGCCTTTGCCATGTTTATTTTCCCCAGAGACCTCCCATACCAGTTGTACATCCAAGCTCTCCCTTCTATGCGCGATTTCATCGACTTCGCGAATGACATCCTTTCGTTCTACAAGGAGGAGTGTAGTGGCGATACCAACAATTTCATATCTCTGCTTGCTCAAGCGCGTCGCTCACCGAAGATCAAAGTCCTCCGCTACGTGGTGAGGCAGTGTTTGGAGGCATATGAGAGGACGTTGCGTATCCTGTCGCCACATAGGGAGGCGCATAAGGCTTTCAGGAATTTCACGAGCGGGTATTTGGCCCTTCATTTGGGCATGAAGAGATACAGACTTAGCGAGCTGGGTATATAGTACGATTTCCTCCTCTAATTTATGAATTATTAAGATACTGTACTTTACGGGCCACTGGCATAATCAGATACCCATCCTTTTCAAAATTTCTTTATCTTTGTACTCGAATATATGATGACGGACAGTTATTTCATCTTAAATTCAAGGCGGTTGGAGTCGTGACTCGTATCAAACAGGAGAGGCACTGCCAGGTTTTCAAGTTAATCCGCGTCAGTGCTACCCAAGGCTCCTGGGTAGCGTTACCTACCAACCTACCCAAGGTGCTTATGTAAATCAAGCTCATAGCCTCCAATCAGAAGCATAAAGATCTGATAAGAGATAAGCATATTGCCACATTTGCCAACATAATAATATACTAGTTCGCGCTTTGACTGCCTCGCGTGTAGATTATCATACGAGTGAGAAGCATACTTGCTACCTAAACTCGCCGTATCATGCGCATAACAATATACTGATATAATACAACATGGAAGGGAGAGCTACTTAAGCGTGCCTCTCGCGAGTATGATTCCGGACGACCGATTTCCCACATCATCGTCCAATACCAATGACGACACATACAGTATTATTCCTGTCTATATATTTAACGATATCGCTGTCACTGCCCAGTTCCAGCGTTATCAGCTTGATCAAAGGAAAGCTGCGGTATTTTATATAACCATGAAAGCAGCAGTAGGGGTGTGAGTGGCGTAGGAGATAGAAGCCGCCGAAAATCAAGAACGGGAAGTGCGGGGAGGAGATAGAAGTCGCCGGACCTCGAGACTCAGAGAGGGGAAGCATGGTTCTGGTGATTGGCGGAATGCTTCGCGATGCGCGATCTGGCAGTCAAAGCCGGCAGAAGTCAACGGCTACGAGAATGTCAAGATGGAAGGACGTCCGAATGGTTCTGAACATTGCGCTGCGGCGGAACGTCAATATAAGTACACATACGAGTTCAAAGACACACTAGTGAGTGCGTACGCGATGAAGGTCATATGAGCAACAACTGCATTCAGTTTTCATCATTTCCTGATACAGACGGCAAAGTTCACATTTGTGGCTGAGGAAGAGTGGAGCAAAGGGACGCACTTGTGATCATGGGTATGATGTTCGATGTCTTGATATCACCTCAGGCAGGGTGATTTGAAAGATTGATACAGCGGACACTCCACTGCTTGGGAAATTGTAGGCAGACTCCGAGTTATCGAGATGGGTTGAAAGTGATATGTCGCTGATAATCGTAGGAACTGAGTTTTGGCACGACGAATTTCTTTTTGACATTGAGAAGGAGTGTACTGGTTCCGGTCAGGCGAAATTGTTCCTTAGGTTGTATTTTATTTAACTCCGATCGATCCAACGGAATCAACGACCTTGGACGTGGAAGCCGCAATCGAGGACGGATCCACTAAGAAAGCAAAGCTACCAGTAGTTCGCGTCGACCTCGTAAGCATCTTCCACCAGAGAAACCTTTATAGAAAAGTAGCTAAGTTCCACGTTCTGCATTCTTGAAAAACGAGTTATGCATGTGGGCCGCTTGTCGGAACAGCGGAAGAGAGAAATTGCCGCAGCCCTGAATTCGGACAATGCCGTGAATTGCCGCGGCTTGATCGACGGCATTGGATGTCATGTGATGACCTTGTTTGCTGTCTTCTCTTGTCTTCTGCTGTTCTCTCCATCGTCTCAGCGTCGGTTCATTTCATCATCCCGTTCTCTACATCGCATCATCGCGCACTGTCCGCCACCATGAAGCGCACGGACCATCTCTCGATCCTCTCCCAGGCTATAAAAACGTGTATCACCGCCAAACTTTCTTTCTTCCCTTCTGCTATCATCTTTGCTTACCTTGCATGACCTTTGTGTCCGTCGTCGCATTCTCCGTCGCCTCGCATTTGGGTCCAGGATGCCAGACAACTCTCAATAGTTTGTCATTATGTTCCCTGTTTTATTTATCTGCGGCTAGTCTCTCCAAGACGCAGTTCTCAACAGGAGCCTTGGCCATATGTAACGAGCATGTACTCACGCCTCTCTGGGTATCACACGCCTCACCTGTCGTACAGGTCCACGATGCGTATTCCATGACCACTGCCTCCACGTTGCCTCTACCTAAGGATCTCGCTGAGGGCCTGCTCAACGAGAGCAAGCATGCACTCGCCCGCACCCCAACAACGCCTAAAGAACTGATTCAGTCTTGGTTTCCTTGGACGAGGCCTCCACTGTCGCCGCATCCTGACACTCTGGGTTATCACTGTCGACGATATCATCGAGGTCAAGTCAAGGCCGAGGACGTTTAGTCGGTGATAGTAGTAGTGCAGGCGCATGTTCGTCGACTGCTGGCGTTATGGTATGTACATGTTGCTTTTCGTCTGCGTCGACTAACTCCAAAACATAAGCACGCGATCTCCATGGTCGCGATGGCGGAAGGCCCATCATTAACGCTCCGCGGTCTTTCGTATACTACATTGCAAAGTACATACGAGAAGAACCGTGACCACTGCGGCATGGCAGTCACCAGAAGAAGCATTTGAAACTCTGGACAACGTCTTTTTGCGATACGTTGTTCACAGCTGCGCAAGGTTCAATGAATCCAAGTTCATGCTTGCCCTGGTGACATTGGTCCTGTAGGATTTCATCTCATTGTCGACAATCTGAAGTACGTGCGATGGCTGTCCACCCACAGAGGAGCATCTCATCTCTTCAGTACACTACGCTAGGCATAATGGTTACTGCCCATTTACCCAGTGGTAGGGCAACCCGTCAAGTACTGTTACCCTCGATTGAACGGTGTTTTCATGTTTCCGTCTTTTATAAATTCAACGTGAGTACATCTTTTATACCTTAGGTACTGCTGACGTTTCTGCTTAGTTCGTCGACGTACCGGCTTTTACGTTCGGCGACGAATCTGGCCCCATTGGGGAGCCATTGTACGTATTACATTTTCCCCAGTAAGCCTCACACTGATATCGTTCTCAGATTTCCCAACTGTAATTTCCCTTCCTTTCCACTTTTTTTGCGCCGACTGGAGCTGGGATTCGGCTGAGGCCAGGCCATCATTGCGATCGTGCTCTTCGAACCCATCACTAACAAGGTATATTACAAGACCAAATGCGATGGATCATGATTTGACGATAGTACAAAGAGGAAGCTAATGTGATCATGGATTACTTGCCCTCGTCATTATAGCTCACGTTCTCTTCAATAGCAAACACCAAGAATGCAGAAGCTCGTTCTGACTCTGGAGTGATTCAAGCGACTTCAACCCCTTTCCATCACAAATGCCGTCTACGACGACGAGGCACAAATCAAGGGATTTACGGAAGAACTTAGAACATTGATAGGTACGTGTGTTATTGACGCTGCCTTCAGGTCAGCGACTGTTCGAAATCCTCGATGCTGAGAGGTCATCTTGAGACGCCGACGAGACCGTAGACACTGAACAATTACAACGACGGTAGTCCCGCACAAAGGAAGGCAATCCTCGCGCCCCAGTGAGGGGTTTATATAATCAAAAATCGGATTTGATCCGCATGTCATAGGAAAGAGAAGACGCCGGAAGCCAAGGAGGATTTTAGGTGGAGAAAGAATTCGCCGAACTTCGAGTCTCAAGCGCGAGGAACTACAATTCTAGCTGTTGTTCGCGATGTTCCTGCCTATCAACTGAGGCAGGCAGAAAGAAAACGGTATCAGAATGGCAAGGATGATTCTACCAATCGTTGACGTATTGCAGGGCTGCTATTTTGCGTCAGTGTGATTCAAGTCCAACTTTTCAAGGTGTACATGTACGTGTCGAAGGCATCCACGTTTATTGATGCGAGTAGCGAAATTGCCTGATTGGACGCTGGGGAAGAAGCCACGTGTGTCTCGACTTTTCCTTTTGTGTTGTACTAATAGTAACAGGACGCTCTTGTTGTCTCGCACGTGTAATATTCTTCGGCCAATTAGAATACGGCACCATAATTATATGTCAGTGGTGAGTGAACAGTCATTCGTTGTCCAGCACCCATTGAAAGATATTAAAGTCTTTATACCCAAGATCCGGTCAAGTACGAACGTGGTGTTCGCTGAAACCTCGAATCAGTTATGTGAACGCCAAAGCTAGCAGAATCTAGCTTCTAACTTACAAATACGCAAAAGACAGAGAAGCTGCCGGGGTATCAAGAAACATCCACCCTCAAGGGCAAGGAGCCACGATTTTAGTGTTTGGCGGTATTATTCGGTTTCTGTGCGAAGAGCGTATCTTCGAACTTGGTGATCGTTGAAGATGCGCCTCCCTATCTGTCAATCACTGGGGTCAAATTGAAACACCTTTGCATTACTGCTGTGCTCCGTCAATGCACGAGTTCTCGCATGCGCCTACATGATGAAGGAAGCAAGAAACAGATGGAGAGCTGTGTTTTCAACTTTTCCTGACACGAGCACATTCGTTGCCAGATTGGAATATGGAGAAGAAGTGTGGCAAGCGGATGCATTTTACCGGAATAGTGAGCTTGAGGCTTGAGCAGCGCTGCCTTGGTATCAAGAGTATGATGGAAGATGACGGATAGCGGTTCTTTGGAATTTGTTATTTCACTGTTTAGAGTTGACGAGGAAGAGACGTTGCGATCCGTGATAGGCAGATTCGACGAATTGATGGTGGTGAAAATAACTGAGGTGGGCTGGCTGGGTTCTGAAGCCAAGGTGATAGGTTTTGGCTGCGAGACTTGTAGTTACACGTTCACGTGTTCGGGCACTGCTGTCATTCGAAGGTATAAGCCGTACTGCGAACAAGCAAAATTAATACCTTCATGCTGCGGTTGCTGAACCTAAAATACGTTGTTAGGGCGGTTTGGGGAATGTTCAGGATGATTGCCGTCCTTCGGCGCAGATCAAACATAGCATCGAGAGATGTACAAATCTAGGATCCTTGGCATAGCTGCTCTCCCAGTTGTCCTTACCAGGTTGAACGCCCTATTCCTCATTTGACGCCCCATCCAATTCGTACGGAGATGCAAGAGGCGGCGGTGGAGTAGAGACTGGTGGGAGCATCGAATCGTAGGTCGGAAACGCGGGTGGCTCTTAGCGTACTGCGCCGGAGAAAATGCTAGGTTATTTAAGAGTAAAGGAATGTGAAGCACAGAGAAGAAGGTGTATTTGGTGAGGCGAGTAGCGTAATGATGGAGTCTATTTACCCACGCAAACTATTATATTCGTCGATACTAGAACAAGTCGAAATGAGTAGCCGGAGAAGCTGATCATGATGTGATGAGAAAGACGGCTTGGAAGCAGTGCCATATGATGAAGAAAGTTTCCTCGATGGCGCTCGATACTTCGGAAAGTCGCGAGTGGTCCATAACGTACGCCGCGTGTGGGGTCAATGGTTACATGATATGATAACGAAATAGTGCAGGACCGTCGAGTGGAAGGACAGGTAGAATGCAAGGAATCCCGGGTTGCTGTCGTCGGGGCGGGAGTAATAAGGAAATGAAGTATACACTTAATCCGTTATATCCGTGGGTACGACAAATCTCACACCAGGCCGTTACGCCACAATTTGAAAGCGGGGAAAGCATGCACGAGAAAGGAGACTAATGATGGGAGGTGATGCACGGAGAAGGAAGGTAGAATGAATAGGGGCAGTGAAGGTAATGACGTCATATCGCCATGAAATTTATTATTACTAGCGTTGTGGGCAGCAACACTCGGATCCCACGGTCCAGCACCCACCCTGCCTCCTGCCATGGTAGTCGCTGCGATGGATGTCCCCGAGCTGATATATCGCGGCGACATGTCGACCTCATCGATATCGTCCCACTCACACGAGCTCGTCACGCCATCGACATCCCATCCAGCCCCCAGGCCCCCCAGGAACAAGCTAAGAAAACCACCTCCACCTGGTTCACCCTTTTCCTTCGTATTAGACACCCCCCCTTCATTTTCTCATTTCCCCTACTCGTTCTCTTCGATGAGCACGAGGCGGCTGAGGAGCCCGACATCGAGTCCTGTCGCTAGTACAGTGTCTGCCCCTAGCACCCTGACCTCGCGGCCGGAGACGGTGACCTCGTATGGGAATTCGTCGACGACGCCCTTAATACGACCCAAACGAGCGGCGTCGATGCCGTCACGGAAACTGACGAAGCAGAGACCGACAGAACCGCCGACAACCTCGGCGCCTCCAAAGCGAAGGGCGACACTTTCCTTCAATTTTCGGAGGCGCAAGGTATCGCAGACCCCGCCCCCATCCAGCTTTTCCGCCGTTAAACTTGCACAGTGTACTCCCACTCTTTTTCCAGTGAGTCTGCTCCCCCGCGCTCCAATTAATTCGTTCATCTGTACCATAGAGACGAGGCATGTTTACCTTAGGCTCAGATAATGACGACCAGGAAGCTCTTCCATCCAGCCCGCGTCCCCCCCTTGTTCCTAAAGACGCTTCCCCCTCCTCCTGTTCTGGCTGCTTCTCAGAAGATGATGAGGAAGATGAGCTTGAACTCAAACGCCGACGCCGATGGACTCTCATGACCGACGACGCCATTACGGACGAGGCATTCGCAGAGACCGTGTTCAGCCTCACTCGGTGCACCAGTTTCGAATACGAGTCATATGCCAACGATGATGATGCAACGGATACGACATGCAATGCCAGTGTTCCGGAACGACGGTCCAGTTTGATGGCACTATTTACGACAAGAGATCTCTTGAGGACCGAGAGGCGCTACCTCAACCATCTATATGACCTACTGCGCTCATCGCCACATTCATACGGGGAGGAGGAAGGCGTACCGTGGCCATCGCATCCCTCACCGTTGCTCATGCATACCCGGCTGATCGCACTTATCGATGTTTCTCAAGCTCTCCTCGGAGCGATGGAATCCGATCCCTCGGTCGCCGGAATAGCCGGCGCGTTCGTAGCGATGGAAGACGAGATGGGACATGCACTTAGTGGGTGGTGTGCCGTAGTCGGCGGCTGGTTCGACGAGGGAGTACAGTTCAAGAGGCAGAGGAGGCCGTCAAAAGGACCTAGGGGAAGCGAGAAAGATTTGCCGTTTTTGCCGAATTCGACTACGGAGAATAACAAACCCAAAAGAAGTTCGACGATGCTGTCACTAGCGCCCAAAGACCTATGGCGCAGCTCTACCTTCAGTGATTTATCTGTTTCCATGGCCCCGAAACGGTGCTCCACGCTTCCTTCATCTGCATCCTTACTGCCTTCCCCTGGAAGGTCTGTATCGTCGAGGATGAAAGAAACATGGCGGAAATCCCTTCCCTCTCTCCCACCTTGGAACAAAAATGTCCAGACCGTGCGAGACCGAGCCATCCTCCCTGTGCAGAGGGTTACGCGTTATATTTTGTTTTACCGAGGTTTGTAGGTTTGATTTCGGGGTGTATTTCGATACTGACTTTGGTTCATAGATCTATTGAAGCATACCGAAGGGTCCTCACCTTCAAGGGGGGTGGTAGAGGAAGCTGTTGCTGTTGCAGGGAGGATCGCAAAACAATGCGACGACGCCCAGGGTAATGAACGGCTGGTGGTGGGCCCGATGACATTATGATCAATCACTAGATTTACTTACTCATTATTTGGTTGTACTGTTAGCTTTCTTGGTCTTTCATTCGCTTTCGTTCTTGTTGAACTTCGATACCCCATACTTTATAATTGTAACATGTTTCTAGGCTGAACACCCAACATTGATGATAGACAGGAAGTTTGATCTATATTTGCGGGATTTTGTCAGCAGGGAGAAGGGAGACAAGAATGTGAGAGCGAGAAGGAAGAAATTCTATAAAGTCGGGGAAAAGGTTCGGAATAATGAGGTACGGGATAAGCTTCTGCAAGAGCGGGAACGCAACTATGATCAGGCACATTGGAGGGAAATGATATCAAGTGGGTCGCGAACGCAGACACGAGTGTAGTAATATGATTTCGACAGGACAGCTCAAAAGAGGAGGCAGCTTCGTCGTGAGGGCGGGAGTATTGCAACCGTGACCGGGGTATGTAATATGTATATCGCGAAGGGAGCTTGTACTCACACGCCCCTGAAGCCTCGACGCCTTTCTTGGCGTTCAGCATGGTTTCTTTGTGAGTAAGCAAACTCATCATCTGATAACATCAAGTGTTGCCGACCCTTCAAGGCGCGAAGCGCCTTGTTACGTTCACAAAATCAATGGCGGTAAGACGCACTTGCTCCGTCTCAAAAGGTAAGGTCATTAGGGAACTTACTTTGCTTTGATAAGGAAAGGGAACAAGGTTGTCATTTTGTCCAGCAGCTTGATGTCGGCTACCGTCAGAAGTTGAAAGCACACATTGGAAAGGACTGCAGCAAGCTGGCAGGGAATACTTCAGTGATTGGCTAGAAGGCTCGCACTGGTCCAGTACGGTTTTCGAGTAGGAAGGATGGAATCACAGAAAATTCGTGCCTGTGTTTATACTTCCTCCGAACTCCGACGTCCGACCATTTGAGTGTCACAGCCTAAGAGGGTTATTTGAAGAGAACAGGAATATTGATACAGGAGCAACCGAGTTCATAGATGAGATAGAGGGCAATGGTAATCGCGTGGACATTAAGGACGTTCCAAGGAAGTTCAGAACTGATAAGGACACACTGTAATCTGAAGAATCTCTTGAACGTTAAATCTATGCTGAGAACACCCACCCCCTACTTCTTCAGTGCTGTTGCCAATGTCCTTGGTTGCCATTACATATGTGCAAAATGAGACAGAAACGCATCAAATAAAGTGGGAGACCTTAGTCGTTTGTTTTTTCTTAAATACCAGCGCCTCCGGTAACTTCCAAAGTGTGGCCTGAAACGTAAGATGCGAGCGGAGATGCGAGGCTGCAAACATTAAGAGAGAAATATTGGAGTGAAACAGGATTACTTACAATAGCATGGCGGCGGCAGCTTCATCTGGCACACCTCCGCGGCGAAGCGGAATGTGGGAATATTCCTCAGGAGACGAAGACACTCCAGCCCCGGGCACACCTAACGCTACTTTCTTGCCGTCGATTTCTATCGTTGCCCCAGCTTCCTTCACAGCTGTTAGCCTAATAGGAAGGATATGTAAGCTTGAGGTGAAAAGGCAAGGATAGTAGGCACCTTGTATGCACCAAACCGAAGGCAATGGTATTCGCGCGCACACCAAATGGACCCCACTCTTTCGCGATTGTCTTGGTGAGACCAATAACAGCAGACTTGGCTGCAGCATAGTTTGCTTGGCCAACATTCCCGTGCAGGCCGGAAGTGGAGGAAACATTAATTACGGAGCGGTTTTCCGTGGAGCCCTGAGATCGGAGGTTGCTCACCGTCGGAGGGTAAAAGGTCGGAGCGCTGCTTACCTTGACTCGGAAATAAGGTGCTGCCTGCCTCACCAGCCTAAACGGCGCGCGCACGTGAATCTTGAGAATCAGGTCAAAAGCCTCATCTGGGGTGGTATGCAGCATCTTATCAAATGTGAACCCGGCGTTGTTGACGATGTGATTGATTTTTCCAAAGGCCCTGGATTGAAAATGAGTTGTAATGTTCGAGATTCAAGGCAAAGTGAACACATACTTGACTGTAGCATCGACGATATTTTTCGGAAAGTCATCTGCGCCGACATCGCCTGCTACCGAGAGGACGTTCACGGGACCTGCAAGAGCCTCAATTTCGGCGGATACGGAGATCAGTTTGGTTGCATCGATGTCACTGATGACGACTTTGGCGCCTTCTTTAGCAAAGAGTAGTGCAACGCTACGTCCGATGCCTTGGCCGGCGCCTGGAAGTTTGATGAAATTTAGCTGTTAATGATAGGTACAAGAAGTTGCCCACCGGTGATGATTGCGACTTCGTTCGCCAATAGACCTCGGCTATGTGTGTTGCTGAGGTGGCCTGATATTTGAGAGAGGCGGTTGTTTGAGGCCATGTCGTTTGTGTTCGCTGGCTGTGATAGAAGGAAGAGACCCCCGAGTAAAGTGGTGTGAACATGACCGGCTCCGGCAATCTAATTGCCGAAGATGCAAGACCCGATGGACCGCTATGAAGAACTGAATTTGCTTGTGATCCTTTTTTTTTCTTTCAGGGGGAAAGGGTATCTTTTCTCCCAGAGCGGGAAGAAATGTCATCAGAGGCGAGCCTTAGAACTGAAGCTCCCGTTGATGCGTATGATGCCAACAAAAGACGCGAACCTGTGTTGATAGGAAGGGAACTTGCAATTGCGAGACGTGTCCAGACAACCATTCAGACTGCTAGTACGGATAATGATAAAGCCTGAGCGATATACGGTGAGCAACGCTGCATTTGAACGTCAAGAGCGGATGTAGTACGCAGAGAGTTGAGGTCATCATCGACGCGAAGGGAGAAGATGTTTGTTTGTTTGTTTGTTTGGCCGCTTTCCTCGACTCCGCCACTAATCTACTAGTACAACTACATCTATTGGCAAGCTTCTTCTACTACCACTCGACGCAGATAAGATTAAAAAAATGCATGGGTACTGCCCTCGGTGACATAAGACGGGCCCTCAGTAAGATGATGATGAAAAATGCTGTAATTTTCGGTGAGCGTGCTCTGTAGCCAATTGCTTCTGTGACTGAACGCTAGCCTTTTAGTAGATTTTCTAAGGATGGCGCTGTGATGTCAACGCTTCCTACATGGAAAGAGCGCGATCCACGTCCATAACTTGATTCCTTGCTGTTGATGATCGGTAGATTCAAGGGTACTCAGGGAGGGTCAAACTTATGGAGAGCAGCCGGATAACGCCTGGCCTTCCGTTTTATATCCAACGGACACTGTAGTCTTGTCTGACTTTGATATTCACTTGCTTTCTGACTCTGTGTTATGGTTGAGACGTGCCGTCGGAGCGAGACTACATAACTGGCCGGACGCACGGTAAAAAGCAGCTTTCTCATCGGTATATGTTGCTCGTGCATACGCAGACTCTAAATGGATGCGATAGGCGAAGAAACTGATGAAATAAGTACGCATCGAAAGACTCGACGTCAAGTTCAATGTTCTAACCCCTGTTATCAAGTTTGTCTCCGAATCACCATTATTTCCCTTCCACAAAGACTCAGTAATCCATAGTATCCGCTCTGCACGCGGTGAAGACTTTACTACGGAGGAACAGCGTACAGGACTGGACCAAATAAATACCATGGCACCAGCCTTGTCGTCGTAGCTTTCCCTCCTCGTCCAACGTGCGTATTCCCACTCTGAGGCAACATCAAGCGTCCAAACGCTGTGGAAACGCAATGAATGCTTTAGAAAATGTTTCTGGGCTCACAGGGGATCATAAAAAGTGGTCTTTGTTGCGAAACTTATGATTCTTCATCGCAACGATGCCCTCGGCTAGATATAAGAGGGATTGTCAGTATACAGTGATCCTGGTAAAGTTTGACCACCCCAGTTTTAGTCGTATATCTTCAATACTAAGTCCTTTTACTGTCTAGCAGTCCGATAGATACGCCTTTAAGCCTCAAGCTTCAAGAGCAGGTGGGATACATAAGCCCAGCCAACCCTTTGACCTCTACAAAGATAATCGGGGGTCCTTTTCAAGACGACAGATATAAAGATCCGTGAGTACCGAGATGATTAGGGTCGGATCTGGAGATTGATATTTCGTCTCGACAGGTTCAGGCATCCGTTACTTCTTCTCCATCTGTACCAGCACAGTCGCTGCGCTTGTATAGGACATAGTTCATTTTTTTCTCGCTGGTACTCACTATCGGCGACTCTTTCGTCATGGAACGATCCTCGGATGTGTCGAGTCGGACAAATGGTTCTCGACTGCTAATAGAAAAACAAATACCAAACATTTCTATGTTCTCTATGGGGAAGAATTTAGTTGGGTATGTGATAGAGTGTCATTCTCCTCCTTCGTAGTGCGTCCTGAAAATTTCCTTCAGGTATTTTCACGTTGCCGTATCGGGCACAGATGGATTGGAACCAAAATGTATAGAGCGGGTTTGGAATCTCATTAGAATAAGCAGTGAGTACTATCGGAGACAGACTGCGGCAGTCGCAGATCGTGTCCTTTTTTTGCTTTAGAGTCTCCTAGCATCTCTCCCCCACCTTAGTGATTCTTTTAACAATGACCCTATGCACTGGCACTGATGGAATGCGTACCAACCGGTGCGGCACTCATGATCAAGAAGTTCGTGACACTATACGATCTTTCTTGAATCACTTCGACACCACCCCCCGTTTCCGACCCGAACCCCGAAGCTCTTTGTTTCCAGGAGGCAGAACACCGGGGATACCCCATGGACGTTCTCGGGCGTTATCTGACAATTGGAATCCACATCAGTGTTCAATCGTACTACCATATTAACGACACCGACGTCAAAGTATTCATCGCCTTCCTCACTATGTTTATGTTTTACCTTGACGACGCTTATCCCCGGGGTGATGTCGACATCCTGGCTAGAGTTCCTACCTTCACAAAGGTAAATTTCACCATCCATAGCCGTGATATATGCCATTTTTTCATCATAGCATTTCATTTCCTCGGAGGAACAACCGTGCAAAATTCTGAATGGTTTTTCGGATCTTCTGAACGAAGCTTTCCGTATCGTTGACAAAGTCGCCGCTGGCCTCATTGTTTTTTCTGCTCTCAAGTTCATTACGGAGTTAATTCTAGAACAAAGCAAGGATGAATCTGTGGGTGCTTTACCGTTCTCTTTCATGTATAATCTATTCACCAAAGGCTACAGGCCCATACAGTTGAAGAATATGCCATGTTCCTTCGAGAGCTCGGCGGACTCGCTGAAGGATATTCCCTCCACATTTTCCCCCGAGAGCTACCGTACGCCGTGTACATCTGGGCCCTCCCTTGCATGCGCGATTTGTTGACTTTGGTAATGACATTCTGTCAGTTTACAAGGAGGAATGTGACGGGGAAACTTTCACTTGATATCCCTGATAGCTCAGGCTCGCAGTGAGCCCAAAATTATGGTTCTTCACGACTTGGTTGGGAAGTACATTAAAGAGTATGAGACGGTCTTGCACATACTGCAACCGCATGCGGATGCACACTACGCATTTAAGGAGTTCGCGAGAGGGTACTTGGCATTTCATTTGGATTCGAAGATACCATCTAGACTTGGAGCGCTCGTGTTGTCCTTAGAGCCGTATTGGATTGGGTAAACCGAAATTATTGACGATTTGATTTCATGGCTTGAACGCCGCATCTTATTTACCCATTTTCACCTTACCTTGACATTTCATACCTAGCGTCTCTTGACTCCAACCGCCCACTGTCCCTATGTCCTACGAGAATGTATCTGCCTTTCAAGTCAAACATGCTCCTTTTCCGAGTCTCTACTACCTATATTCCAACGGAAATACTACAGTTTGACTATTTAAACAAAGTCGAAATTTGTGCCCAGATGATGCTTCGGAGCCCGAGATACAAATGGCGAACCAGAAGTACGAATGCTGCTCCTCAGCATACTTATCATGACCTCCTGGACATCAGGTCATCTAGTGTATCTTGAGCCCAACCCGACATGTTGAAAAGAGAGAGATTTGGTCAAGAAATTGATGTGACAGATACGCAAAAGGTGGATCTGTTGAATTGGTGAGAAAAGGAAAACATGAAGCTTCATTAAGTATTAAGGCCTGCTATCTCTCCTGATCCTTCCTTTGTCCGTCCAACAGCAGGGTGTTGCTTCGAACATCTGATTTTCTTATATGGAAGAAGTGTTTCACAAACCCCTGCTTGATGACCCTTCAGCAACCATGCATCCAAAAAGTGGTGAAAAGCACGCATTATTACAACCAATGTCGTCTTTCAAGAGACTGCCAGATTTACTTAAAATCTTTCTGATGTTCGCTTTTCTAGAGGCAAATGAAGTCATTTCCAGGGTCACGATGGGCCAAAGCAGAGCTCCGCCTACGAACACAGGTTCTGATTCCTGCTAGGCGAAGTAGAATCCCCAGCAGAGGGGCAACAGTCTACATCAGAAACCATATTGCCTCAAAAGAAGTACCAAAGGGTCGAAATGCATCATCAGCGATAGTTAGACTCAATAATCACTGCGAACTTTAAGCACAGCATGCTGGAGCTGGAGCTGAGGCTGAGAGCTCAGAGAGATGAGGTCAAAACAAGATCAAATTTCCCACAAGGTCATGTCGAACCAAAGATCAAGACTAGTCACTAGCCACGAGGTACAGAAGCCATTTTCTGCAATTTTTTGGAGCCGCAACACAAAGAGAGCCATAGGGACGGAACAGCATGGAATGACGACTACATATATATAATGAATAATTCAGATTACTGGCATGGACGGCTGGTACTGTTCAACGACCAAGAAAGATGCAGCCTGAGCTCGATCAAGTGATGATTCTTTGCTTATCGATACATAATTATATCACTGGATCCTTGTAAAGTATCTAGGCCGATGCTACTATTCTAGACGCCTGAACAGTGAAGACAATTTTATAGCTAATCTCTTTTACAGCTTGATGCCTCTGCTCTTTCGGCATCTATTTTCCCAATATCGACACACCAAAAGAAGGTATAGTCCTGGGAAAATTGATATCCGAATCTGAACCTGATCTACCAGGACCTCCAAATATCCTGACAAATGTTTGATCCCAAATGTCAGATCATTGCTTGAATCTCCTAGGGTGAGATCAGGAGAAGAGTAAATTCTTGAGATGCAGACCAAACGAGAGTGGGAGTTTGGGACCAATGATAACATTGAGGTAACAAGTTCTCAAGTACCCATAAGGAAACACCCAAGCCATGATGAGTTGAGAGCCTCAGGGGTCTGGAGGAATGTAAAAGGTGGAATTGGAGTGACCCCAATAGAGAGAGGAGGAAATATGAAGAATTTGAGCTGGATCCATTTCTATATAGAGTTTGTGGGTGTCACTTAGCCAGCAGCCAAGCATTTGAATTTCATGGTCTGAGCATCTAGCTGCCACTGCTGCAGATGCACCACCTCATTGAAAGCTATGCTCTGAAAAGAGGGTTATATCATAGCCAGCAAATGTAAGGGCTTCACAAATGGTTGAGATAAAGAATGTGCATGTGATCAGTTTGGATGGGTCATCTGGTGAAGGGAACAGAGGAAGCAGAACTTCTGGAGCTGCATCATTTTGAATCAAGGTTTTGAGTGCAGTGATGGGACATGTAGGTTTTCCCAGAGCTGCAGCAAGGCAAATAGAAGCATCTTTTAAGAAGGAATCAGTCTTGGATGTGGGCAGGAAGAGAATAGCATGAGAAGCATCATCAAACCTTGGGAAAAAATTGAACTGAAGCCTGTGACAACTGGAAGGCAGGCAAGAATGCTTTATCTGCTGATTTTTCTGTGAATTCTCTGCAACAGAGAAGACCCAAGAATGCAACACAGCAAGCAGCATAAGTGGCTAAGTGCTCCAGCTTGCCTTCTGGCTGGAGATGAGCAAGGATATCTGTGAGTACAGGAAGGGTTATTGGCTGTTTTGGCTTCCTATCTTTCTCACCATGGAAGCACTTGATGCCACAGATAATGTGCTGTACCATGAGGGAATCTGTGGCTGTGAAAGAGAGATTGAGGTTGGTATGCATGGACTTGACATAGGTAAGGTACTTTTTGATTGTCTTGGATTGAATGTGAGGGCCAAGGGATGCAATCCACTGTAGGATCACATCCTGGAATGCTAAGAGTAAGGAACCATCAGGTTGAGAAAGAAGTGGAGCTGTACAAATTTGATGTAGGATTTTTGTCCTGTGTGTAAGTCAACCTTGTACTTGATATAAGGCCATGCCAAAGGTAAAATGCAATGGTTTTGCTCAGGTTTGCATATCTTTGGTACCACCAAGTTGGAGGTGCTTTGAGGAAGGCTGTTTGTCAAGATATGATGTGAGTTGGAACAGGCAGGTGTAAGCAAAATGAGAAGCAGCATCAGCAAGTGCAGTATTAGCAGAAGGTAACCAAACACAAGAAAATGAGAAGTCAAGATGGCATGCCATGCTAAGAAATTGCCACAAGAACTTCATTGTGGGAGCAGAGTGAATAGGATATGTGTTGAGAGCATCAAAAACAGCCTTGTTGCCAATGTGAAAAACTGCATGTTTATGTTGAAGTGCATTATCCCAACATAATATAGTGTGCAGTGTGGTGTACATTTTCTTCACTTGTATATGAAGGTGGCAAATTTGATGTGGTGTATTGGCTGAGAACCACTGAGATCTGAAGATACCACCAATATACCCATGAGACATGGTTGCTCTCATCTCTCCAATAACTCCAATACCTCCATATAGCTATTTTGACTTTACCAAATGTCTTTCAGTCCACTGTCTGAGAGTGTCAACCATAGCTGAATCTCCTGCTTTCTCACCAGGTTTGCTTAGCATGACCCAGACTCAGAGAAGCCTGATTGTGGGTTCATACTCATGCTCACCTTTGCAATGACAGATTCCTGGACATACTGTCCTGGGTGCATATAGAATATGGTCTCAACCTCTTCAGATGGTTTCTGTTGATGGTCAAACCAAGCATAATTTTGATCTGAGGCATGGCTCACTACTCAATCTGGGTTGAATGTATTCATTGTTGCAATAGCAGAATATGAGACTAGAGCTGTACCTTTTCAAAGAACAAGTACTGTTCATATGAGCTGAAGCATTTAATACTATGGCTATATTTCTTCTTTTTTGGCATCATTGGAGAAAGAGGCAGTGGTCTGGAAGCTGCATATATTTGAGCATAGTTCAAAGCTGCTGATGAGAGATCTTGATCTACAGTTGTTATAGTACTTTCAATGCAGATAAAGAAGAAAGATGCAGTTATCTGGCCTGGACCCATGTTTGATTTCAGCTGAACTTTTCATTGAAATTCCTTTCATTCCACAGTGTTATCCAGCCTCTTTCCCAGCAGGGTTGTGGCATAGCATGCTCTTTGTATTGACAAGACTGGTGTACTTACTATCTGAATAGATACAACATCAGTGACTGTGAGAATTCAAACATCATGATTGATAGTTCTGTGTCATACTCTTGAAGCAAATTTGTGGCTTGACTAAATAATCCTGCAGGCAGTGCATTAGAAGCATAGCTTTGGTTCAAATTCCATTGGTATCTCTGAGTACCTACTAGGCTGGGTCATCAAGTGGACCCAAGATAGTTTAAGATGAGTTGTGATTCTGCTTTTTTCAATGTTATAAGAGCTACATGATTAACTTTCCCAATCAGAGATTATCTACTTATTACATTACTCAGCATGGCTGTTTGATATCAATATAGTTACTAAATCCAATACTGTTGTGCTATGGACTTGGCCAAATTCAGCATTTTTCATGTTCTGAGCTTACTTTGTTCAACACTCCTGCTAGTGAAGAGTGCATCTGCCATGTGTTTTTCAGCTGAATTAGCCTTCAATACAAATATTTCTCTACAATGGACATGCTGAGGGTGAGTGTTCAACCACATAACTGTACCTTTTGCTCAATGTGATTTCACAGGAGTTGGCTCTCAGTGGCTCAGATGATGCTCTTGTTCAGCTGGGAAAATTTGCCTATGATGATTCCATCATGTTTTCTCACCTCTTCCAGGTTATTTGTGTGTTTCTGAATTACTTGCTGCCACCACTGGAGATGATAGATAAGTTATCTCCTGAAGACTTTTTTAAATCATTAGACAGAGCCACATCTTACTTTCATGCACTTAATGTTGCTCTTCAATTGCCACAGGCTCTTGACCTTTCCAAATCAGCAGGACTAATGATCACTTGTCTCCAAATATATTTTTGGGCTGTCAAATTTCTCTAGCATGATCTCATTGACACTGATATCATCATTTCTATGTTGGCAGTGTCCTTAACTGTGGTTTGAATCATGGAGTTCCTTGGTACCCTAGCCACCAACCCTGATTACTCTGCAAAGATGCAAGATAACAAAGGTTTCTTTTTTTCCATAACTGTCTTGTAGATATACTGCATTTGTGAGGAATATGGTCAGATCAAGGATATTGTTAAGATAATCATAATGCACACCCTACAGAAATCTAATCTCAATAGCAAGAGTTCAAACACTTTTAATTGGATTCAGAACAAGGTTTCAAATGCTTTTAATTTGTTTCAGAATCCCATAAATGTAAAAGAAGTCTGCACTTATATTGTTGCCAGTGAGTGAAAGCCTGATACAGACTATGATGGAGGCATCATGTTCCTAGTCATCAGCACAATGTATTCTCATTCATTCATCTGAGCTTTCATCTCATGCCACTCTGTGTCATGGATCTGTAGATAGATTGTGGGTATCATGGTCAAGAAAGAGAAAACCTGCTCTCTCAATGAACTGGTTGTTTACTCCAGACTACTTCAAGTCTTGTTATTCTACTTGCTATGAGCATTTAAAGAGGGTTCTGGTCAAATAATCAAAGGGCTGGATGCTGATGTGATACTGGCACTCTTAAAGGCACAGTTAAAGGTGGACACCTATGATAAGGAAGCAAGTCTTGTTCTATTGCTGCACTTAATGACATTATACACACTCTATCACAATGTACTCTCCAAAATGTTCAAGGTCTTATATATGGCTGATTTAGAACCTGGCATTTCTGAGGCAGAACTGATTGGCAATGCTTAGACCATACTAAAGGAGACCATAGAGACATGTTGGGGTATACTCAAGGATTATATGGCTTTTGGGCATAAACTGACAATTTGCTTGTACCCTGCTGTGAGCTCTCTGTTATAATTTCCAATGGCCCATTGCTTATAAATCCTATCCAGTATCTGCACCTGGATAATGGCCCCAAGCAGATGCTCAGATATTGTAAAGGCTGTCATTTTAAGTACTATTGCTTGAAAGAGTGCCAAAAACTGGACTGGGACAATGGTCATAACAATCTTTGTCAAATGATACAACATGATCTTCAAAGTCAGTTCTTGCTCTCCATGAATAACTTCCAGTCAATGTTTTTAATGATCATTCACAGATGGTCTCCCCATCCCCATGTTAAAGTGTGAATGCCATTATTGAAAAAGATATCCAGGATAATGCTCAACCCATTCAAAAGCTGAAGTCAGAAAAGCCAAAGGGTTTTGTTGTTTTGCTCACTGTCATGGATTACATGCAAGTTTCAATGAAATTGTATGCCTTCATGGATCTGTCTGACAAAACTGACCCATACATAGGGTTTCTTACTATTTGGGTCACTGACAAGAATTATGGCACTTGTCTTACACTTGGACATTGTATCCATGTCATTAATTAGATTCTGATGTGACAAAGAAACCATTAGGAGTTATACAGTCTGTTTGGGAATTAACGGTTTACAGTCCCGAATATTTTCACATTCAAGCTTCAACCTCCATATTAAGAAAAGTTCCTTCGTGCTATGACTTCGAGCTGCTTCCCAATGTCACTATCTATATCTTAGCAGCCATGTCGGATCACTACAAATATTAGCCATCTAGCCATCCACCCTCCGAGTCATCAATTTCTATTGAACAAGTCTGATACGTGTTAGTACGTTCCGAAGATGGTCTTGGCCGATTCCAAAGAGTTTGGATATGAGGTTTATTCAAAGCAGGACTTGGAGGTCAGAAATACTAAAGGACAATTGAAGAACGACGCGTTTGTTACGACCTTGACCCAAGCAGTAACGCTTGCAAGTCCCTGCATTTGTTCAGTATTCGCGCGTGATGCACGGACGTTCACACTTTTTGCGCCTTCGACTAACTGGAGAAAGTTTTCCAAGAAGACGATGAGTTTGCCGATGAACTTCCTTTACAAAATATTTTCCAGATTTACATTGACGATATTGTGCGGGTACAACAATAGATATAAGATCCTTTCAGGAAAGGTATACAGAGGTATAGCGTGATACAGCCACGAAAACGCTGTAATTATGGTCAAATGACGAGCATCTGTCATATTTCGCTGGAAACGTACCGACAGTCAAACTAGATCTTTGACCCGAGATAGAAACCACAGGAGAAACAGAGCGAGCATCACAAGCCAGAAATCTTTGGACAAGAGCAGGCGAACGATCCTCACGTGTATCAACCTAGTTCAACGAAAAAGTTGATGCATCAAGGCGATACAGCGAGGAGAATAATCACCAGTGAGCAACCCGCTTTTCTTGCAGGACAAGCATCCTGTACTCATCTAGAATGAAATAAATATGCTAGGCGTGTACGAAGCGATCTGTGGAACGTACCACAGTCTTCACCAGACCTATTACGCACTGTAACCTTGAGGTCCACGATTTCTGCCACCAGTTCACGAATAAGAGATTCCTTCAGTTGATAGTCCTTGCACCGTGCTATTGCGTCTTTGATGGATTCCAGGGTTATGGCAAGTTCAGAGCTCGTGGTGACTACTACTAGCCGACGCTTGAGATATTCGAGTTCGAGGAATATTTCGAGGAATAGGGGGTCTATTAGCTCGCCGGGAGGCGGTATGGTGTCGCTGTATTCGCACATTGCTTCGAGCTTGAAGAAAGGAAAGGGCTGGGTATAGACGGTGTACGTAGGCGGTGGTGGTAGTGGTTCAAGCCGTGTTTGAAATCCCGACGCTAGCTTCCGTCCTTTGCCATCCCCACCATGCTCATTTCCTCTTTGCATTATTATTCAGGAATTCTTCTCTCTCAGCTAGCAATGAAGCATCCGTTAATAAGTACCACAACCCAACTCTCACAGTGGATACGAACGACAAAGCTCAGATATGAGCCCAGTGGTGTAATGATTATATTTAGCATACAGAAACGCGATCTTCAGTGTCGACATTCGAGAAATTGACTTCGGTTTCTGGTACTCTATGAGGACTTTGACTCGGACCTGGGTAGATTGATATGAAAGGACTAGTAAGGTTAGCTGTGGGAGAATCAACATCTCACTTACCCCGCTAAACCGTACTTAAGCTTCTATCTTGAAGACAACCAGCAACTTTATCGGCGCTTTCGTCGTCATTTTCCAGAAGGTCCTTTCACCGAACGACAAGCTTTCAGAATAGGATTTCAGTCTGAACTTCAGTCATTCTGATCAAGGATGGACAAGGATAGACTCTTGCAATGTCAAGTCCACAATCTCGCTGAATAAGACTGCTATAATAAATGGGACTGCGCCCAGAGACTGCAGCATTCCCAGAATATGGCAGACCTTAATGTGGCTATGGTGATGTCGCTGTAGGGACGAGTAGGCCTTATTACAGGCGGAGGGACGGGGATGTATGTTTCCTGGCTTCCATTTACGACTCACAGTTGACTCTCTGACAAAGGATTTGCGATTGCAAGCGTCTGTTACAGGCGTCCTAGGGTCCATTATCCCGTCTGTAATCGTCCTTTCTTCCATATATCCATTGCTTACCGACACATAGACTGCAGATGGACATGACCGACGAAGAAGCTGTCAAGGCCGGCGCCAAGTGCATTGAAGGAATCGACGGCAAAGCTTGATATCCTCGTCAACAAGTTCGTACATCACAACCCCATTCTCTTCCATACACCAATCTCTTCCCAATGCCGGATTTGCTGGCTCCCTTCGTGATCCAGACTTTACCACTAAACAGCACGCGGCGACAGATCCTCTCGAACCCGAGACCATACAGAACTGGGTCGATATCTTCGCATTAAACGCCATCGCCCCATTTTTTGTCGCCCGCGCCTTCCAATCCCTCCTCATCAAAGGAGCATATTTCCGCCCCCGAGGCACCTCAAGCATCATCAACATCAGCAGCATCGCAGAAAGAATCAACACACCGGGGCCCTGAGCGTGTGTATCTGTCTCGATATTCGTTTATAAAGCTCGAACTGACTTGACTCGATCAGATGGCTTATGGTGTGACGAAACCAGCCTTGGACAAGCCCACCCTTGTTCTTGGGACGAGTTTTGCTGTGAGAGGTATCCCGATTCAGGTGAACATGCTGCAGCTTGGCTCGTTTGCATCGCAGCTGATAGGTCCTGAAATTTTGGAGATTATCAAGACGAAGCCTGCACCTGGTGCTGTAGCGTCGATGCATGGGTCGTGAGTACGCTCGGTATTCGGATAAGATCGGTATTTGAATCGAGGTTTCTAGTGATGCAGAGATTGGGATGACGGCGGTCTACCTAGCGGTATCGGACTATACCAACGGGGCGGTTTTGTGTGTTGATGGCGGAACATCGCTCGTAAATCCTCGAATGTTTTTTTATTTGACGTAGAACGTCTATGGAATTAACTTTTCCCCTTGATGTTACCGACGTAACGATATCATGATGTTCCCGTCTAAAGACGAACTTGGTGTCGATGACCCCCAAACAGTATGATTTCAAACAAGCGGGACATATGAGATGTTCTGTGGAAAGCAACGAGGAACTCGTCTTGTAGAACATCCAAGATATCTAACTCATAGACGGAAAGAAGGAATGGTGATTGCAAGTGGGTCTTTCAGGATGCAGTTGGAGGTTTGTACAGCCAAGACAGGTCAAAAAAATGGTGTCGTGCCATCCCAGATAAGAACTCATACTCGCGTCGGAATCTTCTTGAGTTCAGGAGTTTATGCATCAACTATTTTTGTTTCACCTAATAACGATGATAACAGACCCTTGCATACCGGTTATTCTTGTTAGGAGTTCCTTATCATGCTTGCAACATATCCAACTCGCCATAGTCCATTATTACCCATCTCGTTGAGCTGAACGGTTCCTCAACTCTTCTGCCATATCATCATTTTGCTAGCATTGATGATCAGGTTTACTTACTCCTTCGCCAGTGCATATTTAAGCTCGATACCAGCCTACCAGTCACTTGAATAGTTACCTAGTCATTATTCCATCCTTCAGTAGGAACCACGTGGCCTCGTCAGGTGCATGTTGCAAAGAAGCTGGAGTTCGGACCGGATGCTAGGCGCGCGCTGATTGAACGACACGAGGTCACAATCAGTCAACTTAGAGTTCAACGTCGAACTCCAAATCCAGTACTTATCGCCTAGCGTCACCACGTCAGAAGGTCGTTCATCGATACATTCTTTCGTCGAGAAATGTACTAACTCCTAGTCAGGATGACATCTCCAATTCGAACGGACAAATCGCAATTTCATCCCGATTTCTCTTCATTCATTCCCGAATACTTACAGCCTAAGAGATCGGCCAGGATAGAGGAACTTCTTCTTTCTAATAAACCACTGTTGGAGTTTGAAAGGAAAGAATTCCTCCAAACTTCTGCCAGAGGCCCTCACACTCTTGATGAATTTGACGAGAAAATATCGGTGACGCGCCAGTTGTTGGATTTTTTGGTGGCTGAAAGAAATCAAGCTGTGTCCAACATCTCGGACGCAAAATCTCTTTCACACCCTGTGCGCTACCTGCCGGATGATGTGCTGCGTGCTGTCTTTCGGGCTTGTACCAAGTCCGCAGACCAGGCGTTCGATGGGGGATATGCCAGTCTAAATCCTACCGTAGCCGTTGAATCGATTCAACCAAATCAGTCACCATGGACCCTTTCCTTTGTCTGTCAACAATGGAGAACCGTCACCATTGACACTGCTGAGCTGTGGTCTCTCATTGAGCTCGATCTAGATAAAAGACCTAAAGGCAAAGAGCAGGTCAAGAATCGCATGTTCAGACTTGGTTTATCATTGTCCCGATCCAATGGTCATGACCTTTCCATTCGTCTCCATGGAAAGAATATCGTTCCGGATGTCTCTCCGATCCTTCAAATTCTGCTCCCCACTGCTCGGTATTGGAAGCGACTATCCGTGTTCCTTCCCCTCACCTCATTCCGACACTTTTCTATGTGCAAGGGCTATCTGAATCGCCTAGACACCCTTTACGTAGGCATTGGAAGCTCTGACAGTGCCGACCATATCGACGCCTTCCAGCTCGCTCCGAGCTTAAAGGTCGTTGGAACGTTACTTGAGCACTGGCCCATAGCATTCAGACGCATGTCCATTCCTTTTTCAAGAATCACATCCTTTTTATCTGGAGGCAGCAATCTGTATACATATGAGTCCCTCAAAAGACTTCTGCATGTACGGATGCTCACCCTCCTATGCTGGCATGACATCGAACCAGAGCCTGTACAGCCAATCACTTTATCCAACGTGACTTTCCTTCATCTGTTGGCATCGCACCTACCCAACTCTTCATTGAGTATCAATCATATGTATTCTCTCCTCATCCTCCCATCTCTTCAATTCCTGAAGATATCCTTCTTCGGATCAGACCAGATCTTCTTTGCCTACCCACATTCATGCCCTATCAAAACACTTACTATTGAGGTTCACAATCAATCACAGGAGGCATGCACTGGGCTGCGTGACAACCTTCCTTATTTCTTACGTCGAACTTCCCAATTGGAGGAGTTGCACATCTTGACGAGGGCCACGACTTTACCAGATCGATGGGTCAATGGTCTGGTATACACTTCGGAGCGTGATGCAGTAGCTCCGTGTCTCCGTGTTTTAAGTATGCCAAGCGGTCTCTCAGCGGGGGATTTGGGCTGCCTTGTCAATGTCATCGAGTCCCGGAGGAGAAAGGATGGCTGTTCGTCGGACGGTAGACAATGCACGCTGTTAGAGAAAGTAGAGCTCGGGCCCGAACCTTTACAGTTTAATTCTGAGGAGCTCTCAGAGAGATGGTCGGCACTGTGTACAGGCGAACTAATCGTCACACACAGAAACGAGTGAGGTGGAAATTTTCATGTGCGTTTTCAATTTTGCTGTTCATAGACTAAATGAAAACATCATTGAAGGTCGAATACGAAAGAACCAAGAATAAACTTCAGCGACTGACGCGTTTTTATTTCTATTGAAAACCCAGAAGAAACATTGACTGAGCATACCGATGCTTTATTAGTTTCATCCTTTCATATTTACCAAGATGACACGAATATATACTTTCTTTTTGGAATACCGACACTTGTATGGCAACTATGCTTTCCTTCATTAATGTACTCATATAGACATTCTCTGGTCGTGAATACTATCAATGGATCTCTACGGTTCCGGTTGACGTTAACGTTCTTCATCCGAGAGACAAGAGACATCAGTCTTGAGACGACGGTTATATCCATGGGTCGGAGGATCGATATGCCCTAGGTGCAATAAAGGAGATACGAAAAAGCCGAGTGGATTATTCTTCTGAAATGCTGAAGAGAAAGCAAACAGAACTGAACAACTTGCGTTCAGAGCTTGATACCAACCTCCAAGTCACAGGGAGCTCTGTCTTCACCGCTCTGCATATTCTCTATGTATTCTCCCATCGTGCGGCATCTCATGATGATGTTCAGGCAATTCGGGAGCGCTGTTCAGTTTCGTCAATAATGCGAGAGGTTGGTTAGCACTCCTTCGGTGTCTCAGGCCGCAGAAGATATCAGGGCATGGCTACAACTCCCGACCTGTCTCCAGCTCAAATTCTATGGCAAGAAGCTGCGAGTCGACAAACGAAAGGAGAGTCTCGAGCCTATACCGGCCTGAACATGACCTCTTCGTTAGAGGGCTTAGTTACCAGGCTACTCGCGTCAACTGAGATTTTTCATAAAAGAGTAATAATCACTCTGGCACGTTGAGAGAATATCTGTTTCGAATACAGTGGTCTACTGTCCAAAAAACGGCATCAATTGGGTCAGAACATACATGATAGACAACCGGGCATTTCTTTTGTCCATCCTGAGTACTTCATAACTGTCGGTAGCTGAGTCGTGCCCACGCGGTACCCGCGGAAATATAGCTCCGCGACGATGGGTACTCTGCTGATTAACAGATTGGCCACCACGCAGCGAAGATATATCATCATAGCCTGACGAACCTGCAATACATTAACGCAACAGAACCGCCAGAGAAAATGCCGGTGGCCGACAAGTCGCCCCAAGAAACTCTATAGGGGATTCGACGGATCTGCCGAGCCATTGATAAATGAGAAAGAGAAGCAGCGGAGAGTAGAGAGAAACTTACAGGAAACAGCGGACTGGGGATTTTACAAGGAGGGTCTGTCCGCACGAAGCGGACGAAGGCTCAAAAAATTGAGGCTCAAGGCCTACCATGGCAAAATGCCATACTCCCCTCAAAAAGAGGATGAGACAAGAGTAACCGACAAAGATTCAGCTTAGAGACAAGCTCGAAATCTAGCGCGGCATGATTTCGCGAAATCATGTCATTCTCAAACGCGGAACGGAGGTGGAACGTTAACATCCAGATACGAATACAGAGACCGGTCATTCAAGAAAACAGAGAACGAATGGCAATTCAAGGACGAATCGGACCAGAATTCAGATATCGAGATCGTTGCAAAGCATCGCAGAAAGACATTTCACTGTAGACAAAATGTCAGTCTAGGCGGAAAATGAATGAATGCACGACGTACCTCCACCAGCGGCCCGTGAGCTGTACACACTGTCCGCAAGGCGGCACGGTACCATACATGGCGCAACAGACTGCGCAGAGATATACATGAGGGCATTTGGGAGAACATCCAAATGAAACAAAAGATACAGGGCGCAACAGGCTGCGCAGGGATATACATACAGGCATTTGGAGAGACAGCCAAATGGAAAGAAACGAAGAAGACAATACATGTCGCAACAGGCTGCGAAGGGATATACATGGAAACGGCTGGCGGTACAACGAACCAAAACGAATCAGACCAGGGTTTGAGTATCAAGATCATTGCCAAAATCACAGACAAAATAATTCACTGCAGATAGAACGTCAGTCTTAGTCAATAAATGAATAAATGCACGACGTACCTCCACCAGCGGCCCGTGAGCTGTACACACTGTCTGCAAGGCGGCACGGAATGTGGCATCCTTTCGAGGGTAGCTGCATAGAGTCGTTCCCGCCCTTTTGTAGTACCACCATAGAGTATATGAAACGACCAGGAGATGTCGACAAGGAGCGTTCATCAAAAGTATCACATAGCCAGGGAGATCCTCGTCATCGACGACGAATCAGGACATCGTACTCTGGGATTGAAGGCGACAAACAAGGCCGATGTCCAATCTTCCAAACATAATTGAAAGATATTCAAGAGAAAGAAGCTGGACACTCACTTTCGTGCCTGTGGCGCAAGAGCATAGGTTGGTGTGGCTTATGATCATACTCGACAACGTAGAGAGTCCAGCAGCTATAGAATGCACCCAGTCTGCAGGCATATCATTCGTCAGGTAATCGCGACATAACATGATGCTGCCCAAGCGTGTGGTCTACTGGGTGTGGCTGACAAGAGAATCTTCCGTATTCGTGAATCTGGTCGACAAAAGGCATTAGAAAGACATCGGTAATCGAGCTCTTCAGTCTCCAGGTGCGACCGCGGCGCTGACACCCCCATCGAAACCATGGATGCTAGAGTTGGAGGTGGCAATGTGGCTCAACCATCGTTCATCTACGAGATCTAGAGGCAGTAAAGAAAAATCGCCCTTGAAGAAAGAGCTACAAGAAGGCGTCGGTGGCTATGACACGGCAGTGGTCATGATGGAGGAGAGAAAAGAAAGTGAAAGTCAGTGGATAACAAGCCACGCGCCTTTTATAGCAACGGTGTTTGTGCCGCCGAAACAAATCCAGATCCAGATCCCGGGATGAATCATGTCCGAGTCATGTGATAAGGCCAGGTTGGTATCGGTAGTTTTGCGGCGCTATCGATCTGAATGGGCCATCAACGTTTTGTCGAGCCAGCAGAGAATGCCACTTTTTCAACAGACGGGCAGGACTACATGAATGTGAGAATGAACATTGGCCACTGGAGGACAAACACAGCAGGCCCAAAGATGCTTTCCAGGTATCTGGCAGCAAAAGGTGTTCTAATATGAGACCACCAAGCTTGAAGGTGTGAGCACGGAGTAGTACCATGATGTCCTGCATAAACCTGCAGCCATATGAATGCATAATATTTAATCCAAATATTGCTATCCAGGATAATCAGACACCCTGGCATAGTACCATACTGATACACACTCAGAACCTAGTCTCAACATCTATGAATCAGTCCAATGTCTAATCACCATTTGAATCCTGTGTATTTTCTGGCTCTGTTCTGAATCAAATTTCGAGACAACTCACTACAGTGAATGCGGACTCGCTCCGCTCATGATAATATAAAACCCTCATCTAAACTCAAATTGGATGTTCAGGGCTATGCTGTGCAAATACTCAGAGCATCAAATGGAATTTCCTTTGAACATAATTAGATTAAAAGCTGCTGACCCTCAGGCCTCAACTCCTAAGGCTCGCCTCAAAAATTGAAGCACTCTGATCCCTTGTCAGCAATGACAGCCAAAAACTTGAGTTGACCCAGGCTCGAACTGAGGACCTTCTGTGTGTTAGACAGATGCGATAACCAACTACGCCACCGACCCAATATCTCGGAGTCTCCCACGCTTCTGTTGGCCTTTAGTTACCTGAATCCAGCCAAGGACATGACATGCTAAATGACACTCAAAAAACAGTATCCCGGTTACTAATTACATTCTCAGCAGCCAGGAAAATAGAACTTGTGCGCAAACGACAACGGAATAGCTGTGGGCGCCTGGTTAGAGCCAATCCCAAGACATACAGGAAAGTACGCACCTTCCCTATCGTGTCTTTTTCATGACTCGCTGACTCGACGCAGGTCACCCTCATGGTCACCTCGTGGTCACCGCTGAAACCAGAAATACGAGTAAGGAAGGAAATCTCTCCGCTTATATGCGTGTCACGTACCCCGCAGTTCATCATTTCCAGCACTTGGTCGCAATCCCAGGTCCCTTGCAAACCCTGATTATATAGCGAGTGGTTCCGTTTTGCTACCTGGCCAAGGATGATGATGGACCGGTCATGGCACTTGCGAGACCGCTGCCTTCGCCCTTTATCCCGCCTCCCAACACTGGTCTTGTATAGCCAGAAACAACAGTGAACTGTGTACGTTCTCGACATAGTTGCGTGCGCGTCGTCACGCTATTCTTGTTCTCCTCATTGTCGGGATCCGCTACTACCGTTGGAATCGATGGACGAGAGTAATACTCCTCTGAGGCAAAAAAATAGGTTAGCTGAAGCGACGCGCGACAATATTCAGTCATACTTGTATGAATCTTCCTTTCTTCGCAAAGTCTCTCATCACCGTCGCTCACTATCTTGGATAGTAGTCCAAAGATGGAGGCGCACAAAGGATTAGACGTCGGAATGGCTGTAGTTATACGTAGTAACGAGATGGTGGTTGGAGATCAACGTTAGGAGACGCGTGAGCAGCAGCTGGCGTCGGAATTTCAAATACGACTTGAATTACCACTACCATCCTCACCGATCAAGCCCTTTCTGTTCTTACTCTCCAAGCAATGTCCAAACCCAGCATCTCGATATCCCCTGCAAGCGAGACGATAGGCCCCCCACTCCTCGAAGTCGAAGATCTCAGGCGTCACTTAGAACTCTTCATGTCCTCCATTCAAACCGCCGAGGACGGAATAGCAAAGGCCAAAACTTATCGGGAGAGGCAATATCTTCTTCGTGAAATGGCGGCAGGACTTAAGGACATCAAGGTAAAAATGGGTGAAACGTTTGGTGAAGACTCTGGTACGTTCCACAGATTGCTTCGTCTATGCCCTAGCATATTGTTTTCTTCTAGATGCATACAAGCTCGTGGTTACGGAAGAGAAACTGGTTGCTTATCGGTGACTATGCTCCTTTGCTGTATCTCCTTGATGCTCCAACTTTTTCGTTGAACTAGGCTGACGAACGTGATGATCTTTCGCTTGCTCATCTATTTTTTCTGGCTCTCTCCGTTCCTCCTATGGTTTCTATCTTGGATCAAAGCTTGAAGCTTGACTTCTGGTACGTCTCAACGGAATATCGCTGATGCATTGGCTCACCATATTACAGCGTTTTCTGGCCGTGCTATTCTCCGTATACCTTTCCTGAAAGAATCTTATATCTACTGTTGTACCCAATATCGCGATGAAATTCGAATGCTCTGGCCCTTGTAAGGGCGGCGAATGTCAGTCAAAGGCGCCAACTTATGAACGCGCGATTACTGAACAGATGGCGAAACCTTCACGGGTTACTCGATTTGTCCAGGTTATAATAAAACCGTCATATTTGACTTGTACTGATGCCGAACTCAAGCGGCCCCAACACCCCCAACACCTGTTGAAAGAAGCCTGATATCCAGCAAAATCCTTCAGCTTATTTCCCTCTCTGTAACACTCCAGGATAAAAATAATATTAATTACGTGCACCTCCTACAGCGGATAATCAATTAGTCAAGGATTGACCAACGATAATCCACCATCAACACTCAAAATAGCTCCGTTCGTATAATCCGAAACCGCCAAGTAGATCGCCGTCATCCCCATCTCCGCATCACTAGTATGCAACTCAATATCAACTAACTCCATCCAAATACCGAAAATACTCACGTTCCATGCCTCCTCGCAGGTATTGGTGCGACCTGCCCAGGTACTGGCTCCGTCTTTAGACCCTCCAAAAACTCAGGACTCAGCTTCTCCGACGCGAACGCGCCAGGCTCCAACGCGTTTACTCGGATCGGCACACCTGTCCTAGCAAAGCTCGCCCCCAGAATGAGAGTGAGTTTGTCCAATGCGGCTTTCGTCACATTGTATGCGATCTAAAATCAAGTCAGCTCAAGACGTAAACGAACAGCAGCGTACATACACAAGTTATGGGCGACGATATGTTCATCTTTGCTGTTACGCTGCTAATGTTGATGACGCTTGACGTGCCTCGGGGACGGGAATGTGCTCCTTTGACGAGGAGGGATTGGAATGCGCGTACTACGAAGAACGGCGCGATCGTGTTGAGCGCAAAGATATCTGTCCAATTCTGTACCGTCTCAGGTTCAAAAGGATCTATGGCTGCGAACTTCTTCGCGATGAAGTCTGCGTCACGAAGGGAACCGCCAATTCCGGCACTAGAAAGAAATTAGTTTGTCGAAGAGCGGAAAGGATACTGTCGACGAACTTGTTGACAAGAATGTCGAGTTTGCCGTCGATTCCTTCGATGTGCTTGCAACTAGCCTTGACACTTTCTTCATCTGTCACGTCCATTTGGAGTCTGTGTTCATGTCAACAACAAAATATCGAGAAGAAAAGACCCTCGCAGACGGGACAATTGATCCTGGGACGCCTGTAACAGATGCCGCGGCTCTTTCTAGCACGTCCGACCTCCGGCCAATGATATATACCTTGGCTCCGTTTGCAGCAAAAGCTTTAGCAATGCTAAATCCTCTACCAAAGAGTCAGCCATGAGTTGTCATCAAGAATCCTGAGACTTGCATCCCTGTTCCTCCGCCTGTGACAAGGCCCACTCGTCCAGAAAGCGACATCACTGTAGCCATGTTAAGATCTGCCATGTCATAGAAATGCTGAATAGCCTCTCGAGACACGGATCCTTTTATTACAACAGCTGCTGTCTAGATGTCATTATCCTCGGTCTTATTCAGCGAGAGGTTATCTCGGCGTACGTGGTAAATCGCTGCAAGAGACCGCTGACGACCATTAACAAAGCAAAAGTACTCGTGCTCGGGCGGGCAGCGGGCGGCGAGCCTATCCATTGACTCTTCGGCCGTGTTAAGAAAGGAGCTTACTCATGCTCTTCCCCGCACGCCGTAGACAGGTAATCGTAAGAAATTCCCGCAAGTACAGCGACAGAATACAGACGCGGACATCATGTGGGCTAAGGAATCCTGTGATATAGATTTACTGCGAGCAAAATTTGTTTAGCTGAGCGATTGAAGTATTATTTCCATCGTAGCTCACCTTCACCATCGTTCCCTCCTGCTTCGCATAATCAAGCCGAAGTGGCTCGCACAGCCAGCATGAATAATTGCGTCCTTCGGCAATACATTTCCATTCGGACCTGGACACTCGTCGCCCCGAGTAAATTCTTCTAATGGCGAAGACGTGGAGAATGAGTTCACGATCCAAATGACCCCGAAGATGTAAAGAGTAAGTCACAGAGCCTGAGGCCCCGTATGTAACGACTTTACTCGGTATCGGGGAACACGGAGGGCCCTGAGAGGGTCGTTTTTCCCTGCCAGGCTCATGCTTGAGGTTTGCGAGCACTCAGATGGGATAATATGTGCATTCAGAAACGGGGATCCGGAGTGATTGTTTCAATCTTTTATTCGCGCCACATGTGCCTTCCCGGAGCGGAACACAGCAATCGCAGCGTACAATTTTCAGAGAACGCGTTCTACGTCCTTCGTCCCGACTGGAATGTTAATGTTTCAACCTTTAAGTGCATCCTCGACATCTTCAGCGTCGCCTTTCCTCCTCGTCATATCCAACGCCATAGAAGGAGCAACATTCAGCTTGCATCTGGGAAGGTGTTGATTCCAGAGTATGTCAAGGACAGAAGACACGCGGGAACTACGACGATGCAGCAAATCCACGACACCGCCCTGGACATCCGCCCACACCTATCGTGTCTGTTCCGAATTTAGCGGTTGCCTTCCCGACGAAGATGAGCCCGATGTTGTGAGCGTGAGAGTGCTAGAGTGCTCCTTCATCACGAATGACAGTGGCTTCTGACGAGGATGGAAGGCGACTCCACGAGCAGGACAGTGATGAAGGGGAAGACAAGGTCTGAAGATGAAAGGAAAAACAGCTCGCATTCAGCTGGTATTGGGGGCTATAAGGACGGGAACAAGTGGGAGTGAGCTGGATGCGTTTTTATCCCGGTATTTGTCTTCGCCGCGCCATGTCTTCGGCATTACTGTCGCTAAAAATCAGAAATATAAGTACGGAGGAAAGTCTGACTGCTTATATGCGTGTCGCATACCTCGTGTTCACCATTTTCAGTGCTTCATCCCAATTTCCAACGCAGCAACAATGCCCTAGGCCCTTTGAAAAGCTACTAGCCCATGATCGTTACTGAGGTAGGTAGGTAGGTAGCATAAAACAGAATCTTGCCATTGGACTGAGGAAGGCAATAGACAACACGGGGTGATAGCGCGAGAAAGACGGGTATCCTCGCCTTCTATCTCATTTTGCTGTCGTCCGTCTTGTAGCTGTAGACGGCCATGAAGGGCTACGTTCGATCTGAGCGCTAGCACGCGTCCGTTGTCGTGCTATTCCTGTTGACCTATCGCATCGAGGTCACCGTTGGGATCTCCTGCCACGTTAGAATTTTTGGGTGCCCCTTTGACGCCAAAAACAAATGGGTTAGCCGCAGCTCGGTAACCATATCCACGCGGCTGCCATACCTTTCTGAACTTTCGTGACGAGTCCTTTGGGTATTCGATATCTGATATAACAATTCGAACAGCATTGATTTGGGGATAGGAAAAGGATCGGAGATCAAAATGGCCGTGGCTGCGGTAAAGAGATGTGGCCGGAGATCAACATTGGGTGAGCATCAATATCAATGCTTTATCACTCTTTACTACCATGATCGAAGTGGCGCCTCCTGATTCTTATGCTTCAAGCATTGACACTGGCACCAGCGACTCACAAGCAAGCCAATATACGTTATCAATGACGCTTGTGCCCAACGAGAAGAAAATCATCGGGGATGAAGGCACCCTCATTGAAATACCTCCGCCTAGCTTGAAATAGGTATCTCTTCGCCATGTAGGCTTACTGTAAAGAACATGAAGATTTCGACCTATCCATATCGTCCTTCAAGGGACCTAGGATATAAATACGAAGCTGGAAGATACTATCAGGTGAGTCTTGCCAGGCCGTGCTTTGCCATAGCTTAAATTTGAATAGGACATGCTGCGACGGTGGAACTTTGGTATCAGGAAGTCTTGTAGGCTGCAACAGCTTGGAGGAGCCGTAAGATACTAGCGTTTTCCCAAGCCGCTCGTGTCGACTTGGGAGGAACCAAAAGATTTGTCACGACGGTCATCAGTGCGAACATGGTGTCCAGCCTTATTCATCCTCATAAAAAATATCCTGCGAGTGGGCGTCGAAGTTCTGGGGACATTCAAAACTCAAAAGAAATATTCGCAACGCGAGGAGAAGGTGAATTGCACCTATATGTTTGTCTAATGATTTGATGCTCATCCGTTTCCCCAGGTATACACACACTCTTCTGTGAAGAACCTTTGTCACGTCTTCCCGCGAAGCTCGGAGGAATCATCGGGTCCTAACCGCATGGCGTACGGCGGTGGTATGTTTGTTGTCATATATCCAAAAGGCACTATGCGCAGGAAAGTTCTCAGATTCGTTCCTAGTTACTCATTTATTATCGAGCAGATCCCACCTGAATCAGACTAGCCCATAGAAAAGTCAGTATTAGTTGGAGCCATATATATTGCGGACAGGAACAGGTTTTGAAGCTCCACGTCTAGTGCAGCTTTGAGAACATGGAGAACGGACGCTCTGATCGGTTAAGCCAAGTAATCATTCTACCGGACCGGTTACTGACCACATGTTCAATACAGATCTCTCTTGAACTGTCTTAAAGTGGTTGACTCTAGTGCGACTGCATCAAAATCGTAGCCAGATACAGAATTTCACCAGGGCAGATATGGGACGAGCTTCCGTATACAGTGGAGTTCTACTAATGTCGGTGTCCTGAGAGGGACGGTTGTTATTCGGCTTGTCTTACGGGATGCTATCATGGACGATATAACTCGATTTAGCTCGAGGAGATCTCCTTGTTTGGCAAACGTTTGTTCAATCGCCGGACTCTGGGAGCATCTTAAAATCCGAAAGATATCGTTAACTCTCCGAGCCAGAGTTCTTTCTTCTCATGCCCGTATTATTCCTTATCATCGCATCGCTCTTCATAGCGTCTCTGCTTCATTGGTGGTTCAAACGACCGTCAGTCAAGCACGTCAAGGGACCACCATCGGCCTCTTTCTGGCTAGGTAAGCGATCGTCATCAGGATAAACATGGGCTCATGCGTGATAACACGAGGCCACGAGGGCGTCCTCCGCGGTCAAGATAATGCTGGTGACCTTGAAATGAAATGGTGCAGGAAATATGGTACCGTTTATCGTATTGCGGGTTGTTTGGGGGTGAGCAAGCTCTCTGCCTTTGTTATGTTCACAATTAAGCCAATAATTGGCTAGCAATCCGTCTTGGTAGTGTGTGACCCAAAGGCTCTCGAACACGTTTTCCACCCATCACGACCTTACCCAAAGTCGAAGGACATGCATTTCGTCTTGGATCTCATCCTTGGCAAGGGACTTGCCACCGTTGACAGTGAGTGTTTATTTCGACTAGGCTTGTGCACAAAGTCACACCTAGTGCACTCAGATGACAATCATCATCGCCAACGCAAGATATTGAATCCGGCGTTCTCTTCTGCGCAGCTCCGAAAATATCAGGTCATCTTTCAGCAATGCAGCGACAAGGTAGGTTAATCTGTTCATGGACACGCAGCAATGTTCGGATGCTTGTAGAAACTATAGCTTGTGAATGATATCCAAAGATCTCTGACTGGTTCAGATGATATTATCAATGCTGTTGATTGGACAGGCAAGGCTTCTCTGGATATAATTGGGTTAGGCAAGTGCCATCCATGGTTTTCTCCAACTAGTTAACCTAACATCCGAAAGCCTCTTTCCGATACGATTTCCGTGCGCTCGATGGTCAGGAAGCCGAGTTGGGGCGTGCGATGAAGCATCTTTTGTAAGAAAAGTCCTTCCATGACTATCATACCTAACATCCCGGTCCAGCACTGCCTCGCAAGTCAATACGACGGCATCAGAGCTCATCTTTATAGCCCTGATACGAATGGTTCCGGATTGGGTGTTACGGTTTCTACGCTTGATCTCTACTCGAGAGATTCGTCTACTTGCTAGCTCAGGAAACGTGGCTAAGAAAGTTGCCCGAGAAGTCATGGTTCGGAATAACGAGGTGCAGGTGTCAGACGACGACAGAGATATCGTCAATGTTCTAGGTCAGAACATTGGTCCCAATGACACATGCATCTATTAACATGATTACGACTCTAGCGAGAGCACGTTCAGAGGGCAAAATGCAGGATGACGAAGTCGAGGCGCAGCTGATGTTTGTAATATCTCTTTCTTTGTTCTTTATCACCTGATTTTGCTGTCGTTCCAGGACCTTTGTGGTTGCAGGGCACGAGACATCGAGCACCAGTATAGCTTGGATATTATATGAACTGGCGGTACATCCAGAGTATCAGTCTATAATTCGTGCAGAGCTCAAACAATCAAACGACTACGATTCTATGCCGTTTTTGAACGCGGCTATCAAAGTGAGTAGTAGGCTTAGCTATTTCGAATGCCCCCATTCACCTCTACTGATAGGAGACTTTCCGTATGCATCCAATCGCTCCTTCCTTGACACGTACCGCTCCTCACGATGATGTCCTACCTCTTTCCGGAGGGAAGACACTTGCCATACCCAAGGGACAGACACTCTTTTGTTCAGTTTATCTATATAATCGGTATGCTCTTCCTACATCAATAGTACAAATTTGACGCGAGCCATTTCTAGTCTTCCATGTCTCTGGGGAGACGACGCAGAAGAGTGGAACCCGGCTCGATTTCTCAACAAAACTCTTCCTGGGTCACTGGGTGTGTATGCTAATCTGTGAGTGAGACCTTGGCTATCTGTGCGCAGTCTCGACGCTTACTTACTTGGCGGAATGGCCAGGATGACATTTAGTGAGTTAACACCCCAGCAAACCTTCTCTACCACTAAAACGACCCTCAGGCTCTGGATCTCGTTCATGTATCAGGTAATTTGCTGCTGTGATTCACTTTATTTTCTTGCTGATCTTCTTCTCTCGTAGATGGCGGTTCGCGTATGTACCTCCTCTTTTCAGCTTTGCTTCAGTCTAACTGATCAGCGGAATGCAGAGTCATGGAAATGCAAACAGTCCTAGCCAATCTGCTTCTGCACTTCGAATTCAGTTTACCCGAGGGAGGTGTAGAGATCCAGCATTTCCCCGGATTACCAGGCGTTGTACCCGTTGTGAAGGGCAAAGCACATTTAGGCTCTCAAATACCCTTAAGGGTGAGAGTTTTACATTAGTGAACGCGCACTTCAGAGGCTTCCATTACGTGTATTCTATAGTCCTTTCGCCAATCCATTACCTTTAGTTACTGTCTGAGCCAATTCTGCAAAGTGTCAGTAAATGCGTCGTTCTTCTCTCCGATCCGCTTGTACTTCTGATGCTCGGCCCTCAGCTTTGACCTCATTGCCTCCAGTTCCTGCTCCGGGGAGGCTTTATACCCAGAAAGTCCCTTAACCTTTTCCGTCTGCCTGCTACACTCCTCTCTAAGGCGTTTGCCTTCCCCTACATATTCCCAGCCAATTCTTCTGCGTGCTTGACTCTATTGTTTTCTTCCAAGAGACCAGCAACCTGTCGTTCCCCTGCCTCCAGCTGAAGCTCGAGGCGCTTGACGAGGTTCGAGTCCCACTTGTCCTCTTCCGAATCCACTTTGCGCCTCTTCTGATTGTCTCCTTTCCGTTTTACCTTCGAGTCAGTAATAGGGTCTGAGTCCTCGTCTTCTTCGACGGAGTCAGCGCGGGTCCGCTTCTTGTTCGCCCCTTGGCTATTGCCCAGAAAGCAGGTTTTCCCTTGGAGATGACATTCCCGGCACTCATTTGCGGTGGCGTTGCGAGTGTAATGACAAGGGTGTTTAGACGCGCGACATGCATTGCACTGGAAGTTAGCATGAGCTTCTTCGCTCAGATTTTGGAGAAATCGTGAATTACCGGCGATGAGACTTCAACGGGGGCCAAATCCCACTTCTTGATACCGGACAAGTGCCAGTACCAGCGCGGTATGTCGAGCAGCACCATTGTCTCCCAATGATCGTCCCCGAGGTGTCGCCTGGCATAGGCTTGTTGCTGGGATCTCATTTCGAGGACGATATCGCGCATGGCTCGGAGCCGTTCATTGCGATTTCGGCGTCGCAATGGACTCGAGAACTCCTTGACGTACTAAAGCGCGATCAGTCATCTCCAATATGTAGGAATACACACAAGTTATGGCGCACCTCTGCCCAGATTTCGCGCTCTGCAGGTAAATAAGTCTCGCGTTTCGCGTCACCTTGCCCATTTGCTCCTGCTATCCATGCGGTTTGAGGTTGAGTCCAGCCATCGTCATTATATAAAGTATAGACATGAATCAGAATCCACGAATGTAGATCGGATTTACCTGCTAGTGTCTTCCATATTCACCCTGCGTCAAGAGCACTGGCACCGACACCAACTACCCACAGGAAAACCAATACGCGCTATCACTGCCTCTTGCGCCCGATGTACGACACTATACAAAAAAGCCGGAGGACGCTCAATGCTCACTGGTATTCTTCAACCAGTTGCTCGCCCTTTCTGATACTGTACTTGTATACTACGTTTCCTTCTTTCCTCATCAGTTGTTCTCTTTCCTTTCCGAGGTTGGGAAGGCCCGTCCCTCGTTCACTCTTTTATTATCTCTTTTACTTACCTTAGCCTTAGCTCATTATCACGTCGTCCGGCATAGGTACAAGTCTAATAGGTAAATTCAAATTATTCCATTGGATGTCGAGAATACGACGCCTGGCTGTACCAAGGATTTGTAATGGGGTTCGACTCTCTACTATTGTCCGCATTTATCGACATTAGGATAGTTACTTCGATGTCTGTGTCGACTACTCCAAACTCTTAATTCTCAAAGGGACCCGAGAACCCAAATGCGCTTCGCCCTTCACAACAGGCACAATCGCTTGCGCATTGGGGAACTGCTGTATTACCACGCCCTCGGGCAAACTGAATTCAAAGTTTTGGATGAGGTTCGCTAGAACCGTTTGCATCTCCATGACCCTGAAGTTTACGTTTAGAAATGGGTATAATTTTCGAAACTGGTTATGGTGGAGGAAAAAACGTACGCAAATCGCCACCTATGTACAAGTGAAAATGTTAGGCCAGTTGAAGACTATTGAGAAGGATAGCTTTCAAGTCGATAATTACCCGATGCACGAATGAGAGCCAGTACCTAAGCGTAGCGTGAACGGATTGATTTAATCAGATTGAAGAATGACTTACTGAACGTCATCCTAAGATCCCATCAAGTAAGTTAGGAAACTTATGAATCACAGACACCAGCTCGTACTTACAAATTGGCATACACTCCCAACGACATAGGGATACTCTTTTCGAGGAAGCGGGCCGGGTTCCATTCTTCTGCGTCGGCGTTCCAGATGGATGGGAGGCTCAGAATAGTTGGTGATAAATTCACAGTCCCGAGCTGGAAGTGAATTAGGACCTACCGGTTGTACAAGTACACGGAACAGAGGAGAGTCTGCCCTTTGGGAATTGCCAGTGTTTTAGACCCCGAAAGAGGCAGAATGTCGTCATGAGGAGCAGCACGTATAGGTGTATGTAAGAAGGGATGGAGACGAAGGGTTTCCTACAAAAAGAGGATCATAAATCCATGAACGTCAGGAAAGAGGGCTGACACACTCACTTTGATTGCAGCGTTCAAAAATGGCAGAGAGTCATAGTCGCCATGATTGGAATGCTTTACTTCTTCACGTATTATGGATTGATGGTCGGGATGTGCGGCAAGTTCATACAACAGCCAGGACAGAGTCGTAGCTGTTGTCTCATGTCCCGCAATTAAGAACGTTCTAAGGGAATGACGGTTATAATCAGATGGATGCTAATTAGAAGGAGAGGCGACAAACATGAACTGGGACTCAATTTCGTCATCCCGCATTTGTCCTGTAAGACGTGCCCTTGCTAACTCAAGAGCATCAACAGCAGATTCGGATGCACTAGGTACTTTGTGGACTTACATAGAATATCAACAAGGTCCTTGTCCGACTCGTGCTGCACCCCGAACTCAGCCTGGGTGGCCAAGATCTCTCGAGCTACTTTTCTCGCTGCTTCTGCTACGCTGGCCAGCTGGTGAGTTCCCCGGGTCGAAACCAACTTCAAATTTTTCAAGGCTGAATTTGGAAGTATTCGTATCAGGGCTACGGCCATGAGCTCTAGTGCTGATGGATCGGACTGCCACGAGGCCGTTCTGTACTCGGATGTCAGATATCGAGTCGAGAAGCTCTAAAAATGCATACAATAGGTGCTTCAAGGCTTTCTGTAACTCAGTATCCCGACCATCCAGTGAACCGAAATCGTATCGAAAAGCGCCTATTAGCAGATGTCAGGTCAGCGGCTTAGAAAAAACATTGATACCACTTACTTAGACCAATTATATCGAGAGAGACCTTGCTCATCCAATGGACAACATCGATTGGTTCACCAGTAAAAGTAGCTCTTCTGATAGCGTTTACAACCTAGTAGTAGATGATCATGATCTCTGAGTCCCCGCGGACGCTGACCGATTCGAAGATAGACTTACCTTATCGCTACACTGCTGAAATATAACCAGAAAATTCCGCAGATTAGCAGGAGAGAATGCCGGATTCAGGATCTTGCGTTGACGGCGATGGACATCCTCTAAACGAAACAAGTTCTAGCTGTGAGTGTAAGATAGACGAAAACTCGCTTTCGGTTACAACAAGCCCTCCGTTCCCTCCAAGGATGAGACTCATCCTAAATTTTTCAGGCCTGGTTTTAGGATAAGGACGTGAGGAGTGGAAAATATGCTCGAGAGCCTTGGGGTCGGATACTACCAGGAGGTCTTCCTAGGTGCCGCTATTGGATTTCAATTGGTATAAAGAGGGTTGAGAGTTCACTTACACCAAAACAGCCTTTGATACGGTAGATGGCGCCATATTCCCTGCACCATTTCGTTTCGACATTGCCAAATTCATCTTGACTGCGAAGGACACGCTGATGGCCTGGTGGAACGGTGCATAATCCCATCTAGATAATATTGATATCCTACCTAGCCAGAAAGACGGAGATGGTGGTCCCTTGACATGGTTAACAGAAACTCGTTCTAACCACCAGCGAAGCGAAGCGGCTGCGAAGATAGAAGCTAATGCAATGAAGAGGGGGAACATTGGTGAGCAAGACTCGGATCCCATGTTCACAGTCAATGTGCTGGAGTGATGGTCTAATTTATAGAACGAGGTTCGGCCAGCTGGCAACATCTCTCCCGCATTGAACTCTATTATTGTTCTCGCCTTACTTGGTGTCAATGCATTCACTCAGCCCTGGAGTCAACCCTTAATGTCAGGGTGCCGCGTCCCGTCCATATGAGATGGTAGACCGCCGAAAATTCAATCCGAGGAACCTATGCTTGAATAGCTTCAGAACAATGCCTTAAATACCATGACAGAAGCAGCGGGTAGATATACGTATCAATATATTCCATTGCATTGAGAAATGCTGTAGCTTGTTAGACAACATCAAGCAGCTGACGACAGGCTCTGGATGGAGATCAGCGGAATGCAGCATACAGTTTGATCCCTCCCAAGTGTTCAAAGCACTGTCGAGGACAGTGATGGATGTTACGCCAGACCATAACACGAGTTACATAACAAGATCCGCCGTGAATTGTATAAAACAAGACGCGTTTTTTGTTTGCGGTGAATGCACATCAAAATTTCCGGATGTGAGAAACTGAAGCTAGCGTGGATACCCGTAACACATTACTCCGGACCAGCGTTCTTTAAGCCCATATTCAAAACATCATCCCATGCAATAGTCTCATCCGCGATTGGCTCGTCGCCAGTCTCCCATCCAGGTCTGACAAGTCTGGAAATGACATATGCGTTCTCGGCATTCACAGCCACGATGCATGCCAGGTGGAGGCTGACTTCAGGGGAGAATGTTATCGGATTAAGGGCTAGAGCCTTCGACGGAGTCAGGATATTTCTTTGAGCAAGAAAGAAACGGAAATCCCACCTTCCAAGCGACCAGAGCTCCGACGTGATTCTGGTCTGGTTGCGTTATCGCGGGATACGAATCAAAATTTTCCTCTGCGGCTTCCCATATCTTGTTGGCCTCCTCGTCAATGGTATCCCCTTCCTCAGCAACTTCCTCCTCCCCATAATCCAAGACCATCTCTTCTTCAATGGCCTCCCTCTTCGCCTTCTTTCCCCATTTCTCCGCCTCCACATCAACACTCGTTACAAACACTTTCGAAGGCAAATTCTCCCGCTCTGATGGCGGGACGAACCGCGGTGTTTGAGCCTGAAACACGATCTTTGGCGTCACTGGAATAGAGAGCTTCTGCTTGAAGCCTTTTTTCTTGTTCTTGTTCCCGAGCGAGAACATCGATAGGCTGAGCTCATCTTCGGTGGGTGCCTTTCGGCCTAGAGGGATCTCGTTTGTCGATGATATGTCTTTCGGCCTAGTTACCGTCGGCGGAATAGAGCCAACGGCTTCTGCTTCGTGTTTCTTCTTCAGTCGCCGGCGTTGGTTACGACTGCGTGTTTGCTGAGAGCCCATGCCTGGTGGGACGTAATGTTGCCGCCTTACACTATGGTTTAATTGGGAAAAGGTTATACCAAGGGCGGTGAGACTTACAGAGGCGGTGGCGATCTCTTTCTGACGGATGCCACGGATGGCGAAGAGTCGCTGGACGTAGAGTCGCTGGACGAAGATTCGTAAGAGGACGAGTCTGAGTCCGTAGAGTCATCAGAATCAGAAGAAATGAGGTCTTTCTTGAGTCTCTTCGCGTTTCGTGTAACTAGAAATGATTTTAGAAAGCCATTCGAGTCCTAAGAAAATACGGACGCACCTAGAGATTCCACTTCTGCTTTTCTTTTCTTGCTGCTACCTCCCTTTCTTTCTTTGATTACAATCAAGTCCGTATCTCTCACTACGCCCGATGACGCTAGTTCATCCAGCAATTCGAAACCATCGAGCTCCAACGTCAGCTCTCCGGGTTTGATTTTGGCGTCTCTGAGCACCTGAACCGTACTGCATAGGGATTTCTTGAGACCGTGGATATCGACGTCATCAGTGAATGGGAACCAAGCTTTTAGCTGAGGAAGGGGCGGATCGGTTTGTATTCGAAGGCGCATACACGGAGGCAGATGGTGGAAAGAGGTTTAAGTCCCAAAACGGAAAATGCCGATCTTCCGTTTTTGCTTTTCACTTCCACCTTCACTATGTAAATTACGAGGTCAGTGACAAGGGGAAATAATAACGAAACTTTGCCTCCGCAGAAATTTAAAATATACAAGCCAGACTTGTACGACTTGAAGTGGGAGTACTAGAAGCAAACAATTCATTCAACCGCTATAGTTATCAACAAAGCATATATATAGACTACCACTGTACATCCGTATTTTATCCCAAAAAAATAGATAGCGGTGCAAAGAAAATATAAAAGTCACCAGATACAAAATACATACAGAGCCAACTCCTTCCTTCCTTCCTTCCGCTACTAGCAGGTCATTTAAATTGGACACCTAACAGCAACATATCAGACATAGTTTCGGGAAGGAAAAAGGCACCACATAGATAGCTTCATCACGAAATGTGAACGTTAACGGCCGTAGCCTCTGTCTCCTTCAAGGGACTGAGTCTCGTCCCCATCTTCTGCAACGCCCGAGCAATATCTACCAGATGAACACCATCTTGGTCGTTCTTCTTCATCATATTGTCCATCTCCGCCTTAAGCCTATCCTTCTCCATACGAAGCTCATCCACCTTCAACTTCCAGTCCTCATTCGCCCTCTCCAAGACTTCCCTTTCCTGCTTCCAAGCCTCCACAGCATCACGCCACGCTGCCCGCTCCTTCTCTCTCTCCATCTCCACTGCTGCCCTCTCCTTCTCTCTTTCCATCTCCGCCGCCTCCCTCTCACGTTTTCTCGTCTGCAAGCTCTTATTCCTGTCCTCCTCAAGCGCCCCCTGCAACAACAACCATCCCTCTTTCTCAGCTCTCATCTTCTCCCGCATCTGATCAAGCTCTTGGTCCTTCCGCTCTAGCTCTCGGTCCTTCCTCGAAACCTCCCGCTCCATGCGCTCGATCAGCCTGTCCTCCTTGTGATATAGTATGGGCTCATCAACCGGCATTGGGGTGTAATGTCGGACATCTCGCCCATCCAGGTCGATTCTGGACCGCTTCGACGGTGGTTCGGAGGATCGGAAAGCAGCGGCGAGGGAATGGGAGGAAGATGAGAAAGGGAACGATGGAGCAGGCGTGGCCTGTCGAGAGAGCGATTCGAGGGCACCTGGGGCGAAGGTCAAGCCATTCGAGGTAAGCCTAACAGGAAGGTTGAACGTTGGTGGGCCCATGCTTATACCTCCTTCATCATTATTATCCAATTCCTCGTCGGAGGGGGGGATTGGATCAAGGGGAATAGCCGTTCGCTTCAGTTTAGGCTTTGTGCCATTGACATTGTTTTCAGTTCGTGTCCCACGTAGAAGACGAAGAGAGATTCGCCCCAGATGTTCGGATGCGTCGTCTTGTTGGGAAGAGGATGCGACCGGAGGGATACGTTGCGTGTTCCGTTCCGTCGCTGTGTGGGGTTTCGAAGATGGTATTGTCTTGACTTCATCGATATGATTCTTTGCAGACCGAAGACGTGCCGTGAATCTCTTTGGTACAGACTGTTCCTCAGTCGCAGGAGTTTCTTTTTCGTCGTGACTTTTTCGCGTTCGTCTATGCAAACGCGCGGTTGGCTCCGGTCTGTGAAAGTCCACACACTCCCGGCCTAAGATGAGGCATTCCCTGCATCCCAAACGATTTACCTTCAGACTGGCACATTCGCAACTAATTCCATCAGCTGCACAGCCTTTGCACTATTTACAAAGATCAACATCAGCATGAGAAAACCAGGTAACAATGATTTACCCGCATCTCATTGTAGGTAGGGTGAATATCCCAGCTAGAGATATCTGCGTTGAGGACAGTGGTTCCCTCCAGTGGCCGCTCCTCCCTCGCTCGAATGTTGACGTGTATGATCCCTGCTAAAACTTGCACCCATTTCTTTCTGTCATGCTTTCCACAGATATTGGCAACATCTTCTTGTTGCTTCGGAGTCAGTTCTGTGTATGCATCGAACATCTCCTTGAACCACTGATTTTTTTCACTGGGTTCGCAGCCTGAACCGTAGATGTTCAAGAACTACAGCATAATGAGTCAACAATGCCCAGTGATTGTCACAGAAAGAACACACTGTAGTGTGAGCGATCGGCCTCCTGCCTCGTCTATTCCTAGACAACAAAGTTTGCGAGGATGGGCTGGTTACTTTGTCTGCCGTAGGCGACGATCGTTCTCCAGTCCCAGTACTCGTTTCGACATCCCCGTTTTCCATTTCGTTCTCATCATCGCTGGGATCATCCAGGGGCAATTTTTGACACATCATCTTTTGAAGACGACACTCCCTGCAGCAGCGAGTCGTTTTACGATTCCCATATTCGCACACCAAACCCGCTACAACACAATTCTGGCACTGAAAAACGAGTCAGTTGCCGTATATTATCAACAGTAAGGAGAAAAATCCCACGGGTTCGTATGCTTGGATTGGAACCAGGTCCCAATGCTTGAGTCTCACGCCGCAAACTTGATCGTTGAACAGTACTCGTTTCGGCGCCTTTCTGATGCTCAGAAATACCATCCCACACCATGTTTGAATCCATTTCGTTTCCGTGGAATGACTCTGGACTAGCTCCTCTTGCCGCTCGGGCGTCATCCCAAGGAACAAATTACGCAGCTTGGTGAGCCACTCATTTCGATCTTCACCAGGCCCGGCATTGTATAGAGAATAAAACTAGTACAGTGTAAGAACATAATTCCAAGTAACAAACAAAGGAAACGTACTTGCTCCACAAACGATGGTCGCTGATAATAAGCATATAAGAGACGCGTCCAGTTATGGAAGCACGACGAACCTTGTTCTGCCTAAGCTGATGTGTACTAGCGGGAGATTCAGGAGTCATAGGATTCTCTGCTGGAACCCTCCTGATTTCATTATCTCGCGTAGCATCTTTCTCCACGAGTGGCGCGTCGGAGGCCCTTCCCCCTTTGTCTGGCCGCCCGCCAATATTGTTCCGCACATTTCGGTGAGGGATCTGGATTTTTGTCGTGGCGCCCTTGTACATCTTGTTAGAGTTTAGACGGTCTGTCCATGTTGTATCAGAGAGCGCAGCCATCAAGCGCCTTTGAAGACGCAGTTGAAATGAAGAAATGATAAAAGGGGAAAAGTTCAACTTCCGGCAAAAGTATTATTCGCCGGTATCTTCCCTTATCTTATCACGGCTATTTTTTTAGCTTCCGAGATTTGCGGCGATTGTCCATCATTACAATCCGAAATACTTGATCTGACTCTCTATACCATTGATTATCTTTACACACAAGAATGGGTCTACCTTCCGCAAACAGCTCCTTAATCTTAGAGCGAAAAAAAATGTAATCCGGTCCTCGTCCTCCAAGGTCACCTTAGCTTCATTACAGATGTAAGACTTTGACTCTCAATGGGACCCGGGCACCCAAATGGGCTTTGCCTTTCACAACAGGTACGACCGCCGGCGATCCGGGGAACTGCACTATTTCCACACCTCCCTCCGGCAAGCTGAACTCGAAGTTTTGAATCAGCCTCGCTAGAATCGTCTGGAGCTCCATAAGCCTGAGTTTCAACAGTGAGATCAGACTAGAGATTTAGGGCCGGCTGAGGAGGAAACACTTACGCAAACCGCCACCTTTGAAAGGGAAAGGGATTTAGCGCGAGACATAAGATAATGGTAGGTGCTTACCCAATGCATGACCGGGGTCCAGCGCCTGGAAGTTACGGAAGTGAGCATGAAGAACGACAGGCCAAAGAGATCACTCACCGAACGTCATCCTAAAATTTGCACAGTTAAGTAAGTTATCAGATTGCGAGTCTAGAGCAACAAAACAGCCAAACCCACAAATTAGCATACACTCCCAATGAGACAGGAAGACCTTTCTTAAGAAACCGAGCAGGATTCCATTCCTCCGCGTCATCACCCCAAAGTGATGAGAGACTGAGAATGGTACATGATCAGGTTGTGATACAGCGATAAGGAATGGCCATACTTACCGGTTGTACGCATACATGGAACAGGCAAAGGTCTGCCCTTTAGGTACGGCAAGCGTCTTTCCTCCAGAAAGGGGGAGAACGTCATCGTGAGGAGCGGTACGTGTGAGGGAATGCACGATGGGATGAAAACGGAGAACTTCCTGTTAAGAACAGTTAGCATATGAGTCTGAGCGATCTGAAACCGCGCTCACTTTGATCGCTGCATTCATGAATGGCATCGAGTCGTAATCCTTAAATTGTTTCAACTCCTCGCGTATGATTGATTGATGGTCTGGATGTATGGCAAGTTCGTACAACAACCAGGCTACGGTCGTACCCGTTGTTTCGTGTCCAGCAAGTACGAACGTTCTAAAAGAGGCATGATTTTGAGCAAGTAAAACACTGAAGGCTACTACACGAACATTAGCTGCGACTCGATTTCGTCTGCATTCATTTTGCCTGTAAGGCACGCTCTTCCTATAAGCACCACCATGTGAGTCTGTAGGTCATCAGAAAGACTGGACTCACCTAACAGATCAACAATATCTTTATCCTCACCCTGTTCCTGAACCTCGTACTGACTGATCATGATCTCGCGAGCAGCTTTTCTCGACACCTCTCGAACTCTGGCGAACTGACGAGTTTCTCGCGTTGAAATCAGCCGCAGGAGCTTCAGCACTGACTCTGGAAGCATTCTAATTAGAGCTACAAACATAAACTCGAATGCTGTCGTATTAGATTGCGAGGTGGTGCTAGAATTGAAAGTCAGGTTAAGATCATTAAAGTCAGGAAGACGGAGGTATGCACAATAGATGCCTCATGGCTTGCCCTAGCTCTGTGTTACGGCCCTCGAGTGAACCGAAGTCGTATCGAAAGGCGGCTGTCGAGTTAGGGGTCAGACAAGCTACGCGGGAAGAAGCTGGAGTAGCACTGACCTAAACCGATGATATCCAGAGTGACATTGCTCGTCCATTCCACTATATTGACGGTTTCATTAGGCCCAGGCAAGGATCCCTTCAAAGCCTCCACAAGCTACAATCTTTCGTAAGATTTCGCTGTCCGCAATCATGTAAGGGAGAATGACTTTACCTTGTCGCTGCACTGCTGGAATATTAGCTGCGAGTTCCTGAGCTGCGCGCGGGAAAATGCAGGATTTATTATTTTGCGTTGGCGATGATGAATTTCAGCTAAGTGGAAAAGTCAAGGCTCCAGTGAGATGGACAGCCAGAAACGGATTTACCGTCAACTACAATGAGCCCCCCTCCGAGCATAAGACCCAGGATGAAGTTGAAATCCTGTGATTTTGGATAAGGATGTGAAGTGTGGAAGATGTGGTCGAGAGCTTTGGGATCGGATACCACCAAGACGTCTTGCTGCGTATCATCTTTGGGTTAGTACGAACATGGGCCAGGTGGAGAGCGAATTTACTCCAAAACATCCCCCGACACGATACACGGTTCCGTATTCCTTGCACCATTTCATTTCAAGTTCGCCGATATTGCCTTGACTGCGAAGAACACGTTCATGACCTGATATGTGGGGTTTGTTTTTGAGCCTCGCACTTCAAAGGAAGAGTTGTCGACACCTTACCTAGCCAGAAAGAGACGGGTGGTGGACCCTTTACGTGTTTGACCGAAGGCCGGTTCAACCACGAACGTAACAGATAAGCTAGGAGGATTGCAGCAAAGGCGACTAGGATCGGAGACATTGAAAGAAAAGATGAAGGTCCCACTGCTCTGCCAGTCGACAGAGAAACTACGACTTAAGAAAGCATTGCTACGGCCCGAATTTCTAAGACACACTTATCAGTTGAGATCTTCCTTGGGCTGGGCTGCAATTTCTTCGCTTGATACGGCCCGTATGATGAGTAACATCTGTAGTCCAGCTTCGCGTCGAGACTGAGAAGCGTACTCCTTCGTGTCAGTTATTTCTGCATGGGTTCAGTTATATCTGCTGCTGACGAAGTTCGGACGTGCGGTAGCGTCGAAGAAAATATTTCAATCATTTAGTCAGACATCTGTGGAATTATGTTAGTGTGAACTCTAGTTCGCATATACCGATACCGTACCACTGGATGAGGGATCTTCCGATTGAAGGCATCCGGTTCGGCAAGGTAAACAACAAACTTGAAGAGATTGTAAGTCATGTTGTGACTTGAACACACTCAATTGGTGAAAACGGCCCGTGTAATGTAATCGCGATGATGGCGAAGCGTCAACCCGGACCGATTCAAGGGCCTATTCCAGCACCATGACTCAGACCCGTTACATACGTGCAGAACCTAAGGGACGATTCTCGCGAGAAGAAAAATATCCATGCCTATGAGCTTTTAGACACTTCGTAGGTTTGTGCAGACCAAAGATAGCTTATGGACAAACAGACTTTCACATTCGCGTCCTTGAAAGTAAGTCTTGCACCCCTAGGATGTCTTCTTTAAACGAGCTAAATGGTTGTCGTAGATAGGTAGTATTACACTACAGTGTCCACTGGAGATTACATTAACATAACTCTGGTCCTGGAAGTCTCTCAAGTCACCATCGTTCTCTAATATAAAACTCTCACCCTTAAGGGTACCTGAGAGCCCCAAATGTGCTTTGCCCTTCACAAAGGATACGACAGCCGGCGATGAGGGAAAATGATGGACCTCGACACCTCCCTCGGGCAAACTGAATTCGAAATGCGGAAGCAGATTCGCCAGGACTGTTTGCATTTCCATGACACTGGGATCTCAATACCAGTACTTCTGAGTCCTCCATGTCGCGAGATAAGTTCGTATTGGAATCCGGCAGGTTGACAATCTGCCCAATGCGGGGAGCAATTATTCTCATAAATGATATAGATACCATCCTAGCTCGTATATCATCTCGAAGTACTGCACAACTATTGCTTGGGTTCTTTGACGTCCTGTTGGCATAACGCAACGCAGCTGGTCACGCGTAAGTGCAATGAACGCCTCTCGCCCCATAACAGCGGCAGTTGGCAAGAACCCACGTTCAATAGGCACGGGTGCGTCATCATTTTACCCTAACAGTCGACGAATCTCATAGCTAATACAGGCAAGGTGGGGCGCCTCAATAGAACGGAAGGATTGTCGGTCAGTGTCGAGACGATTTTTTTTCGGTGTAATGAGGGAGTTGTTAATGAGGACTCATTTACTGTGGGGCTAGGCTCTATACCAAGTCTGGGGGAAATTCCAGTGCGTTACGTGACGGTCTTACGGCCTCAGTACATGACTCAAAGGAAAGGATGCGTACCATATCTTCCTCGCAGATCGCAAATCTCATATTCAAGACAGGCCTCTGGCGCACGACTTCTCGCCTCCAATCAGAGGCGAAGACCTTTGAAAAACTAAGAGGAAAAGACGGAGACGTGACTATTCTTCCGTTTGCAGAATCTACTACACGACTCGGTCTTGGCATTTTTCCGCCTCGTATCTTTTCGATACTATTCGACACGCTCGTCGCCAGAAAGTGCTGCATCTATACCAACATCGAGGCCGTTATCTCAACCACATGAGCAATACCATTTCTCTATCCAGGTCGCGCCGAAACATTGTGCCTCGGTAGCCGAATTTCCTGGAGCGGCGGCCTAGCTGACTCCTACTTGTTCTCGTCCTCGTAGCCCGCAATACCACTGACCAGCTGAATGCGAGCAGGCTTTTTCGGTTCGGTCCTCGTCTTCCCTTCATCTGTGTCCTGCTTGTCGGGCCCCCCTCTGTACTCGCCACGAGCCGCCGTCATTCGTGATGAAACAGCATTGCCCTGCAACATCGGGCTCTTCGTCGAGAGCGCAACTGCTAAAATCAGAACAGACACGATAGGGGTGGACGAATGACCGGGATGGTGTCATAGATTTGCTGCATCGTCGTAGTTCCCGGTCCTTTGCGGCGCTGTACTTCAATGGATACACCAGGGGGGTCGCTTTCCTGGCTTCGTGGGTTCAACTCTGCTCTGGAGTCAACACTTTAGACCTTCCTGGATGCAAGTCAAACGTTGCTCCTTCTACGACCTTGGACATGACATGCCAGAGGGGTCCGGTGAACAAGATCATAGATGCCGATAGACAGCTGATATCGAGGCTGTTACTTGAGGGCGGGCGACGAGCCAACCGTGGACGAGACCTTTGCGCGGGAAGATATCCTACCAATGCCTATGGGGTTCAAGAACACATCTCGGGAGCAGCGTGTGACGAATATCCAGGCGCTTCAGATAGGAAGGAGCAACAGGAAAAATGAATGACGTGACGAAGACGGATAGGCAAGTTCAGACGAGAACCAAAGCGCTTCGCTCCCTTCAAGTCTTGATCATCCTGGTATCCTGTGTACTGCATCGTGAATTTTTTGATTTCCTAGGGCTTTCAGTTCACTGGTAAGTTCAGCAGACTCATGATTCAAATATTCATCGTTGATCAGGACCTGCCAGAGATCATTTGTCGTGACTATTGTACAACTCAGGCTCGGAAGCATAGATGGAATACGAATGCCGCTATGTACTATGTGAAAAAGGGACATACTCATATCTGGGGGAACATGAAAGTTGAAACTAAGAAGCACGGATAATCGGGGAAGTGGGGAATTGCTAAGGTTGCATTCGAGTTCTCGGCAGAAACGCATTCGGCATTGATAGTTAATGTTACTGGGGGTTCTTTTCATATTTGCCCCTGGATGTCGTTTTTGTTAAGTCAATGAACTGAAAAACTGAACACGCACATGAATCGTTCTGGTTCCTGCCTCATTCTTCTCCTCTGCATGTGACAATCAGTCCCCCAGCATGCAATGCCAACCATCTCTCTAAGAGCTCCTCGTCATCAAACTCTAAAAGTTCGGTCCCGAGCTCTACTTTCTCTAACAACGTGCATTGTCCACCGTCCGACGAACAGCCATCCTTTCTCCTCCGGGACTCGATGACACTGACAAGGCAGCCCAAATCCCCCGCTGAGAGACCGCTTGGCATACTTAAAACACGGAGACACGGAGCTACTGCATCACGCTCCGAAGTGTATACCAGACCATTGACCCATTGATCTGGTAAATTCGTGGCCCTCGTCAAGATGTGCAACTCCTCCAATTGGGGAGTTCGACGTAAGAAATAAGGAAGGTCGTCACGCAGCCCAGTGCATGCCTCCTGTGATTGATTGTGAACCTCAATAATAAGTGTTTTGATAGGGCATGAATCTGGGTAGACAAAGAAGATCTGGTCTGATCCGAAGAAGGATATCTTCAGGAATTGAAGAGACGGGAGGATGAGGAGAGAATACATATGTTCGACACAGGATGAAGAATTGGGTAGGTGTGATGCCAACAGATGAAGGAAAGTCACGTTGGGTAAAGTGATTGGCTCCGCAGGCTCCACTTCGAGCTCAACGAAGTTATGCCAGCATACGACGGTGAGCATCCGTAGATGCGGAAGTTTTTTGAGGGACTCATATGTATACAGATTGCCACCTCCAGATAAAAAGGTTGTGATTCTTGAAAAAGGAATGGAAATGTGTGTGAATGCTACGGGCCCGTGCTCAAGTAACGTTCCAACGACCTTTAAGCTCGGAGCGAGCCGGAAGGCGTCGATATGGAGGTGGTCGGCCCCGTCACACCTTCCAATGCCTACGTAAAGGGTGTCTAGGCGATTGAGATAGCCCTCGCACACAGAAAAGTGTCGGAATGAGGTGAGGGGAAGGAACACGGATAGTCGCTTCCAATACGGAGCAGTGGGGAGCAGAATTTGAAGGATCGGAGAGACGTCCGGAACGATATTCTCGCCATTGAGGCGAATGGAGAGGTCATGACCATTGGATCGGAACAATGATAAACCAAGTCTGAATACGCGATTCTTGACCCGCTCTTTGCCTGGAGGTCTTTTATCTAGATTGAGCTCAATGAGAGACCACAACTCTGCATCGTGAATGGCAACGGCTCTCCATTGTTGACAGACAAAGGAAAGGGTCCGTGGCGACTGATTTGGTTGAATCGATTCAACATCTACAGTATGTATTAGAATGGGAGTTTGCCCACGGAATACCTGGTCTGCGGACCTGGTACAAGCCCGAAAGATAGCACACAGCACATCATATGGCAGCCTGCGCACAGGATGTAAAACATATTTTGCGTCTGAGATGTTGGATGCAGCCTGATTTCTTTCAGACACCAAAAAATCCAACAACTGGCGCGTCGCCGATATTTTCTCGTCAAATTCGTCAAGAGTGTGAGGGCCTCTGGCAGAAGTTTGGAGGAATTCTTTCCTTTCAAACTCCAACAGCGGTTTATTAGAAAGAAGGAGTTCCTCGATCCTGGCCGATCTCTTAGGCTGTAAGTATTCGGGAATGAATGCAGAGAAATCGGGATGAAATTGCGATTTGTCCGTTCGAATTGGAGATGTCATCCTGACCAGGAGTTAGTACATTTCTCGACCAAAGAATGCATCGATGAACAACCTTCCGACGTGGTGATGCTAGGCGATAAGTACTGGATTTGAAGTCCGACGTTGGACTCTAAGTTGACTCATTGTAACCTCGTGTCGTTCAATCAGCGCGCGCCTAGCATCCGGTCCGAACTCTTGCTTCTTACTCTTTGCAACATGCACCTGACGAGGTCACGTAGTTCCTACTAAAGGATGGAATAATGACCAGGTAACTATTCAAGTGACAGGTAGGTAGGGATCTGCACCGTACCTGTAATTACGATATTACGGGACGGTTGATACGGGTACCGTAACCGTACCGTGCTTGACCTTGGTGACAACTGTCAATATCTGCACGCCAAACACTATCGCCCCGTTCTTTGTTGTCTGTGCCTTCAGGTCCCTTCTCGAAGTCCCCATCAATGAAGCACATTTTCGCCCCTAAAGCGCGTCAAACGTAGGGAATGAACGTAACTTGCAGGCTGCTATTCCTTTCAAAGCTAATTTATATTGCATACAATGCAAGAAAGTTGCTTTGGACATGCTCATTCTCGTTCTGGCGATGAGATTTGCTAGGAAGAATCCGGACGAAGACATTGGAGCCAGGCGCAATTGCATGGCACTGCTACCGGTGGGTCCAGAGCTGTTGGACCCGATCAAGGCTAAGCCAGCAATTTTATCTGTGGCCCCCGTATCTGCGAGGAGGTATTGGGCGTGAGTATTCACCATATGTATATGGACGAGGTTGGATGCTGACATGAGTCTCTAGTGCGGAAATGGAGCTCATAGCTATCTACCTAGCGGTGTTGAATTATTCGGATGAAGCAATCTTGAATGCGGGCGGTGAAATGTTTGCTAGTCAACACGTGTCTTGCTGGTTATCTAACGGAACCGAGCTAGTTGTCGCCTTCTTGAATAGAAGATTATGTATCGCTGTTGTCGTGCTCTTACAATAACTTTGAGCAGCTAGCCGCTCAGTATGTACCCGTGGCCCGTTCGCTGATTTCCCGACTGATGGATCAATTGTCACAGAAGTTTTACTAGACCGACTGATGTTGAATGAGTGCTTTGATATGCGACTAATCCGTAAGCTCTAGAATACTGAATCAGCCTCGGCTGACGAGCGGGCTCCGTGGGGGTGCTCGGTGAGAAAATGTGAGGGGAACCAATAAGGCGATCCCAGGATTTCAATAGTTCCTGAGAAGGTTCCGTTATCTCTCCTTCCTCTAGGTAAGTACGAGATATGCATAATTTTTGGTGACCAACTGGAGCGCAAGTCCTTAGCAGTTCCTGCACCCGCTTGAATGCCGCTGATCTTCACCGTATAAAATCAATTTCTGGATTCCTTTTCCTGCATTATATCGACCGATCATGACTTCTGTACCATCCTCTCCGACAATCCGACTTCAGTAGTATGTTACTTATCATTCACTCTCTTCTTCATCTAAAACATGGAAGTATTGGACCAGTCGTGAGTCTGACTACATTTTCCCGCGCGACTCTGATTCTGTTCCAAGTTCTTTGGCAGCCTTTTCAATTGCGCTTTATTGGGGAACGTTAACCGTCCAATTATGTGAGTTGTCACCACCTCCTCGCCAATGTCACTATTGAATACCAACGTCTAAAATCAGACAGTTTCTACATCCGTTTCCCAGAAGAGCGCACACCTATCAAAACTTTCGGTGCGTCCGCAAGTGATAACCATCTCCAAAACTACCAATTTACATCGCAGTATACTTCCTGTACATCCTAGACCTGGTGCAAACAGTTGAATCAACGCATTATTCGTATTATATCCTAGTGTACGGGTGGGGTGATATGTCGGTTCAATATGGTGAGCCAATGCATCGGCAATATTCCGTTGAGACGTACCAGAAGTCAAGCTTGAAGCTTTGACCCAAAACAGAAACCAGAGGAGGAACGGAGAGGGGATCCCGAGCCAGATGAAATTGAAGGTGAGCAAGCGAAAGAGCATCACGTTCGTCAGCCTAGTTCAACGAAAAAGTTGGCGCATCAAGGAAATTCAGCAAAGAAGCATAGTCACCGATAAGCAACCAGTTTCTCTTCTGTAACCACGAGCTTGTATGTATCTAGAAGAAAACAATATGCTAGGGCATGGACGAAGCAATCTGTGGAACGTACCAGTCTTCACCAAACGTTTCACCCATTTTTACCTTGATGCCCTTAAGTCCTGCCGACATTTCATGAAGAAGAGATTGCTTCACCCGATAGGTTTTGGCCTTTGCTATTTCGTCTTCGGCAGTTTGATTGCTCATGACGAATTCATAGGACATGCAGAATTCTACGTGACGCCTGAGATCTTCGACTTCGAGGAGTGGGGGGCCTATCGTCTCGCTTGCAGGGGATATCGAGATGCTGGGTTTGGACATTGCTTGGAGAGTAAGAACAGAAAGGGCTTGATCGGTGAGGATGGTGGTAGTTCAAGTCATATTTGAAATTCCGACGCCAGCTGCTGCTCACGCGTCTCCTAACGTTGATCTCCAACCACCATCTCGTTACTACGTATAACTACGGCCATTCCGACGTCCAATCCTTTGCGCGCCTCCATCTTTGGACTGCTATCCAAGATGGTGAGCGACGGTGACGAGAGACTTTTTGCGAAGAAAGGAAGATTCATAAAAGTATGACTCTGTGAATATTGTCGCGTCGCTTGGGCTAACCTATTTTTTTGCCTCAGAGGAGTATTACTCTCGTCCATCGATTCCAACGGTAGTAGCGGATCCCGACAATGAGGAGAACAAGAATAGCGTGACGACGCGCACGCAATTATGTCGAGAACGTACACAGTTCACTGTTGTTTCTGGCTATACAAGACCAGTGTTGGGAGGCGGGATAGAGGGCGAAGGCAGCGGTCTCGCAAGTGCCATGACCTGTCCATCGTCGTCCTTGGCCCGGTAGCAAAACGGAACCACTCGTTATATAATCAGGGTTTGCAAGGGACCTGGGATTGCAACCAAGTGCTGGAAATGATGAACTGCGGGGTACGTGACACGCATATAAGCGGAGAGATTTCCTTCCTTACTCGTATTTCTGGTTTCAGCAGTGACCACGAGGTGATCATGAAGGTGACCTGCGTCGAATCAGCGAGTCATGAAAAAGACACGATAGGGAAGGTGCGTACTTTCCTGTATGTCTTGGGATTGGCTCTAACCAGGCGCCCACAGCTATTCCCTTATAATTTGCGCACGAGTTCGATTTTCCTGGCTACCAATGCTGAGAATGTTATTAGTAACCGGGATACTGTTTTTTGAGTGTCATTTGTCGCGTTCTTGGCATGGATTCAAGGCCAACAGAATCTTCGGAGAGCCTAAGATGTTGGGTCGATGGCGTAGTTGGTTATCGCCTCTGTCTAACACACAGAAGGTCCTCAGTTGGAGCCTGGATCAACTCATGTTTTTGGCTGTCATATGCAATCCACCATAGTGAGAACTAAGATGCCGGCTAAAAGGACAGATGTGAGTGTGTATCAGTATGATACTATGCCCAGGGGTCTAATTATCCTGGATAGCAATATTTGGATTAAATATTGTGCATTTGTATGGCTGCGGGTTGATCATGGTACTATTCTGTGCTCACACCTTCAAGCTTGGCAGTCTCATATTGGAACTCCTTCTTTTGCTGCCAGATACCTGGAACACGTCTTTGGGCCTGCTGCATTTGGCCAATGTTCATTCTCGCATTCATGGAATCCTGCCCGTCTGTTGAAAAAGTGGCATTCTCAGCTGGCTCGGCAAAATGTTGATGGCCCATTCAGGAATTAGGTTCAAACTTCTAACATTGATAGCGCCGCAAAACCACTGATACCAACCTGGCCTTATCACACGACTCAGACATGATTCATCCCGGGATCTGGATCTGGTTTGTTTCGGCGGCACAAACACCACTGCTATAAAAGGCGCGTGGCTTGTTATCCACTGACTTTCACTTTCTTTTCTCTCCTCCATCATGACCACTGCCGTGTCATAGCCACCGACTCCTTGTAGCTCTTTCTTCAAGGGCGATTTTTCTTTACTGCCTCTAGATCTCGTAGATGAACGATGGTTGAGCCACATTACCACCTCCAACTCTAGCATCCATGGTTTCGATGCGAGTGTCAGCGCCGTCGTCGCACCTGGAGACTGAAGAGCTCGATTACCGATGTCTTTCTAATGCCTTTTGTCGACCAGATTCACGAATACGGAAGATTCTCTTATCAGCCACACCCAGTAGACCACACGCTTGGGCAGCACCATGCTATGTCGCGATTACCTGACGAATGATATGCCTGCAGACTGGGTGCATTCTATAGCTGCTGGACTCTCTACGTTGTCAAGTACGATCATAAGCCACACCAACCTACGCTCTTGCGCCAGCTTCCTTCTCTTGAATACCTTTCAATTATGTTTGTAAGATTGGACATCGGCCTTGTTTGTCGCCTTCAATCGCAGAGTACGATGTCCTGATTCGTCGTCGATGACGAGGATCTCCCTGGCTATGTGATACTTCTGATGAACGCTCCTTGTCGACATCTCCTGGTCGTTTCATATGCTCTATGGTGGTACTACAAAAGGGCGGGAACGACTCTATGCAGCTACCCTCGAAAGGACGTCACATTTGTATCGTGTTCACCGAAGGTGTGAGAAATGTCCACATGAGCTGATTGTGCTGTCAACTATTTCATGTATTTCCCTATGCAAATTGTTGTGTCTTATGTTTCACTTTTCTTCCATTTGGCTGTCTCTCCAAATGCTTGCATGTATATCCTTGCGCAGCCTGTTGCGCCCTGTATCTTTTGTTTCATTTGGATGTTCTCCCAAATGCCCTCATGTATATCTCTGCGCAGTCTGTTGCGCCATGTATGGTACCGTGCCGCCTTGCGGACAGTGTGTACAGATCACGGGCCGCTGGTGGAGGTACGTCGTGCATTCGTTCATTTTTCGCCTAGACTGACATTTTGTCTACAGTGAAATGTCATTTTGCGATGCTTTGCAACGATCTCGATATCTGAACTCTGGTCCGATTCATCCTTGCATTGTCATTCGTTCTCTGTTTTCTTGAAGGACCAGTCTCTGTATCCCTATCTGGATGTTAACGTTCCACCTCCGTGCCGCGTTTGAGTCGGAGATTGACATGATTTCGTGCCGCGCTAGATTTCGAGCTTGTCTCTAGGCCGAATCTTTGTCGTTTACTCTTGTATCCATCCTCTTTTTGAGGGGAGTATGGCATTTTGCCATGGTAGGCCTTGAGCCTCAATTTTTTGAGCCTTCGTCCGCTTCGTGCGGACACACCCTCCTTGTAAAATCCCCAGTTCGCTGTTTCCTGTAAGTTTCTCTCTACTCTCCGCTGCTTCTCTTTCTCATTTATCAATGGCTCGGCAGATCCGTCGAATCCCCCATAGAGTTTCTTGCGGCAACTTATCGGCCACCGGCATTTTCTCTGGCGGTTCTGTTGCGTTAATGTATTGCAGGTTCGTCAGGCTATGATGATGTATCTTCGCTGCGTGGTGGCTAATCTGTTAATCAGCAGAGTACCCATCGTCGCGGAGCTATATTTCTGCGGGTACCGCGTGGGCACGACTCAGCTACCGACAGTTATGAAGTACTTAGGATGGACAAAAGAAATGCCCGGTTGTCTATCATGTATGTTCTGACCCAATTGATGCCGTTTTTTGGACAGTAGACCACTGTATTCGAAACAGATATTCTCTCAACGTGCTAGAGTGATTATTACTCTTAATGCGAGTAGCCCGGTAACCAAGCCCTCTAACGAAGAGGTCATGTTCAGGCCGGTCTATGCTCGAGGCTCTCCTTTCGTGTGTCGACTCGCAGCTTCTTGCCATAGAATTTGAGCTGGAGACAGGTCGGGAGTTGAAACCATGCCCTGATATCTTCTGGGGCCTGAGACACCGAAGAGGTGCTAACCAACCTCTGGCATTATTGACGAAACTGAACAGCGCTCCCGAATTCCCTGAACATCGTCATGAGATGCCGCACGATGGGAGAATACATAGAGGATACGCAGAGCGGTGAAGACAGAGCTCCCCGTGACTTGGAGATTGGTATCAAGCTCTGAACGCAAACTATTCAGTCCCGCTTGCTTTCTCTTCGGCATTTCAGAAGAATAATCCACTCGGCTTTTTCGTACCTCCTTTATTGCGCCTAGAGCATATCGGTCCTCCGACCCATGGATATAACCGTCGTCTCAAGACTGATGTCTCTTGTCTCTCGGATGAAGAACGTTAACGTCAACCGAAACCGTAGAGATCCATTGATAGTATTCACGACCAGAGAATGTCTATATGAGTACATTAATGAAGGAAAGCATAGTTGCCATACAAGTGTCGGTATTCCAAAAAGAAAGTATATATTTGTGCCATCTTGGTGAATATGAAAGGATGAAACTAATAAAGCATCGGTATGCTCAGTCAATGTTTTTCTGGGTTTTCAATAGAAATAAAAACGTGTCAGTCGCTGAAGTTTATTCTTGGTTCTTTCGTATTCGACCTTAAATGATGTTTTTATTTAGTCCATGAACAGCAAAATTGAAAACGCACATGAAAATTTCCACCTCACTCGTTTCTGTGTGTGACGATTAGTTCGCCTGTACACAGTGCCGACCATCTCTCTGAGAGCTCCTCATCATCGAACTCTAAAGGTTCGGGCCCGAGCTCTACTTCCTCTAACAAAGTGCATTGTCCACCGTCCGATGAACAGCCATCCTTTCTCCTCCGGGACTCGATGACATTGACAAGGCAGCCCAAATCACCCACTGAGAGACCGCTTGGCATACTTAAAACACGGAGACATGGAGCTACTGCATCACGCTCCGAAGTGTATACCAGACCATTGACCCATTGATCTGGTAAATTCGTGGCCCTTGTCAAGATGTGCAACTCCTCCAGTTGAGGAGTTCGACGTAAGAAACGAGGAAGGTTGTCACGCAGCCCAGTGCATGCCTCCTGTGATTGATTGTGAACCTCAATAATAAGTGTTTTGATAGGGCATGAATCTGGGTAGACAAAGAAGATCTGGTCTGATCCGAAGAAGGATATCTTCAGGAATTGAAGAGACGGGAGGATGAGGAGAGAATACATATGATTGACACTGGATGAAGAATTGGGTAGGTGCGATGCCAACAGATGAAGGAAAGTCACGTTGGGTAAAGTGATTGGCTGTACAGGCTCTGGTGAGATGTTATGCGAGCATACGAGGGTGAGCATCCGTACACGCAGAAGTCTTTTGAGGGACTCATATGTATACAGATTGCCACATCCAGATAAAAAGGATGTGATTCTTGAAAAAGGAATGGACATGTGTCTGAATGCTATGGGCCAGTGCTCAAGTAACGTTCCAACGACCTTTAAGCTCGGAGCGAGCCGGAAGGCGTCAATATGGAGGGGGTTGGCACTGTCAGAGCTTCCAATGCCTATGTAAAGGGTGTCTAGGCGATTTAGATAGCCCTCGCACACAGAAAAGTGTTGGAATGAGGAGAGAGGCAGAGACACGGATAGTCGCTTCCAACATGGAGCGGTGGGGAGCAGAATTTGAAGCATTGGAAAGATGTGCGGAACGCCATTCTTTCCATGGAGACGAATGGAGAGGTCATGACCATTGGATCGGAACAATGATAAACCAAGTCTGAACACGCGATTCTTGGCCAGCTCATTGTCTTTAGGTCTTTTATCTAGATCGAGCTCAATGAGAGACCACAGTTCTGCATCGTGAATGGCAACGGCTCTCCATTGTTGACAGACAAAGGAAAGGGTCCATGGCGACTGATTTGGTTGAATCGATTCAACATCTACGGTATGTTTTAGAATGGGAGCTTCCCCATCGAACGCCTGGTCTGCGGACTTGGTACAAGCCCGAAAGATAGCACACAGCACATCATACGGCACCCTACGCACAGGATATAAAACAGACTTGGCATCCGAGATGTTGGACGCAGCCTGATTCCTTTCAGACACCAAAAAATCCAACAACTGGCGCGTCGCCGATATTTTCTCGTCAAATTCGTCAAGAGTGTGAGGGCCTCTGGCAGAAGTTTGGAGGAATTCTTTCCTTTCAAACTCGGACGGTGGTTTATTAGAAAGAAGGAGTTCCTCGATCCTGGCCGATCTCTTAGGCTGTAAGTATTCGGGAATGAATGAAGAGAAATCGGGATGAAATTGCGATTTGTCCGTTCGAATTGGAGATGTCATCCTGACTAGGAGTTAGTACATTTCTCGACCAAAGAATGAATCGATGAACGACCTTTCGACGTGGTGATGCTAGGCGATAAGTACTGGATTTGAAGTCCGACGTTGGACTCTAAGTTGACTCATTGTGACCTCGTGTCGTTCAATCAGCGCGCGCCTAGCATCCGGTCCGAACTCCTGCCTCTTACTCTTTGGCCACATGCACTACACTCGAAGCAGTCTGATGAGGCCACGTGGTTCCTACTGAACGATGGAATAATGACCAGGTAACCATTCAAGGTAGGCTGGTATCGAGGTTAAATATGCACTGGCGAAGGAGTAAGTAACCTGATCATCAATACTAGCAAAATGATGATATGGCAGAAGAGTTGAGGAATCGTTCAGCTCAACGAGATGGGTAATAATAGACTACGGCGAGTTGTATATGTTGCAAGCATGACAAGGAACTCCTGACAAGATTTACAGATCTTTTACAGCCAAAGGTCCTCGGAATGTTCATACAAGAATTATGGCGACCCTGAATGCAGCTAATATTGTATCTTGGAACTCTACACTCATGCTGACTTCGGCTTGGCCCGCAGGTTATGCCTCTGTTCATCTAAGCCAAATCGCAATGCTCTGCCCTCTTCGTCCAGGGTATCGGAACAAATGCTCAAATGAAGTAGCAGCATTCGTTGCTCGGTACTAAGACGGTCGCTCTCAGGCCTCCCAAGCAGGTAAGCCGTGTCCTTCTCACAATTTTCTCTTTATGACGTGGAAAGCATGGATTATCTCCGCTGAAGTTTTCCGGTACGATATTCTTTGTCACAGTGCTGACGGTTATGGGCGACTGTGGAGTGTGGACCGTCTCTTGCAACATCGAATCAACTATGTACCGTCCTTGACGGCTGAATAATAGTGGAAAGGCAGTAACCTGCTGTAATACAAGGGACCACATTCAGAGCACGGCGTCCTGCGTTTCCAAACATAGCAGATCTTAACATGACGAAAGTGATGTCGCTGTCACTTGGACGAGTACGTCTTGTTACTAGTTACAGGCGGAGGGATGGGAATGGAATTCTCAGGATTTCCGATCACATCGAATGGTTGCCCCGTGGACAGAGGATCTGCTATTACTAAAAATGCCTTCGCTGCAAACGGCGCCAAAGTATACATCGCTGGACGAAGGATGGACGTCGCAGAGAAAGCTGCTGCATCTGTGATGGGCGTCTCAGGATCTACTATCTCGTCAGTGACTATCCTTTCTTCAAGATATTCATTGCTAACACGTACCAGACTGGAGATGGACCTGACAGACGAAAGAAGGTCAAGGCTGGCATAATACATGTCGAAGGAACCGACTGGTGGTGTAGTTGGCCATCGCATCTGTCTAACAAAACCGACCTGTACGTAGGGTTTCTTACTGTTTAGGTCGCTGACGAGAATTATGGCGCCCGTCTTATACTCGGACATCGTATCCACGTCATTAATTACATTCCGAGGTGACAAAGAAACCATCAGGAGTTATACAGGCTGTTTGGGAATTAGCGGTTTACAGTCCCGAATATTTTCCCATTCAAGCTTCAGCCTTCATATTAAGAAAAGTTCCTTCGTGCTATAACTTCGAGCTGCTTCCCAATGTCACTATCTATATCTTAGCAGCCATGTCGGATCACTACAAGTATTAGCCATCTAGCCATCCACCCTCTGAGTCATCAATTTCTATTGAACAAGTCTGATACATGTTAGTACGTTCGAAGATGGTCTTGGCCGATTCCAAAGAGTTTGGATATGAGGTTTATTCAGAGTAGGACTTGGAGGTCAGAAATACTAAAGGACAATTGAAGAACGACGCGTTTATTACAACCTTGACCCAAGCAGTAACGCTTGCAAGTCGCAGCATTTGTTCAGTATTCGCTCGTGATGCACAGGCGTTCACACTTTTTGCGCCTTCGACTAACTGGAGAAAGTTTTCCAAGAAGACGATGCGTGTGCCGATGAACTTCATTTACAGAATATTTTCTAGATTTACATTGACGATATTGTGCGGGTACAACAATAGATATAAGATCCTTTCAGGAAAGGTATACAGAGGTATAGTGTGATACAGCCACAAAAACGCTGTAATTATGGTCAAATGACGAGCATCTGTCATATTTCGCTGAAAACGTACCGACAGTCAAGCTAGACCTTTGACCCGAAATAGAAACCACAGGAGAAACAGTAGGATTATCACGAGCCAGAAATATTTGGACAAGAGCAGGCGAACGATCCTCACGTGTATCAACCTAGTTCAACGAAAAAGTTGACGCATCAAGGCGATACAGCGAGGAGCATAATCACCAGTAAGCGACCCGCTTTTCTTGCAGGACCAGCATCCTGTACGCATCTAGAATGAAATAAATATGCTAGGCGTGTACGAAGCGATCTGTGGAACGTACCACAGTCTTCACCAGACCTATTACGCACTGTAACCTTGAGGTCCACGATTTCTGCCGCTAGTTCACGAATAAGAGATTCCTTCAGTCGATATTCCTTGCACCGTGCTATTGCGTCTTTGATGGATTCCAAGGTCATGGCAAGTTCAGAGCTCGAGGTGACTACTACTAGCCGACACTTGTGATATTCGATTTCGCGGAGTATTTCGAGGATTCGGGGGTCCGTCGGCTCGCCGCGAGGCGGTGTTATGTCGCTGTCTTCGCACATTGCTTCGAGCTTGAAGAAAGGAAAGGGCGGGGTATAGACGGTGTACGTAGGTGGTGGTGGTAGTGGTTCAAGCCGTGTTTGAAATCCCGACGCTAGCTTCCGTCCTTTGCCATCCCCACCATGCTCATTTCCTCTTTGCGTTATTATTCAGGAATTCTTCTCTCTCAGCTAGCAATGAAGCATCCGTTAATAAGTACCACAACCCAACTCTCACAGTGGATGCGAACGACAAAGCTCAGATATGAGCCCAGTGGTGTAATGATTATATTCAGCATACAGAAACGCGATCTTCAGTGTCGACATTTGAGAAATTGACTTCGGTTTCCGGTACTCTATGAGGACTTTGACTCGGACCTGGGTAGATTAATATGAAAGGACTAGTAAAGTGAGCTGTGGGAGAATCAACATCTCACTTACCCCGCTAAACCGTACTTAAGCTTCTATCTTGAAGACAACCAGCACCTTTATCGGCGCTTTTGTCGTCATTTTCCAAAAGGTCCTTTCACCGAACGACAAGCTTTCAGAATAGGATTTCAGTCCGAACTTCAGTCATTCTGATCAAGGATGGACAAGGATGGACTCTTGCAATGTCAAGTCCACAATCTCACTGAATAAGACTGCTATGATAAATGGGACTGCGTCCAGAGACTGTGCAGCATTCACCGAATATGGCGGACCTTAATGCGGCTACAGTGATGTCACTGCTGGGACGAGTAAGTGTTGTAAGTAGAGAGCAGAGTAATGTAACAGAGAACTAGAATTAGCCTCTCGAGAGAGAAACGTTCTACTTAAATACATTTCGTATTACTTCGAGATCTTTCTACGAGATACTAAATAAGTCC